ACTCTCATAAATCAAAATCAAAGATTGGAGAACTGACTCGCTTTTGATGAGGTTTCCCTAGAACGTAGACCAGGGGTTCCCAATCCTATGCACGCGGGCACCATGACGCCCGATCTTGAGTACAAAAAGGTTGGGGACCCCTGACGCAGACTATGGTTTCTTGCAACGCTCCGACTCAAGAACAAAGGAGCCTTGACAAGATCTCAGGCTCTAAAGTGCTGATGATGATATTTGGCTGACGCTCCAGAGTGGAAACAATGGTTCCTTGTATCGCTACAACGCGTCGACAACGATGTTTGGTCTAATATGTTTGCTTACTCCGACATATATTTAGTTCACTTCAAGCTAGAAATATTAGCAATTTATTTCTAAAATGTATGATGATTACAGAAATTTCATCGTAAAAGGAAATACCACGAATTTGAATTACCATTAATATGAAGTATAAATAAATAGTCTGGACGTAGTAACTAAAATGTGAAAACACTGTTTTTTCGAGAGTAAATTTTTCCTTTTTTTCAAACGCAAATTACAGCCAAATGGATAAAACCTCAGGAATGTATGAATACTCGCTACATTCCCCAAACATCCAGATTTCATATGCATCATTTGGGTCCATTCAATCTTTTATAGTTTCGATAAAATCACTAAAATCTGAAAACATTGCATACAAACTAACGCAATCTGTTGACCAAGTTACAAACTAATTTTCAAAGATCATGGAAACCTCATTAAATTGTAAATACACCTTGTTGATTTAATTAATGTTTATTTAAACTGGAAATGCACCGGTTTAAAATCGTAATTCACAAAATGATGTTTTGTCCCATATCTTATTATGCTTGAAATATATGCATCGCATATAATTAAAATTGAATACAGATAACATAAATATTCTATTTATATAATTACTGTTGTATATCATAAACTATTATATAATAATAAAACGAAACATACTTTCGTAAAAACATTAACAAAATTAAATTATTTTGTTAAATTTAACGTTGCAACTCTTATTTGGAGTTGTAAAGAAATAGTGTTGTATGTAAAATATTTAAATTAAAGACAATTAATGCAATAAATAGAACACAATGATATATTTATTGCATCAATTGCCACACAATGATAGTGAGGTTTCGAACCATCTCTTGGCACTATAATTATCCTCTGAGGAACTGAGGTGTCACTAGAGTCGGATTTTAGTTCATATCGGACAGTTAGTATGACGCCACTTGCATTTCTACTGATAAGACATTTTTGCATTAAGAAATTGGTTTAATTTTCATTTTAAATGAATTATATTATAATAGTTACATATAATAGTTACAATATTCTGAACTAAATAGTTAACATTGATGATGACGTATGCAATTCTTTATACATTGGAAGGAAATTTAATCGACTATTTGGATTGAAATAAAAACTACTCAGCTAATGTTATTTACAATCTCTTTATGTAGGTAGCAATCAACCCGTATTAACAGATTATAGCAACGTGACACCATGATAATTACTTATTAAAATGTAGTCGAGGTCAAAAAAGAAATGGTTCACAGTAGAGCACATTATGATCATGTATTTTATCTCTTTTAAGTGAAATTTCGTCAACATTCCTCAACATTCCATTAGGTCATCGTTGGCGTCGTCTGGGGCGCCTTCACGTCTGGTTTACTATTGAACGCCCAATATTTGGGGTGGTCCAAGGTCTGTCACGTGATCGTGCAACCTATATTCGCTAAGGGTTGGGATCCGGGAGTGGGAAGAGAATCAGAAAGGGAATCGCACATCGTATTTTATCCGAAAAAAAACGAAATCGGCAACGAGTTTGTGGTCAAAAAGGACGGACGAAAGTTACGAATAGTGTACAAGACGGATAAGGAACAGAGGGGAGCAGTGTACAGCCGATCTTTTCACACACACAACTCATTTCATTAGCTGCATCGTAGCTTTCAGAACTCAACGCATATAACAATCTAAACAGTCAACTGAAAATGGCTTCAAGGTTCGTCACGGTCTTGTCCATCCTGCTGGTCATCAACTCAGGTATTTCTTCTATTTATTTCTTTATCTAATCACGATTAAAAATCGAGACTGCAAGATCTTATCAATATATAAAATAATCATTCGCAAATAGGTACTTTATTTATGTGGATAATGTAATTGATATTTTTGGAGCATGTTTTCCTTGACATTATAATACATCTTTTCACTCTCGATTTAACATTGGAAAGTGAAGAGGCGGTCTTATTAATAACAGTTTATATCTGAATTCTTGAGAATTGATAGCAGACAGTATCATTTCGAATAATGTAACATGTTTTATTGCATTCCTAAATATAGCTTATGCAGACAATGCAAATTATTTATTCTTGCTTTCGCATTGTTATTTGATATTGGGAATCATTTTGGTCATTCAATTTTAGGCTTCGAATATTGAATTTTCACCTTCGAAAATTCATAGAATTAACATTGTCATTGAAACGCAACATCAATATTCGTGAAGTTATTCTTACTTGTCAATGAATCATCACGTCGCCTGTTGTACATATCGTTATGAAATACAGTATTGCAATGCTTCCTTAAGAGAAATTTATGATTATTTCTATAATTAGTTTCCTGTTGCAATTTAAAAAAAAATAATCTGTAAACATTTAATTGAATGGGCGAATATATTAGCCCCTTGTATGTATGTTGGTACATATATTAGATTAATTTCCTTCAAAATTATGCAAGTTTACAAAATCAAATCAATGTTTATATTTTTAAAGAAAGCTCTAACCTATATCCTTTCATCTGCTCAATAATTAAATAGCTGATGTATACAAAACATAAAATATGTACTATACAGGTAGCCGTCGTTTTACGCCGCAGTTCCGTTCCTACAAAATCCGTCGCAAATCGAATCGGCGTAAAATAAACCATTATTTGCAGTGAGGTAACTATAGGGTTTAGTTCTATATAAGTGTAAAATCAGCAATTAATAAGCGTAGTAAATCGAACCGGCGAAAAACTTAAATAAATATGTGAATTAGACTGGATTTGTATGTTTACTTTAAATGCTGTTTGCGGATGAATCAATGTAAATATTTGGTAGTTATAAACGTGTGGATTACGTCATTTCATTTATTATTTTTCTTCTCTCATATGCAGCATTGGCATTGGAATGTTACGTCTGCGATTCCAGCAAGAGTGTAACTTGCAAGTATTCGTTGCTGTCGTTCATGCAAGACTCGCAGAAATGCAACATCGGTAGCTCCGATGGCTTCCTGGGATCAATCGCCTCCATAATCCCAACCAACTGCGTGAAGCTCGTTGGAAAAGGTATGTCTTTTATTCCATCATATCTCTTATTACCATTACCACTAACACAAATTAATGTTACAGACCATAATGGTAATGAGTACGTATCCAGAGGGTGCGCTCCGTCAACCGGACCAATAAACAGCTGCAACGCTATAGCTAAAGCCATCATGACCTTCTCTGATACCCAAGAGTTGGCCGCTTTGGATTGCTACACCTGCAACACCGATAAATGTAACTCAGCCACTAAGATTGGTGGCATGACCATTTTCGGGCTGCTCGCCGCCTGCATTCTCTTCCTGTTCTAAGAGTCAAAGCGTCAACAAAGAAGCATGTTTCATTCATTCAGGTTTTACAAATATCTATATTATTATTTTTTGTTCGTTCGTAGAATGTGTATAAAACGAAAAGGTATTTATTCTTGTAATGGATTGTTGGGAGCGGGATTCTTGAGAATCTTCAGCTTCAGTATTGGAAATGTTTATATAAAATGTTGAACCGTTCGTTTTTCGTGCGATGAAATTGAGCAGAGAGGAGGCGTGTATTGTATTTACTATTATTGATATTGTTGCCAATTGACTTATTCTTCCAAATTTCATTTTAACTTCCTTGGAACATACATCCACCTCACTGAACCAATATTATATTGATACAAATATGTTGTGAACAAAAAAAAAAGAGCGATGAAACAACTTTCAAATTTTTACTCTTTAAATTGTTTCAAATTTTTATATTTGCTAGCATTTTTACATATTGTAAGTTATTTTCTTATTTCTTGATCTGTTGATTAATGTAGAGTTGTACTTACGTTAAGGACTTCAGATAATTACCACTATTTATTAGCTTAGTATGTGTATATTATTTAATGTACAAAATATATTCTAGATATTATAGAAAATGCAGTTTTTTAAATTATTTTTATCTCTTAATTCCTATTTCCATTGTCCCTGATTCCTTGACTTCATTGTATGCTCTGGAAAATACTTTATTTTCATAAAATTTCATTCTATTAATGCAAACATTTAAACAATAAACTTAGATCATGCCTATGAATGTATAATCAAATTAGTTCAAAAAGTGTCTATGAAAAAGTTTTTGAAAAAAATGATGCCGGTTATACAATTATGATTACAAGAATTAGATAGTAGCTTCCGTTGGTGAAATAATTCATTAATCATTCTCTGTTACAAATTCCAACCGTCTAATTACGATGATATAGAATAGTATTATATTACACTACAAACACATAGGACACATTAACAAATATCAAATTAATGTTATATTAATTATTTGCAAACATTGAAATATGACAGACGATTATCAAATTACATATAAAGATAGTTCACGCTTTACGAATTTGCCTTCATTATATTTAATTCTATGACAAAATAAACAGATCGTTATTATTACTTATAATCATACAAGTGTAGAAGGCTCACTAATTCCGTAAATGATGTGAACAAAGCTTCTCTTTGATAATAATCCTATTAGTCATAAAATGATATCATTCTTACTTAGGGTGACTAGGCGTTCCGATTTTTCGTTCCGAATTTGTGTCTCTAATGACAGAAACAAAATTTTGATAAGAATCTGAGTCATGTCCTGTTTTAATTGATCCTTATTTATATAAGGACTTATGCTTGTTGCTTATTCTATTGTTACTTAATGTTTGTCAGTCTAACACTATAATCATGACCAAAATTTGGACAATTGTGCAACAGCTTCTTGTACTATTCATTAAATTTAATAAGTGTTAAATTAATAAGTCAATTTCATTCAGCTTAGGGAATTATTAAATTTATTGATACAAATATGTAAAAGTAAATTATTTCAATATTTATATTACAGAACAAATAAATACTGATCGTTAGAACTTTCGTCGTTTCAATATATCCGGTTTCCAGTTTACCGGGTGCGATTCTTCCGTAGCCGTATCGTCTTCTTTGTAAATTTTAATAGTCTTGTCCGCTTCTGTTGTAATCAAACGAGATCCTGAATGATCATAGGTCATTGAAAATATACCAGCTTCGCTGTCCATCGAACCTGGTTGTACTGGAGCCTAAAATTAACAAGAAAATAATTTTAATATATTTCTGTAATGACAGAAATATGAAATATTGATAAAAAATAGTATTTCAGATTCCTAAGATCTAAATTACTTCCAAACAAGTTGTTTATTAAATTAAATTTTCTCGTCGATTTTCGTATGTTAATATTAACAAAGAAACTCACCTGTAATCGTTGGAAGTTGTATCCTGTCCTCCAATCCCAAAAGTGCAATGTGCCGTTGTCTCCACCGGAAACCAAAACTCCTTCAGGATTCACGGCTAGACAATTCACGATGGCATTGTGACCGGAAAGGTTCTGAATGAATTTACCATCAGGACACTTCCACTGCTTTATGTTGTCAGGTGAGCCAGATGCAAACATATACCTAATATTTGATAAAAAATAATTAAAATTCTATAATCAAATAGCATTTACAACTTACAAAGTGGGATGGAAAATTAAACTCCTTACACTCTTCTTGTGATTAGTCAAAGTGCACATGGACTTTCCAGCTGCTAAATCCCATAACCGAATCGTCGTATCGTGTGAGCCTGTTACAATCTGAGGTTCAGCTGGTTGGCAGATTACACTTGCCACAGTATGCGTATGTCCAGTCAACGTATGTACATTGGCTTTAGTTCTCATGTCCCAAACTCGAGCTGTTGAATCCCTTCCTGCTGTCACCAAAACATCGATAGTCGGATGTAAAGCTAAGGTGTATACAGCGGATAAATGTCCGTGATAATGCCTGATTACTTTGTTGTACTCCAAATCCCAGCACTTGACCTGTCTGTCTTCACCACAGCTGAATAAGTAAGGATGCCTATTGCTTACAGCCAATCCTCTTACAGTACTCACATGACCTGTGAGTGAGACCTTCAACTGGCCACTGGCTAAATCCCAAATTTTAATAATCCTATCAGCTGCTCCAGTTGCAAACCACTAAAATAATAGATTTAAAAACATACTCTTTACCAGGACAACCAATCTTCTCACCTCATTCCCTGGCTCAACTGTGACACACCTAACCCATCCCAAATGCCCAGCAATTACCCTGTACAGCTTCCAAGGAGCATGCCATTTGGGTTTGGGCATTGTTGGTGCCCTCTTCATCAAAGCTGTATGCTGGCTCTGACTAAGTCCTGGACCTCTAGTCATCAAGCTTGTATCTGTGTATGGTACAATAGCATTCTCCTGGTGAGAGTCAATACCAGTTCCTGGAGGAGGAGGATTTGGTCCAGCTTCGACATCTTGCAATTGTTTCATTGCTTTCATTTTCTTAATATCATCAAATACAAGTCCATAGCTGTCTCTAGCCTTCAAAGATCTACGAATGGCCTCACTAAAAATATATTACATGTTTTAATTGAATCGAATTCTAGATTTTAACCAATGCTTACGCTTTTTCATCAACTGGTGGCAAAATGCCTTGATTTGAAAGAAACATATCATGGGACCTTTTTAACGATCTGAACACCAGTGTGTGCACAGAATGCCTCTGTACATCCTCCATCATATAAAATAATGTCTTTAACACAATTTATTTGAAAATAAACTTATAAACGTTCGAGATACTAAATCACAACATAACCTTAAACACCAAAACAAATATTTCCACAATTAGTTATTTAATTTTTAGTAGGTGGCGCTTTAAAAAATATTCGATTTTTAAAACTATAATTTGCTCTACTGCAATAGAAAAGTATAAACAGAAACACAAAATACTTTACTTTAAACAAATGATAACATTAATTAATAATTATATTTCTTAAATTTACCACAAAATATCTGTACGACTATGTTCAGACACATTATAACAGATGGAGTTATAGACTATTAATCTTGGCAGTGAACCTAACCTCCAACACGTGTGTTGTCAAAAACACGAAATTTGAATCATTGCTAACCATGGCGGAGAGCAAAGAAGAGGTGAGCCTAGGGAAAAAGAAGCAAACGAAAGGAAAACCCAACAAGAAGCCCAAATTTAACAATAATAAAAACAACAGAAAAAAAGATGGAGATGATGAAGTTACAGCTCTGCAGGAACAATATGAACAGGTAAACATTGTGTACATTATTAATATTAATCAAATTTTAACGTGTTGATTTTGCGTTGCAGATAGATATTTCCACTGTGAAAAGTTTTGCACATTTACCAATATCAAAGCTCACATTGAGGGGCCTCAAGGAATCCAAGTATACAGTGCCAACAGACATTCAAAGGAATACCATAAAATTAGCATTAAATGGCAAAGATATATTGGGTGCTTCACAGACAGGATCAGGGAAGACGTTGGCCTTTCTTGTACCTCTCCTGGAAATTCTGTATTGCAACAAGTGGTCCAGATTTGAAGGAGTAGGTGCAATCATTATTACCCCAACAAGAGAATTGGCTTACCAGATTTTTGAAACTCTGAGAAACATTGGACAGTATCATGACTTCTCTGCAGGTTTAATTATTGGAGGTCAAAATTTAAGGTTTGAAAGGGGTAGGATGGATCAAGTGAATATTATAGTTTGTACCCCAGGCAGGTTACTGCAACACATGGATGAGAATCCTCTTTTTGATTGCACTCAAATGAAGGTATTTATTTTTTTATTCATTTCTCGATTATAAATAATTTTAATATTTCTTCAGGTTTTGGTATTGGATGAAGCTGATAAATGCTTAGATATGGGTTTTGCTGATACAATGAATGCTATAGTTGCAAATTTGCCAGAGGATAGACAAACAATGCTGTTCTCAGCGACGCAAACGAAAGATGTTAAACATTTAGCTAGACTAAGTTTGAAAGATCCCAGCTATGTTTCGGTGCACGAGCATGTTACGCCTAAAGATCTTAAACAGTCATACGTTGTATGCGAACTACACGATAAAATGGCCATGCTGTGGAGCTTCATCAAGAACCATCTCAAACAGAAAGTCATAATCTTTATGTCTAGTTGTAAGCAAGTGAAGTACACGTTTGAAATATTCTCGAAGCTACGACCCGGTGTATCACTGATGGCGTTGTACGGCACTTTGCATCAGCAGAGAAGGATGGATATCTACAATTCCTTCTGCACGAAACAATTTGCTATTCTTTTCGCCACAGACATCGCCTCCAGAGGTTTAGACTTTCCATCTGTTAATTGGGTGGTGCAAATGGATTGCCCTGAAGACACAGAAACCTACATCCATCGCGTAGGAAGAACTGCCCGTTTCAAAAGTGGAGGCGAGAGTTTACTACTTTTGATGCCCAGCGAATTAGCCATGGTAGACGCCTTGGAAAATAAGAAAATTCCTATAGAAAAAATCGATATCAATGCTGATTTTATCAAAGACCCTGTCAGAAGGATGCAATCTTTCCTGGCTATGGATCCCGAGTTAAAAGACACTGCTCAACGAGCGTTCAAATCGTACGCAAAAGCTGTTAACTTTATGAAGAACAAAGATGTGTTTAAAATACAAGAATTAGATACGGATAAATACGCATACTCGTTGGGACTGGCGAATCCGCCCAGGATTCGATTCTTGCAGAGGATGAATAAGCAATCTAATGCTGGAGCTAGTGTTAATAATAATAGAACTGTCTTTGATTCTAATGATGAATCGGATGATGAACTCCCAAGCAAAGCTCCCGGCAATCCGCTGTTCTCTGTGGCGGATGACGATGATGATATTATTACTTTGAAGCGGAAGGACCACGACGTCGAACTAGGAGAAGGTGAAGTTCTTGAAGTTATAGGAAGGCAATCATCCAAGAAAGCAATAAGTAAAGCTAAAGCTGTGAAGAAGCTTATCAATAAAAAGATCGTGGCGAATTCCAAAATCACCTTCGACGATGACGGCGAAGCTATGACGGATAACGTCCGCAACAAGAAGCGATCTGAAGTTGCTTTAGAATATGAGAAGAAGCAAGTGTCTGGTATTGATATTGAAGAGGCGAAGGAAATGCTGCGCGAAGAGGACAGATTCGATAAGCAAGTGTTTAGGGAAAAGGTGAAAGCAAAACATAAGGAAGAAAAGAAGAAACTGAAAGAGCAACGCAAGAAAGATAAGGAGGACGAGGACGAGGGTGAAAAGGATGATTTCGGATCTGACGAGGAATCCGAGTACGAACCAGATTTATCCTGGCTTCCTGATCCTGACAAAGTTTACGGACAGAAGGATGATGGCGATAGCGACGAATTCTATGAAGGAAAACGCGGAGATGATGATGATGATAATGATGATGATCACGAAGAAGAGGTTGAGGAAGAAAAACCACAAAAAAAGTAAGCTGTTTATTGTAAAATTAAAATTCATCTAATTCATTTTATTTACTTTTTCAGATCGAAGAAGCGAAAACTGTTGGAGCCGGATTCCAAACCGAAAAAGAAGAAGAATAAGTTGGCTGATATTGGTGCTAATTTGGACGTCAATGAAGCGGAAGAATTAGCTATGATGTTGTTATCGAAGTAGTCTTAGAATAAATTGATTTTTTTTTTGTTAATATTGTCGTTTTCCTTCCGTTCCGACCCACAAATCCTAAAGTTTCACTTTCGATGACTTGCGGTTCGAGCATCCGCCTCACCTTCACTTCCTACGCCCGTGAAAGTGAAAGTAAAGAAAAAGGATGAAAATAGATTATTTCTTGAATCTCGTATTGCTGTAAAAAGCCAACATTTTTGAAATTATAATTAAACAGAAATGTCAACATTTTTAAATTTCATTAAAGCAAAAAATTACCTATAATTAGTATTTGTTGTTTTATGTTATTTAGTCACAATTGGTTTAGAAAAGAAACAGGGTTGGAAAACTGAAAAGATTAATATCAGTTAAAATTTAAAAATATTTTCTTTAAACATTTTATTAACAAAGCGTAAACAAATAGTACAAAAAAAGTATTATATATATATATAACTAAATACTGCTTGGTAATATGTAATATTACGAAACTATAATACATGGCTAGGAAAATCCGTATGAAGGAAATGTTGAAAATAATTGAATATTAATCTTGCAAGACTTAGGTAATTGAGAGTAATATCTTTGGCATTTAGGACGAAAGAAATAAACTCGTAATGTCTACCATCCATGGCTATCTCCATGATCTCCTCCTTCATGACCGCCGCCACCTTCATGCCCATGCTTCTTTTCGTGGATGATCTTGTAAATTGTATGAGTATGTTTGATGGTCTTCACATGGTAGGGAATATGTACAGTAACTTTATGCCTAATAATATACAAAGACAATAAAAAAATACCCAAACGATTTCGTTGTTTTAAACTTACTTCTTATTACCACCCCCACCGGCATCGGCGTTCAAAATGAGAAGGACGGAGACCAGCAAGAAAACAATCTGCAAATGAATACAACGTTAATGAATTTCTGCAATTATTGTTATGTCTTTAATATGACGAACCAAAGTTCTCGCTTGCATCTTGTTTAGTAATTGTAGATGGACCAGAAAGTGAGTTCACCTAGAATAGATGACTGATATCTCTGACTATTCTTGCTGCGGTCTTCGGATTTTATACCTGCCGTATTTGCCCCCGCCAGGCGTGAAATCGCGAGCAACGTATTCATTAGATAGAATAAAACGCATTATACAATTTATTCATCTTCTCCCTTAATTAGTTCCGATTATTACCCATACGTATGTTAATCATTTCGATTTCACTATAGAAATAAACGTTCGAGACATTTTCACGCTCTCTTCCCAAATTATCATACGTTTCTGATATACTTGAATTACTCCTCCTATTTCTTCCAATATAATTTCTTATTGCATCTTAATGTTTTTATTTTACATTAAAAAAATCAAATCATCATTAATCAAGTCAAACATATTATATTTTAAATCATACTTTCTCAACATTATTTTGTATTAAGAGCTTAATAAATGACATTAACTTAATATTCACACAATATATATATGTTATGGTAAAAGTACAAAATTGGTAAATGTACGTATTTTTACCGTACTAAAGTTTATGCGTTGTTATTAATGTAAGATAATTCTTACTAATTGTGTAAAATGATATATTTATCGGAAAACGCAGTTCATATACATTTACCAAATAAATAACCATATGTATATGAATTAAATTACTTATTAGTCTAAATACTGTTACGCATACAATATTAAATATATTGACTTCATCAGTGTCCGAATTGAAGCATAATGATCTATGAATTGGTAATTGCATGTATGCACTTCTATAGCAAATCTTGTGGATGCACTTTCCATCTGTTCATCATTAAATTAATATTAGTGAGAATGCGGAATCAAACTCAATGCAGCTTCCTGCTTACAATTTCTATGTGTTTATTAGAAATTTATTATTAGAAAGAAATTAAACAATACATTTTCCTTGTATTAAATAAACAATAACAATATAAAATTAAGGTTCTATTATATATTTTATTTTTACATATTGGACAGCAATTTGTCGTTCTGAACTGTATCATAGAATTTTATCACTGAAACAATATATTGATTATTATTATTATATTTAAATTGTACAATAAACTTACTTAATTTTTCAGTTGATGCAAAGCTTCTCATCATTTTCGAAAACATGATTTCATACTTATGAATATGTGTGTTATTGGGCTTTCTAATTGATGTACCTTGTTCTGAAACATTTGTTTGGCATAACTTATCGAATAGATCACCCTCCTTTTGGGTCACAATCGAATTTATCGGGATGGTGGAATTGTTCTTCACATTTTTCCTCCTGCGTACGTATTTTTTGCTGATCATTCCGTCCATCTTTTTATTGCAATTCGACATTTCAATTTTTCGATCCACTTTATGATTCGCATAGCTTCTCACTGGACGATTATTTTTTTGGCCAATATGTTGAATTGTTCTGCCCTCATCTTGTTCAGTACTAGGTTTTTGGAATTTTGCACTCGTCTGTGAATCATCGCCACTGATGAGTTTGTTGAATAGATAGTTTTTAGAATCCAACTCTTCCTGGGTTAACTCATTTATCTCCTCTTCCTCATGGCACTCACTGAGTGGTTTATCTGCTGGGATTTGATTATCGTGTAGATTGTAAAGCTTCCTGCGCTTAGTAGATTTTTTCGTTATTTCAGATACAGATTGGCTTTTTCGCCTCTTAAATAAATTTTCGTTTATTTGACTTCTTTCCTGCAGTAATTTCGTGTAGTTTTTGGCGAAGTCTGCCGAAGAAATTGCGCACGACTTGTGACTTGTATTCGTCGAACGATCAAAGTTCATGACATTACTCTTCTCAAAAACCAAATCGGCATTTCTATTTTCTGAAGATTTCATTGATTTTAACTTATCTACACGACCCATTGGTTCTGGAGACTTCTGTCTTTTTGCATTAAAAGTCTTAAGAGAACTGTTGGCGCCTAGGCTAGTTGCTTCACTATTAGCTACCTTACTCTTCTTTACATCAGATGGTTTTAAGTCACGAATTCTCTGTTTAGAAGATTGTTGTTTTTCTCCGGTTTTTGAAATCTTTTTATTTTGTCTGGATTGTTTTTTTTTAGTCTTTACATCCGCTTGACTCCAAACTTCATCCGCTAGTGATGAAATTTCTTGATAATTTTCTATAATCACGGATTTTATAATAGATTGATTTAAATCAACATTTTCCTTAGAAGATTCTTGCACAGGTTTATTCTTACTTCCTCTCTTACGACTCTTACTAGATGGATTTTCTGCCAAAGTTTCGTAAGCAGTGTTTTGAATTACCTCTTCCTCATCTGCATTGAATTGATTAAAAAATATATTTTTATGGGAAGTAGCTTGTTTCATATTCCCTGGTAGAGTTTGTTTTTCATTCGGCATAAGTGGTTTAACTTTTTCAGGTACATTTGTTGCTGACTTTTTCGTAAGTTGTGATTTCTCATGGGAATTAAGTTTTATTGATTGTCTATTAATTCCTTTTGAAGATCCTGCAACCTCAGGTGTTTTAGCAAATACTTTAACTTTTTCGCAATCTTTAACGTTATCGTCTCGACTTCGTTCTATATTTGAATAATTACAGCTATTATTTCTGTAGTCATCTGTAATACCCAAATCATCCATAATAACATCAACTTTTTTAATATTTTCAACTATTTTAGGTTCTTCAACAATAGTCTTCGAAGATGAAGAAGATGGCGACTGAGGAATAGTTTCACTCGTATTATTTGATACAGAATTTGGTATGTTTTGTTCACTTTTATTTTGATCCTCATACGTATTTATTTTATCAGTAGCAAATGTATGTTTTTTTGATTCAACATTCTTCATATCACGCTCATAGTTTGATTGTCTGCTCAATTTTGGAAAAACATGATCATTCCTACAATCTCTGGATTTATCATTTTCATTTGAATTTGTACATATTTGTAGTAACTTATTTTGCATTAAGTCTTTCAAATTATTCTGTACATTTTTTTTATGCTGTTCAGTATTTTTTATCCTTTGTTCGTTCTTTGTTGTTAAAGTCGATGTTTTGACTTCGTTCTCTTCCGGTAAATCATGATTAGTTGCTGAAACCGGTTCAGGGGTCCTAATGAATTTTTCCTCTTCTGGCAAAGACAGTCTACCGCTCGACCTTTTACGTAACGAAAGACTAACTTTTCGTGTCTTACTGTACATATCATACGTATCTTTTTTTATAGGCAATTTCATATTTTCAAGAATAACAATTGCAGAAGCTAGCTTATTCTTCGATCTCGTGTTGTACCTACTTCCTTGACTGATTTTGCTTGCCTCAGAATTAGTCTTAGATGCTAATAACCGTGAATTAGAAGCTGGAACTTGAACTTTTTCCACAGTTTGAACTTGATCTACAGTTGGAAGTTGAATCATAGTTTGTAAACAGTCAGAAGGTATAGGTTCATTAACGTGATTTTCGCAACGATTTCCACCTATTTCTTTATCGGATCTTGAACTACAAGCAGAATTTTTAGCATCTATACTGCGACTATCAAAGTTTCCTTTATTTGAATCGCTGTGAATTGAAGTAACATCAGAGAAGTTCACGGACGTAGAGACCATTACCAGTCCCGATTTCATAGTGGAGTGAATTAAGTGCTGACTATGGTACTCTTCGTCTTCGGAAATCGAATCTAAAATTGACATTTTTCGATGTCTAGAATTTCTTATCGTTGCACGCTTTTTCCTACTAGCTTTTGGGATATTTAAGTCAACAGAATTAGATACTACATTTAAATATTCCGGGCACGTATCAAATTTTTCGGAATCCTTTTGTATCAAGTAACCCAGAGACTAAATTGAAAAAAGTAATGTGAATTGTAGTTAATAGATAAAACAAAAATAAGGCTTACTTTTTCAGAAATACTTGTGTATATAGACTTGGAATTGCTGCTAATAACGTTGATGGGTAATGGATTTCGGTTGAGGGCAATTGATGAGGATGTAATATTACTTTTCTAAAGAATAATATTATTAGTTTGTATCTATTATACTTTGAAGATACTCACCGAGGTGCATTTATTTTTGAAAATCTCGCCCAAAATCTCTTCGTGCAAGTGATTTACACGTGTACTAGATTTAAACGCAATTTTGAACAATTTGCATTTGTTCGCAAATTTTTTACATAGACTATTATTAATCACAATAGAATGAGATAAACTAACTATCAACAGGTCTAAATTCATGTCATCCTTCTTCAATCTGAAATAGTTCAATCAATTAGAATCTTAGAAGAAAAATATTAAAAATATTACTTTTTTCTCGAAAATTTTTCAATCGCATGTTCTTGGATAATTATTAAAACTGCATCAGAGTCTTCCTCGTTCAATTTAATAGGAACAATGCAATTTAAGGACACATTGATAGTTATAGCATGGGAATCTTTATTGAAATCTACCCATAGGTGACTGTTTCCTCCAACTCCGGATTTTATAAAATCCTACAAGTACTAAATCAAATATTAAAAATATAATATTTAGATAATACTTACTGAAGGTGGTAGAAGACTCCGTCCATCTGCTGTAATAAATTCGGCTTGTAACGAAAATACATTTTTGGAACTTTTATTAACAGTGTTCAAGAAATGTCGACAATCAACATCGAATGTTTCCGAGTTGATTCTATCCAAAGCTCTCTGCAAATCGAAATCTTTCGGGAAAAAAACGAGTTTCAAATTCTGTATATCCTTTTTCAGCCTGAAGAGGAGTTCCAAAATCGAAGATTGCAACACGTAATCACCGCACGTAAAGAGACGATCCATTAATCTACATCTATAAAGCAAATGTTAATAATAATAGAAAACATAAGTGTACGTTAAACTAACAATAGATAATTCTCAATAGCCCCGTAGCCAATATACTTCTTTCCAAACATGTTCTTTTGCATTACTAATATCTTGTTTGCTAATTTAACCAAATGCAGACATAACCAGAAGTTGCAGCTTGGATCGAAAATCAACATGACGATCTCATGTATGACTCCCGCGATGCACTCCTCGTGTCCGGCTTGTGGAATAGCAAGAAGTGTATGGATGATGAGCAGGTGATGCTTCAAAGAATTATCGTCGACTTTATCGCCCACATAATATCCGAACACTTTGTTTAGGAAGATTTTGCAAACTTCTAAAACAACGTTTGTAGGAAAAGCTATCTCGCATGTCGTTTTGCTAGCAGATCTAATCAAATCATATACTTTATTTAGCTCAACAGCGTCTGGATTGTTCTGAAATAAGAGGTTCTCAATTTGGAGGAAAATATATTCTTGCAAAACTTACGAATGTTGTGTCATTAAACTTTTTAATTATCTCATTCATATGTTCCATGGTTATAACTAAAAAATATATATATAAAAATCAATTATTCATATTTTTGGTAAAACCTTCTGCAATATGTTTTTTCCTATTTCAATGGTAATACTAATTATGATACTTTGAAGCTGCTAGGAGTGAAAGAAAGCTTGTAACACTTTGTCATAGATGGTTTGTATCCAAGTAAACAATCAGGAAACACGTCGTTTGTGTTAATTTATTGTTGAGATTTGTTACTGTCTCCATTCTACTATCAAAAGAGCCCGGTGCGGCTCCGGAGCCGCATGTTGCCGACTACTGTAGAAAGCACTTTCATAAATCTGAAGGAGTACAGATCACTCATCTTCTTTTTTGAATTATTACGACCCTATTTCTGCCAACTACTGGTCTTTATCGACCCCACAATCAGCACACAATGCAGTTTTTTTTAATTTGGGCTTGAAATTCGAACTCATCCCTTCCTATCAGATCTTATCCAAGTCTTATTCGCGATAAAAGTTGTATAACTTTCATAAGTTTGTCAAAGTATATTTATTTTATATTAGTATATAATAATTAAAAAGACGCTTAGTACAATTCTTAACATTATAAGAGAATCTATGCAAATATATTACTTCTAACCTAAATATGACACTTTTCAAATTTAAAACAGCAGTTTTTAACTGTAACTTTTAATTTGAATCAAGAGATATATTTTACTGTAAATAATTTATTGTAAATTATGGTTGCAAAATAATTATCCCTTACCTTATATTTTAATAGCATAAACATGAAACTTAATTCGCACTGTTACAAAAATTGTTTGTAGTAATTGAAACAAAACAATATAATTTCTTCAGGTTAACAACTGTTAAATATTATTTTGTGAAAACAATCGAATAACAAAAACGTAAAAATATTGTAACAAAAAAATAGTTCTTCATTTTTTTTTCAAATATGGAAACATATTTGTTCCTTGTAGATTAATTTGCACTTATCAATATTAATCAAATCTGTGTATCATTAATTGTATCAATTCCTTCATTACGTGGTTATTTGAAATTTATTTCGCGAATAATGTTCGATCGTGTGTGTATAGTATGCTGAATTTCATCTATATGAAATTGTGAGGACATCTTTAGGAATTCTAATGAAGTTGAAAATACACGTCAAAACCCAATGTCAATTCTTCAATGTCAGCCACCTGTCCAGTAGCCGGCTAGTTATTGTTCATGATGCCTAGTATTCCAAAATTACCTGCAAAAAGTTATGTCCTCTGTATACTCTTAATTGTGGTATGCGAGATCTCAACGTCTGAAGTACCGAGGCCTAGAGGGGTGCCACTGTCCCATAACCCTCTATACAATCCAGCAAAAGACTTTGTCTGTCTTGATAATTCTCTATCTATACCATTCTCGCAGGTAAACGATGATTACTGTGATTGTCCGGATGCCTCTGATGAGCCGGGAACCTCGGCATGTATTCATGGCACCTTCTTTTGCATGAACGTCGGTCATACATCCACCTATATCTCATCATCACGAGTAAACGATGGTATTTGCGATTGCTGCGATGGCACGGACGAGTATGTCAAAGGAAAATGCGCGAATAATTGCCAGGAGTTAGGACAATCTGCGATGAAAGAGGCCGCTCGTCAGTCAGAGCTCTTGAAGGCTGGTAAGCAGATTCGCGCCTCTATGTGCGAGATGGGCATCAAACTCAAAGCAGAAAAGAAAGACAAACTGGTTATTTTTGCTGCTCAGAAGATTGAGGCTGAGAAGATTATGAGGGAGAAGGAGCAGATCAAGAAAAACATTGAAGAACTAGAGTCTGCAGCATTGGAGCAGTACAGGCAGATTGAAGAAGAGAACAAGAGAATTAAGCAGGAGGAGGAGAACAAGAAGAACAGGCAGGAGGCTGAGGATACTTTCGTACGATTTGATAGTAACAAAGATGGAATTGTAGAGGTGTCTGAGCTTCAAAGTTTACACACTTTTGATAGAGATCGCAATGGAGAAGGTAAAAATCATTAATGATCATTTATTAAATTCTATATAATTTGTTTAATTTCAGTTACTGTTGAAGAAGCAAAATATTTCCTTAACAGCAAAGATTCAATGAGCTTGGAAGATTTTGTGGTTGAAGCTTGGCCAGCTATGAAACCATTCTTAATGTTGGATGAAGGTTTATACAAACCACCTCAACCTGCTGGAGTGGGGGAAGTGGAGGAGGTCCCTATCAATGGGGAGGAACCAACCACTGAAGCAGAATTTGAAGAAGGTAACATATTTATAAAATATCTATGATAAATTATATTCATTGTGTCTAGCTGCTGACGAAGAAGGTGTCAATGAAGAGGAGGATGAAGAAGATGAGGAACATCCAGAGGAAGAGGAGGAGCATGAGGAAACCAACCCTGAAGTGACATACGATGAGGAAACTCAGAATCTGATTGAAAAGGCCACAGCAGCTCGCTCCGAATTCACCGAAGCCGATCAATCCGTGCGGGATATCCAATCCGAAATCACCAAAATCGAGGAGTATCTTAACAAGGATTTCGGACCGGATGAAGCTTTCGCTCCTTTGGAAGGAGAATGCTTCGATTACATGGATTACGAGTACATATACAGGCTGTGCCCGTTCGATAAGGCTACTCAGCAACAAAAATCAGGATCCTCGGATACAAGATTGGGAAGTTGGTCCAAGTGGAGCAACCAGAACTACGATGCCATGCTTTACGATCGTGGTCAATCCTGTTGGAACGGTCCACAGCGTTCCACGACGGTGGCTATAAGTTGCGGAAGTGAGAATAAGTTGACTTCCGTTTCCGAACCCAACCGATGCGAGTATCACTTCACGTTTGAAACCCCAGCTGCTTGTTACAAAGCTACCACTGAAGGGATCAAAGACATCCACGACGAACTCTAATATTTGCTCATTTAAAGTTACATTCTTCAAATTTATCATTTCCTATACATTATATATTTTGTGTTTGTAATATCATGTTGATGTGAAAGTGTAAACTGTGTGGGACAGATCCATATATTCCTATCATTTTTCATATACAAGATAAAAACATAATTTTTACATCATGTAGATGCAGAACCAAGACTTTTATTAACGAAATAAAACTATACTGTGTGTAATAACGATAATTAATTGGAAAGAAGTACAGAAGCACAACTTGGATAATCCAATTCAGTCCTTTTTATATCAATGTTATTGTTATTATTATACATGGATAAGATGGTATATTCTATCAATAAATCGTATTTGTACTGGATCGTTCGTGTCATTATTGAGGTCGACCTGGATGGGGTGGTGGTGGGAAAACGTTTCACCCGTTAATTCTCAGGTGCAGTGAAAATGCGCTGCTGCTTGCAAGGCAAGATCAATTGATGGGCGCATGACAAACTAGAAGTATACTTTGTTGTCTAGCGTAACGTGCGATCAGCTGTAGACGTCTGTTGGTGTCCTGGACATACTAAATCTTCTTCAACTGCAGAGAAGATGGCATATAACAATATCAGTGTCCAGCTAGGATACGAGGATGAATTAATCACCGATAAATACAAGTCCACCGTCAATTACACCACCGACAAATTTGGAGGAAAACCCGTAAGTTAATTATGTTGCCTACATTTTCTACCGCATTTTCGCTTTATTCATTCGAATTTGTATTTATCCTATAATTGAATTAAAACATTCTCAGTTTGGTTTTGTTAAATAATTCAGAAATCTATATACATAAGCATATGCAATATACTTTGAGGGTTGATAGTTGTAATGTGCTTAACCTTTAAGTATATGTTCTTGTATCTTTGCAAATAAAAATACTAATCCATTCTACAACCAGGATTTTCCAAATGATTTGAAAGTTGAATCAACACAATGTCCACTTTGCCAATTACCAAGACTTCTTGTGATTCAAATATATGCTCCACTGGATGCAACATATCATCGAACCCTGTATGTGTTCGCTTGCCTGAACCCAAATTGCAGGAACTCCAATGAAAGGTAATTATTAAGAACTCATTTTGTAACATTGTTTAAACTATTTTTTTGTACTCTTACAGTTGGCTCTGTATGAGAGTGCAATGCACTGAGCAAATCAAAGACATTATACCATCAACACCTACAGCAACAAGCACTGTGACTGCAACTGATTGGTGCCAAGATGCAGATGAATGGGATGATGATAACAATTCAAATTTCAGTGAGGAAAATGGGAATGTTATCAATGAAAATATTGAGCAAGTTTCTGATGAAGACGAGGAAAGTCTTAGTCTTGAGGACTCCGTTCAAGCTGGTTTCGAGAATTTATATGTTGACGAACGGAACGCAAACAACGCCGATGTTCAGGGTATGTCTTTTTGTTTATTTAAACTTTATATCTTGATCATATTCTTTGATTACTTATCTGCCTGCAACTCAACTCAACATTCATTATAATGAATTTACCCTAATTTAAACTATTCTTATTTAAGAGAACATACACATTATTACAGAACAATCAAGTTTTATTAATATAATATTTAAATAAAGGTTGGTTTTACATTGGCTTAAACTAAGATAAAAACAAATTATAACAGGCATAAAAGTATCAAATTATAAAAACAAGTATACAAAGGGCATTTTGCTACATAAGAGTTATAAATAAAACTATTTATTTGGTTTCATTAGGACGTGCGAAATATTTTCGTATGTCCAGAAGGTGATCATTGTTGCTGGTACTACTCGCAAAAGGTTCATACTTAAACCTTTGTAAAATCCTCTGAATCCTTCATGTTTACCGGTTTCAACAATGCAATTAATTACACCTGAATATGCACTATGCTGCCTTTGCAATCTAGCTCTTACAACCTGGTATGGATATGTAGTAGCTGCAGCAATGAATTTGGAAATAGCTGCAAACATTAGGTATTCTGCAGAAGACAATTTTGTTGTTATTGATGTGTTGTTGTAAGCATTGTATTGATTCTTTAACTCTTCATAACACATAAACTGAATGGCTCCATGAGAAACTCCAAACAGTCCAGGAACTAAACCTCTGTAATATCCAGCAATACCTTCAGTTTTGAAAATTTGCACTAGCGCGTCCAAAGTTCCTTTGTAGGTCTGTGTAGGTGAACTGTATTGCAAACAAAGTCTAGTTTTAACCACCCAAATGGGATTTGTCATCAGCAGAGTTACAACACCTGCTTGGGTCGCTGCCATTAAATGTTGTTCAGGTCTTAGCGGCAACTGCAGATTACCACCCTGCACATATGTCTTTATGGTATTATAAAATAAGAAATAGAGGCCCCAGGAACTTCCAGCTCCTATAAGGTTAGGAGTTACACCTCTATACAGACCATGAATTCCTTCAGTTTTATAAATTGTGCTGAATGCATTTGCAATGCCAGTATACTTTGGTACAGAAGTTTTCCCATCGTTCACAGCAAACCTTATCTTGACCACATCCAGTGGATGCAAGATTAATGTTGATGCTAGGCCTCCAGAAACTCCAGCAAGAAGATGCTCGTATTTCACATGTGACAAAAAGGTTAAATTGGATTTCAACGTTCCTCGAAAATTCTCCAGAGAATTCATTTTACCATCACTCTAAACACATTCAAATATACCGAAATTGTAAATTTTGCAGTTGTATCATCGCACAAACATGAAACTATCGATTTATTTGGATTACATTTTCAGGTTATGTGGTATTTACATGAGTTGTTTTAGTTGCATAACTGCTTATATAATTCGTATTACGAAGAAATCATTTAAATATTCTGAAATAAGATAACAACGTATACGTGAACCAAGGTCATTATTACATAATACATCTATCAGCTCATGAGATTTGGGCAGTTTCAAGGTCTTAGAAAATGAAAGCATCAGTAATTTGGAAAAAAGCAACAAACTTATATAACATTATCATTTCTTGTAATAATTATATTTATTTAAAAAGTTAAATAAGAAGATGAAAAATATATTTCATATTTAGGGGTACTAAAACCTTTTAGGATTTTTTGTTTATGAACCATGCCAATCTTTTGTTATAGGAGCAGTTGGTTCGTTGCACTCACCAGCAGCTACCGCGGAGATAGAAGGAGATGAAAGCGAGGTGGTCAGCATTGATACACCAACAATTCCTCAAAGAGATCTGAGTTTGTTTCTACAAGAAATATGTCCACTGTCGCAAGAATTTTTCAGGACAGAGAAGCAGCTTAATATTGAATTTGTGCCATATTTTATCCGCTTTAGTGACAAGGTAGGACCTGGGAGCAGCGGATATATTGATAGACACGTCAAAGAACTCCTGCAAGAATATCAGAAGAACAATGAAGATTTTTCAATGAAAAAAGGAGGTGGATGCGCAGACGGTGGAGGCGGAGGTGAGGCCACCTTAGAAAAGTACGAAAAAAGCGCGCCAGCTCATGGCGACAAGATGTTCTATTATTTTCTATCCAAAATCAGGCAAAATCCTGGACAGATCCTAAGGTTTGTTAGTTGGCATTTCCCATAGAGTACTGTGTAAGAGTTACTTGTTACAGATATAACCGGGAGAGCAAAGCGCCTTTGTTAATCCAACCGATTCAGCATATACCGAAGGTTTGCAAGCATTGTCAAGCGGAGATGACTTTCGAAATGCAGATTCTTCCAACGATTATACCTAGATTACGTCTAAATACGGATCCCGTTCAGGTAGAGCGGTTGGAATTTGGAAACGTACTCGTGTTTACCTGTAAAAAAAGCTGTTGGTCCAGCGATACGCAGTACAGACAAGAGGAAGTAATTTTCCAAGCGCAAATGTAATTTGCAAACAACGTAAAATTTGTTTTTTGATAGCACAGATTCCTACTCAATAACAAGCAAAGCAAAAAAAAATAATGTAGGCGAAAGCTGAGTTTTCGCCACCTTCCGATCCAAGTCTTTATCATAAATAATTATTCATAAAGATATTAGGTTTAGTCGCGTCTGGATTTAATTCCAGAGAGGAGGCCAGAATGTAGTTTCGCAAATTTCGAGACAAGTAGACTCTACCTTGTAGAGGAGAACTAATGATGAACAATCTAGATCTTTAGGTAGGAATATCTACCTAGCGAGATTAATATATAAACAAAATCAACGTGTATGTCGATGGAATAGGATGGAAATGACGATGAAAGAAAAAGCGTTACCAATATTGAAGTGATCAATCGAAAATACATGTCAAACGATTTCTTTTTGAATCCCATTAGATTTATGTACCTATAAACCCTTTTTATAATATTTGTCTATAATATTCAATTTATACTTATACAATTTACTCAGTTAAGTTTTTTTTTATATATATATATATTATACAACTTTCGGTATTTGTTACATATTCTAGATATTTCCTCCGAAAGCATAATATCATATTTATGATCTCCTTAGCCATTTCTTCTCGCCAAATAATTATATGTAATGCATTGATTTTTAGTGATTATAACCGCATTTGAATATTATTTTAATTATTAACCATGTAATTGTTATCGTTTTGTAAGTTGTACAATAAACACAACAGTCTATTTAAAAATTAAGTTTGATTGTCGTTACATTACTGACGACATTGGCATTTGGATATCAAGTACTTTGTCGTTGCTTTCCTGTTGCTGGTAGCATCCATCTATTTGGAATTCTCTAGCTTTCATGAGCATCATTTCGTATGAAGCCGGAAACCATTTCCACAAGAAAACCCACTTTTCTCGTTTCAATACCAACACTTCAACTATGGTCCGACATACGTAAGTATTTTGATGGGCAACGTTAAACAAACCTGATCCCTCTCCAAAGGAATTGCCCGTGTGCAGCACATACATCGTTTTCATTTCACCGCTTTTCATCAAGAATCTACTTTCCACTTCACCAGAATTTACAATGTACATACCTTACATTAAACAATAACAATCAATATAAGAAAATAAAAAGAGATAAATCATAGTCTTGCTTACATCCATCATTGTCACCTTGTCGAACTATGTGATACCCTGGAAGATAAATGATCTTTTCCAATGTACGCACTACTTGTCTTATGAAATCATTGTGGGTGTCGGCAAACAGGTAATGATTCTGAATGTGATTCCCATAGATATTCATTAGTACTTGTTCTCTTAAATTGGGAGATGCTATTTGCAATAGACGAGGTAGATTTTCACCTCTAGCGCAATTCCACATCACAGTGAAGAACCTTGCAGTTTTGTCCAGAAGTGATGGCGATAAATCTTGTTTCTTTAAAAGTAAATATAGAGTAAAGACTAATGGTTTTTCTAATTAAGCCAGATACCTTTAAGTTGACAAGAAGCTCATCCATCGTCCGGAAATAGAGCATCTGATTAAAATAACAGGCGTTGAATAAGTTGGTTATAGAGCACAACATAATGGCAACGACGAAAGGTGCAGTGAAATTAGAAAACATACATATTATGGTTTTCAAAGTATTATCTGGTGGATCCACTTTCAAATTGCTGCTTGCGATATTGTTTACTGAAAATATCAAACCGTCAAAGAGCATTTCCCAACCAACTAAGAGGCAATCCTTTCCCTCAGCTTCGCGCCTCTCCGGGAAGCAACAAGGATCATTGCATGACAGCTGGCTCCTAAAACAAACAAAAATAATGACCATACTCCACTTAATAAAGATTTACCATATTCCACTGAAAAAGCTCACGTATGTGAGATTTAAGTAAATGTAGAAAAACACGCAAATATGCGTCTCGTAGTTGAAGGTTGATCTATAAGTATCGTAGTACATGAAGAAATGTATAACACGAAAAATGCGTGGTATGAGACCGATTAAGGCAAATCTAAAAAATGTTTTATATATTACCAAAGTAAACTTATTTCTTACATGATTAATAATACTCTGCAGAAAATATGTAAATGAACGCCTCGAATGGGAATAATATAAGTATGTCTAAAATAAATGAATAGGAGTGCATGTAGCGGTGCCTGATCTTTGAAGGATCTACTATCACATGACCAGTGTCTTTATCGGTATATTGTAACGTCATATTGGCACATAATCTTATCCAAAATGGTATATCTATTACATAGTTGATGATCTAAAGACAAATGTAATTTCATCTTCATTAAATTATTATTATATTTTCATATTTACCAGTAAACATAATACGCTTAGGTTTCCACATTTCGTGTGCACCATTACAACTGTTGTTGCAACAATCGACAAAGGTGTATAATGCATGTAGAACAAGTATTGAATTTTGTTCATCCATTTCGATTCCTGATTAAAGTATTGATTGATTTTCGTGCTCCAGTTAACGTAGATTGATCTTTTTGAGAACATGCTCATCCAACGCTTGTTACTGTCAGATTTCCCATCTTCAGACGATCCACCCATTACATATTCCTGATTGAGAAAACGGATTCGCTTTATGCGGTTCATAACAATTGGACATCTTGAGGCGAGTCTGTTAAAAACATCGGCGTCAATGTACAACAATTCACAATGTGTTACGGCCTTTGCGTTTATGGTTTGTCTGGTGTATCCACGCTTTGCGAAGCTTCCAAAGATACTGCCTCGACCCAGAACCTCTAGTACATTCGAATCATCGATATTGATTTCGACTATACCTCTGTACACGATATAGAGCTTATTTTGAACGTCGTTCATTTGCAGTATCATGCTGCCTCTGATGAAGTACTCGATGTTAACATTCATTGTAAGCAAACGAATCAAACTTTCATCTGCTCCAACGAAAAGTGGCGCAGCAGCAATATGCAAACTGTATTAGCAAAATAATTAAAACTAATATATCAATAAAAAGGTTATAACAGACCCAAATAGAAAATCTAAAAGTTTGTAGCGAATTTCGTACTGTATTGATTCCAACTCTTTTATGAAATCTAAACCATTGGTTTGCTTCCACCGATGCTCGTATTCTTTGACTACCGCGGTAAATGAATCATCATCAACGTTCTCCTTTTTGGCAAAATCCATGAAGTTCTTGACTTGGCTTCTATTCGCTACTGCGCTGAAATGACCAGCGACCTAAAGTAGACTTTTTTTTAACAGAAACGTTAAATCCTTTAGAAGAGCACTTACTAGGATTGCGATATAATAGGTCATGAGATAAATGCGCAGCGATAGCATCGCCATCAAGGCAAAGTAATAATCACCGAGTTGTTTGACGTTCATCTTTTTGAAGAAGAACGTCGAAGTTCCAGTGAAGAACGCCACTATCACATAGCTGATCGTTGACTTTATGTAAATGGGATCGTGCCCTTTATCTGGAGTATCTTTGAACAAACTGTAGTCGGCGCAATTCATGCTATGCTATAAAATTATAAGAATTATTAAAAGTAGCACTAAAGTTGTGAGAAGTAAATTGACAACCTCTTCAAATACGCAAACTTTTGATACCACGTAATTTACGAAAAACATATCGGATATGAAATAAATTACGATAATTTTAGCAGTTCTCAAGACAGCCAGCAATTTATCCTTCGAGATGGACATCATATAATTAAGTCCTCCGAATACTCGCCACATCTGCATACTCCTCGTAATGATTATATGCAAGTAATAAGCTGCGAATTAAATATATTAAATTTAACTTAATACTTCAATTTAGATATATGGTACTTAGTAAGGTGTCCGAGAAGAATAGGTGGTGAAGTTGAAAGATGTGGTATGGTAGTACACCGTATAGATCGACGATAAAAGAAGTGGTCAGGTAGTGCTTAGCCGTATACAAGGGATGCGTCACTAATATTTGTTTATCGTTGTGGTATTGAACGTGTAGCCGTATATATATATCGATATAACCGGCAACATCAAGCACAACATTACATAAAAAGACAAGATTCTGAAACACATCAATTAACAATAAACATATAACAATATTGTAGAACTGTAGTACAGAGTATTCATATAAAATCGTCAAACTGTAACTGTTAATAACCAGTTGGATGGTCGCCAAAATGCACCTAGATATCTCCCAACCTATGTAAAGCTTGCTCTGAGGATTGATAGTTTTCCATAGCATTAAGTATCTTAGAAATGAAATTTTCCCTGCAATTTTACAAAGTTCGATGTAAGTTATAATTAATACAATCAATCACCAAAATCGTGTGGACACTTCTTTTTTTTTAAGATTATAGGTATGCGAGCTTTGTTGAGAAATATTAAACTCGCGTCAGCGTCCACGCTATTCCAATTTATCTGGTAATCGAGAAGATTAATATAATTAATTATTGAATCATATTTTGCGGGATCAACTAGAATATAGATAAAAGTAATTATCACTTTTGAAAAAAAAATAACAATCTTGTTTTTTTTACAAAGATATTTCAATTGATGTACTTCTAGAACCAGCAGCAATTTATCAATGGGAATATACATTATTTGGCAGTGTGTAGCCGTTTCCACGTAGATCAATGAAGGCAAACGAAACATGGATTCGATTACTGGAAAAGAAGCACCAGATTCAATAGTCAAAGCTACGGTTTTACCCTTCTCGGCGATAGTTGAATAAATGAGACATTGGCTATAAAAACAAATATTACATAATATTTAATCAAAGTGCGTTAATTTTCTAATACCCCTTCTCCAAAATATGAAGCCATGGGGATATCTGTCCAGTAGTTATTATGACAGAGTTGATCTGCACACCCAAAATCTGAACGATCTTCGAGATATGCAACAGTACTTCGTCGTCCAAGATCTGAAACATCTGCACGCGTTTCAGACTTTTTACGATCCGAGTATAATTGATTTCCTCCTTCAGGTCTTTGGAAAGATCAATACCGTCCTTGTCTTGAATAAATGAAACCATTATTACGTTTATAATATTTAAATGAGATGAAATTACTAAATTGACTGCTGAAGCGCTGATTGAATATTTTAAACTCCAAATGCGTTATTACAAAGCGTATAAACGAGTGACTCATATTGGACTTTTTTAGTATGAAGCGCAAAGTATTAAATCTCTCTTCGTAGACGTTCTTGATTAAGCTCACTTGCAATCCGTAACAGGCGCATTCGCTTATGCAGAAGGTGTACAACAGGTATCTAAGATGAAGCGAAGATTAATGAATACAGATTGGAAATTTTAATTGTTACAAACCCAATGAACCATACGATGGTGAAGATTATGATATCGTAAATGTTGTAACTCATTATGTTTGCAAATTGACAACGCAATATCATTGAAGAAGCTAAATTTAAACTAACTCTAAAGCGATCTGATATGGTGTTATTACTTATCCTTTCATGAAGACGCATGTTATAATTTAACCAGGCTAATAAAGTCATAAAATTATAAAATCTTGATTTACATTATTACTCAGAGTTGCTTACAGTATCTCAAGCATTCCCCAGGACAAGCAATTGAGTATAACATACATGTACAGAAGTAAATGGTTGAGGTGTAGTAGATGGCATACTTGCAAATTTTCTTCACCGTCACGTTACCAATAATTGACTCATCCCATTCGTGTAGTACAATATATATTCGATATACTCGTATCAACCGGTTTAGTCGGCACATTGAAGCATACATCCTAAAAAAAAATAATGAATAATTCACGTTTCAATTGTTTTCCCGCAACTTACAAATTATCAGAATTCCAAAAGACGAAGTAATCGATTGGTAAGGATGCGAATAAGTCCACGAAAAATTTCGGAGTCTTGATTTTAGTTAAGAAAATCTCTATTGGCGCTGTAATTGTTACTGTCGGTGTTTTAATTGCAGTGATCAATTCGAAGTACAGCTCCAACCAACAAGCCACATCCAAAAGCAAACAATAGGAATACAGGATGCGCGGTAGTTCGTTCAGGAAGGAAATGCAAAACGGCAGGATCGCTGCCTAAGTTAAATGTAATATGAAATAACTAAATTAAGAAGAGAGAACTTGGATTACGTTAATAACAGTGGATCCTAATGATATGTAAAGTATAGTTTTACGAAAGCTGGAGTTTGGTTCTACGACGAACGGGAAACTGTTTTGGATGCAAATAGAGTTGGCCAACATATTCGAACCTAATGATTCGGTCATCACCAATAGATTAAGAAATTTCGAGCAGTAGCTGACATCTAATTTTTCCTTAATTTCCGCAATATCCAGATTTTGTTGCGACTCGAAGTTCCATACCATATGCCAATTTGTCTTCAGTCTCTTTATCGGAGTGTTATACTTATCCTCCATAGTTTCATACGCACTTAACGAATCATTATTATTTTTTTCAGAAATAACAGTCGCAATTGACTCACCTGACCATTTGCTGTTTAATTATCCGCATTTCCTTGACAAGTTTAATCCGCTTGTTTAGTTGACGTTTAAGTTCATTACTTGTATGCTTGCTTTGAGTGATGGCGTGAAAGAGATCGGGCAGATCTAAAATGTGCAAGGTACATCCATTTGCAGTATATAGGTTGACAGTGCTTCGAGTTGATATCAAAGTGTTGATTTCTCCCAAAACCGTTCCACAGGTTAAATTCAATATAGGAGATACATTATCCTCACTAGAGAGCACCTACGATCATATAAGTTAATCTTATTATAGTATTCTAGGATAATGATCATTTTACCTGAATATTGCCACTCACAACGTAAATCATTTGCGATTTAATCTGACCTTTTTTGTACAGATACGTGCCGGGCATTAGGAATATATTCCTCATCTTTAAGCTGATGACCCTCTTCAAGGACATACTGACTTCCTCAAATAATTGCGAGTGTTGCAAGGCGTCCCAAAAGATATCAATGGATATATCTTTCTGCAATCAAAACAAATTTAAATTGTAATTCAAAGTACGTTTCTTATACTTACTTGCAACGAGATTGGTAGCATCATGAAAGAGGCGGGAGTCGTGAGATTACCATACCTAAGCATCCATAACTTATCGCAGTATTCCATCGCCCTTTGCCTCAAACCTTCATCTACATTTAAATCCTCGAGGAACATAGCTGTTACCTGCATCTTAATCTTGAAAGCAAAATACATCAACTGTTGATGAATGTAGGCGGATGTTAACTTTGCGACAAATATGACCATTTGTACATTGAATCCCAAGATGATTAATATCGTGCAGATGATGTACTCGAACGTAGATTCCCAATTGAAACCAACTGCGAATTTCTTTATGTCATGCGATTACTTTGTATAAATTTGGTATATATTTACAGAAAATATTTTGTATCAAAAGGTTCAGCGTTTTCGTGTAAGACATGATGAACCAGTGGAATGTGTTGTTGGTCCGGAAGCTATGATCATATTTGTCTTTAAGATATAAAGCATGATTCATCCAACCGACACTGGAAATTTCGTACCATATGCAACACAAAACTATTGCACTCGTGTTAAGCATAAAGAGCTGCTTAATGGTCACTATTATCAATTGATTGAATTGATTGATGAACGCGTTCGTCGAATAGAGATGCATTGATAAAATAATCTGCAAAATGTTCGATACATTTACTCGAGACAATATCGTTAAAGTATCTCACGTATCGTAGTATACACTTGGCTCGAAAATAATCCCTAATTGGGGTTTGCTCAGGTGGTACCAACAAATAGTAAACCTCGTAAATAGGAATCAGAGTTATTATGTTTAAAATTATAACTCCTATATGTATGGGTTCGTAGAAACGTCGTTTCCTCACCTGCTCCCATTTGCTGGAATTCGTAATTTCAAATAACGCATACGCATAAATAAAGCATACTTACATATGAAGTATGGATAGTAACGTGTCGATTGCGTAATGAAATTCGAAAACATAATACATTATTGTTACCATCAATGGGTACGAGTCTATGAAGATGATGTAGTACAAGCACACGATACCATTAAAAAATATGTTGATGTTAATGCTTATCTGAAATACGCATGATATTATGTCATAGCTCTCTATACAGGGAATACTTTTACAATCCAGAAAGTGCTGAATATTAAGAAAACGATATGCTTCCATGACTTTTCCTTGACGTCTACCTCTTCCGCCAAACTTTTGCTCAGGATAGTGACATGATCTGCGTGTGATTGTCGCTTCTTTGGTCTCATAGTTCTTCATATATAAATATTTGGATGAGAATATTTGTACTATTCAATATAATAACGTAGTAAAGTAAAATATGAATATGTCTCTTTTTACAAATAGCATGCTGACAAACATAGCATGCTATTTAAAAAATATTCATTTTAAGAATAAAAAGACAAAATAAATGAAGACAGTTTCTTAAAATAAACTACATTTCTCATCAACTTTTATTGTTATAAGAAAATGCATAGGTTTATGTTGCTTTAAAAATGCGAGATGTTGATTCTATTTTACATATATCATTCTTCGAGTTGCGAAATTTGATTTAAAAAATTTATCAAATGATCATACAATAAAGCCTTCCTATCTTTAGCTATAGTAAAATCCATGTGATTAAATTTCTCGTAAGGTATTTTGTATTTACCATAAGGCGTTAATCGTTTTGGTAACTCGTTATAGAGTCTTTCAACATTCTGCAATTATCTGGAATTAGTAAAGTAGCATAAAATAGAGTATTAAAGATGTTACTTCAACGGTTGATACATAATCGTTCTGGCCGTAAATTAAATACACAGGAACTGTCAGCTTTGATAAATTATAAATTGGAGGTCTAACAGTCCCATATAACTCTATGTTTTCCCGAATTCCATAATCGTAGTGTCTGAACTCGTCGGAATTTATTACTTGATAATAGTGGCTTATTGTTTTAATCGATGCTGCTTCCAAATTTTGTGCCAGTGTTATAGGTATAATCTCCTAGAATTTTCAGAAAACTCATCATCCATTCCTTTACATTGACAATAGTATTTTTACCGGATCGAATTGATCTATATCGTATCCAAATATATTCTGATACGCGAGTTGGCATTTTAACATTCTCTGAACATTTTGCAAACAGTTTCGTTTCAAAATCTCAATTGCAGCTTTCGTCCTTCTAAAGATAACTCCGTTCGTCAATTTCATCACATAAGGCTACAAAGAGAATAAATGAGATTTCTTCGTGGAAATTAATAATTTAGTACTTCTATTGTTGACCAAAATGGGGCAATTGGGTAGACTATTGATTTAAGATTCCTCAAGTATAAAATAGGAGCCAAGTTGATAAATAGCTTCACCCTATCTTCGGCTTCTTCAGGGTACAAAATGTTGTAGATATAAGCGGCTGTAGTACCCATAGAATATCCTATATAATATAATTTCTTTCCCGTAATACCTTTGACCAAATCCATTTGGACTCTCATATCGTATTTACCATTCTCGTGAAAACTGTAAATGTAATAATATTTGTACAAGAATGTTAGAGTATATTATTTACCTGAAATCCCAGAATGCTATGTCGTTAGTTTTCAATTTCACGTGTTTACTGGAATACCTATTTCCACGATAGTTGCCCAACCACACATCGTATCCAGCTTGGTGTAAAAGAAACGCTGAAATATTTATATATTTTTTTTTTATTAGAAAAGTACATAATAGTAATATATTAAATTATATTTCACCTATAGAATGATTTCCTGAATTGGTGAAGCAAATACAGGATATGGTAATACCGTGTTGAAGAAATACAGGTGGTCTCGAAGGATTCGGTATCCTGAAAACTTTTAAAATATAACCGTCCTCGGTTATCACCTCATAAGATTCCACGTTAAATCCATATCTTTGAATCATACTCGTCTAGAACAATAAATTACAAATATAAGAAATAATAAATAATCGCACTGACCACTTCCAAATATTGATCTGGATTGTGATAACATCCGTCAGAGCGTTGAGGATATTGATAGAACTCCTTGCAAACATTTAACTCGTGACAGTCGATAACATCCAACAGCAAGAATTGCATTAGTATTATAAAAGAAAATAATTTCAGCATTTTATTTGTAAAAAAATATCACTTTTGAATTACTCGACGCTATGTTAATAAAACTAGATAGTTACGGCAGTTTGCACCAGACACTGATATTTATGCTAAAGTAAAACGTTTTTTTCTGAAATAGAATTGCGAGTGAAAATGATTTAAATTATTATTAAGTGGATAATTGTAACGCATAGGAGAGTATTTAATGATCATTTTGTTGCATCTTGGTCAAGGAAACAATTATTTAATGTATAAACATTTTCTATTTCAATTCATTTGGAATATGTATTTTTAGTATGAACGAAATTAATTTACAGATTCTACCTTTATTATTTAATAGGGAAATACATAAACAGTGTTCATAAATGAAATATCTTGTCATTGTAAGATCTCTGGTAAAAATAGGGCCGTAAATCAAGAAATTTGAATAAATCAAGAGAAAAAAGATATTTGTAACCACTTAAACCAAAATTATCTACATATCAAAAGAATACAAAACCCTAATATTCTGCTTATATTCAAAACTAATTGCATTTATTTCTATCTTCTTATAATATAAAATGGATAGACCTTATGAATAACATGTTTTGTTTTGTGTCTAATTATGCGTAATAAGTAAAATATTGTTTCTTTATATTCAAAGATATGATGTAATTATGGTTAAGGCAAAAAAAGCTCCAAATTAAAATACTAATTAGCATTGGCTTATCATTATGTAGCATTGTATTTAAGGCTCAACGTATACAGGTCACCATTCACATAATATCCTTGATAGTCACAGCATTTCTTCGAAATGGTTCAAGTTTTGAATTTGAGTCTGATTTTCTTTTGCGTGATACTGCAAATCAATGCTCAGAAAGTTAATGTTTGCAAGAAATTCATAAATTATTACCTCAAATCTCCACAAGTATGTTACTACAATCCTGATCAAAACACGGAAGTTGTAAGTGTTGTAATTCGTTTTGTCAAGCACGTAATACAATTTTACTTGCATTTTGGTAGCCAGATATAGTTACGAGATTGGGATACCCTATTGAATCTTACAATGTTACCACAGAGGACAACTACATATTGACCGTTTTTCGTTTACCTCAACCTGGAGCTAAACCAATCTTCCTTCAGCATGGTATCGCTTTATCAGCAATTTGTTTCGTAGACACATTGGAATCATCGTTAGGTATTTTGATTTGTTATATTATTAAGTATTATTTGATGCAGTTCTTTATTTCATTTAGCATTTGTTTTGTATGATGCCGGTTATGATGTATGGATAGGAAACTTCAGAGGCAATAGATATTCCAACAAACACGTTACCTTAGATCCGAACACTGAAGAATATTGGAACTTCAGGTAATGTTTTTTAGATATATTGTAGTGTTTCAGTTATTATGAATATAATAATACCAATAGATTTGATAAGATTTACTTATATTTTAGTTTCCACGAAATGGGAAAATTCGATTTAAAAGCGCAACTAGGCTTAGTTTACAATGAAACTGGTAAAAAGATATATTATGTCGGTTACTCTATGGGTACTACTGCTTCCTACATATACAACATTCTGCATCCGGAAGATGCTTCTGAAAAGTTGGATATTATTGTAAGCTTAGCGCCGATTGTTTATATGAAGAACATTCCATCAAGCGTCGCGCAGATAGCTCCACTTTGGCCACTCATCGAAGTATAATCAATTTAAGTAACTACCGTCTAACTCTAAACTATCTATTTTTAGCCCTTAGTAACTAAACTAACGCACGGAGTAATCCTACAGAGAAGTAACGTTTCAATCAATTTAATAAAGACACTATGCCTCGGCAATCTCTTCGAGATGTTCGCTTGCCAAGCCCTAATTCAAAGCCTGTTTGGTTACGACAATGATCAACTAAATCCGGTAATTAAAATAATAAGTTTTAACTGAAACAATAGTTTTCAATTTACAGGAAACATTACCAGTTACAATGGTTCAAAACATGGAAGCCATTTCTACGAAAACTATTTCTCACTACGTTCAGTTTATCTTATACGGAAAGTTTTCTTATTTTAAATTTAATGAAGAGACTAATAAGCAAATCTACGGAAACGCGATACCTCCCTTGTATAACATAAGCTCTTTGAATGTTCCGATTTATTTGATGTACGGCAGTAACGATTTTTTCTCCACAATTAAAGTAAGTTTTAATATTTTTTTAAATACATTTGCACAATACGAAAGTATAATAATAATTAAATTTCAGAATGTAGACAAATTCTTTAATGAGTTACCAGAAGACACGAAGCAAAATGGAAAGTACCTTGTACAATTGAAAAAATTCAATCACGCTGATTTTATCACGGCCAAGGATATAAAAAGTTTGGTCTACGATCCTCTCATAAAATTCCTGAACAATTCCATTCTACAATCGTAAACAATAAGAAATGAATTTAACAACTGTCCTTACTTTTATATCTTTGACATTGCTTATTCCAATAATGTTAATGTGTTTATTTTAAAATAAATAATTTACGATTGCAGTATTCGTAAACAATTATGTTGTTTTGTTAAGTAAATTACTAAGTAGAGCGCTTTATAACTATCGGTATATTGTTTAACATTATTCACCTGCCGTCAATTACAAAATTGAAATGCGATAATTGCGCGTTATCAGCTCGTTGAATTGTACTTAAGGCAGGTCCAATTTGCACATTTTGTAAAATACAAGATGTTTCTATATAGTAACACGATCTTGATCTTAATATTCTCGAGTATCCTTATAAGAGCTCAACAGAATAACGTTTGCAAAGAATTCATTCAGTACATGACCAAAACCGATGGTTGCTATTACAATCCAGACCAAAACACGGAGCTTGTGAGTATTTCTTACTGATGGTAAACTTTTTGCGAAAATGTATAAATGGATTTCAGCCTGACATTGTAAAGAGGATGGGTTACCCTGTTGAAAATTACACTGTGACCACAGATGATTCTTATATATTGACAGTATTCAGAATACCAAGACCTGGCGCGAAACCAGTCTTCGTTCAACATGGTATTTCCGTATCCGCGATTTGCTTCACGGACACCTTGAATGATTCCTTAGGTATTTACTTAGTTCTTCCGGGGTAACTACTTATAAATATTTTTTATGTAGCTTACGTTTTGTACGATGCGGGCTACGACGTTTGGTTGGGAAACTTCAGGGGCAACAGATATGCAAACAAACATGTTTTTCTTAATACAGATACACTGGCTTACTGGAATTTCAGGTAACAACGAAGCATTTAAATTTTGCGATAAAAAAAAAATATATATTATTAGTTTTCACGAAATGGGCAAATACGATTTGAAATCGCAATTAGGGTTGGTTTACGAAGAAACAAACCAGAAAATATATTACATTGGTTATTCCATGGGCACAACCGCATCGTACATTTACAATATTTTGCATCCTGAAGAGTCTTTACAAAAACTAAATATTATGGTAAGCCTAGCGCCAATTGCTTACTTGAGAAATATGTCAGAAATTTTCGAATCGTTGGCTGAATTATGGATGCCTCTTGAGGTAATAAACACTAATAAATTAATTATAAAAGAAATTTGAGAATAAATCTTACAGCCAGAAATTTCTACAATTACCCACGGAGTAGTCCAACAAAGAAGCGAATTTTCGACATTTCTTACTGAAACTTTATGCTTATCGAATACCATCACGATGTTCATCTGTCAGGTCTTCACTCAGAGTTTCGTCGGAATGGATTTAGAGCAGTTGAGAGCGGTAATTTGTAAAGGTTAAAATCTGTAATTTTTTAACTGTTGGATGTTGCTAGGAAACGCTGCCAATAGTTTCAGTTCAGAATCCGGATGCAGCTTCGACAAAGACTATAACACATTATGCACAATTCGTAAACTCTAAACGATTCCAGTATTTTGATTACGGCCGTACCGCAAATACAAGAATCTACGGTGACCCAATTGCACCTTTGTATGATATAAGCAATATAACTATTCCTATATACTTGATGCATGGTGAAAACGATCAGCTTGCTACCATGTCGGTAAATAAGATTTGCACAAATTAACTTGTTGAACTTTATATATTTTTACTTGCAAATCATTTACAGAACGTTGAAAACTTCTTCAAGGATTTGCCAGAAAGTACAAAGAAGAACGGAAAATTTTTAGTGCCATACAAAAAATTTAACCACTTGGATTTCATTTCCGCCAAGGACCAAAAATCTTTGTTATACGACCCTTTAGTGAACTTTCTGAAAAATCCTATACTATAACATTTCCTTCGTTGGTGTCATTTATTATTGTTTTAATTAGATAGACAATAAAAATATAGAACCTCGACATTTTTATTTGCAATATAATAATAACGTAGTAAAGTAAAATATGAATATGTCTCTTTTTACAAATAGCATGCTGTTTTAAAAATATTCAAGTCAAGAATAAAATGACAGTTTTTAAAAGAAACTAAATTTCTCATCAAGTTTAAACTATGTATGACTTATTCTTATAGGAAAATGCATAGATTTATTTTGTTTAAAAAATGCAAGATGTTGATTCTATTCTACATAAATCATTTTTCGAGTTGCGAAATTTGATTTAAAAAATGTATCAAATGATCATACAATAAAGCCTTCCTATCTTTAGCTATAGTAAAATCCATGTGCGACAATTTCTCGTAAGGTAATTCGTATTTACCATAAGGCGTTAATCGTTTTGGTAACTCGTTATATAATCTTTCAACATTCTGCAATTATCTGGAGTTAGTAAAGTAGCATAAAATAGAGTATTAAAGCTGTTACTTCAACGTTTGAAACATAATCGTTCTGGCCGTAAATACATAGGAACTGTCAGCTTTGATAAATTATAAATTGGAAGTCCCATACAACTCTATGTTTTCCCTAATTCCATAATCGTAGTATTTGAACTCGTCGGTATTTATTACTTGATAATAGTGGCTTATTGTTTTAATCGATGCTGCTTCCAAATTTTGTGCCAGTGTTATAGGTATAATCTCCTAGAATTTTCAGGAAACTCATCATTCATTCCTTTACATTGACAATAGTACTTTTACCGGATTGAATTGATCTATATCGTATCCAAATATATTTTGAAACGCGAGTTGGCATTTTAACATTCTCTGAACATTTTGCAAACAGTTTCGTTTCAAAATTTCAATTGCAGCTTTCGTACTTCTAAAGATAACTCAGTTCGTCAAAGACGGCTACAAAGATAATAAATAAGATTTCTTCGTAGAAATTAATAATTTAATACTTCTATTGTTGACCAATATGGGGCAATTGGGTAGACTATTGATGTAAGATTCCTCAAGTAACATCAATCAGAGCGTTGAGGATATTGATAGAATTCCTTGCAAACATTTAACTCGTAACATTCGATCACATCCAGCTGCAAGAATTGCATTAATAATACTAATGAAAATAAATTCAACATTTTATTTTGTAAATAAAAATCAGTTTTGACACTATGTTAATAAAACTAGATAGTTGCGGCGGTTTGCACAAGACACTGATATTTATGCTAAAACAAAATGTTGTATAATGTTTATAATATAACATGGATAGACCTTTTGAATAACATGTTTTTCTTTGTGTCTACTTATGTGTGATAAGTAAAATATTGTTTCTTTATGTTCAAAAACCTGATGCAATTGTTGTTAAGGAAAGTTAAAAAGCTCCAAATTAAAATACTAATTAGCATTGGTTTATTATTATGTAGCATTGTATTTAAGGCTCAACGTATACAGGTCACCATTCGCATAATATCCTTGATACCTGCAGCATTTCTTCGAAATGGTTCAAGTTTTGAATTTGAGTCTGATTTTCTTTTGCGTGATACTGCAAATCAATGCTCAGGAAGTTAATGTTTGCAAGAAATTCAATTATTACTTCTTCAAATCTCTATATTCACGAGGATGTTACTACAATCCTGATCAAAATACGGAAGTTGTAAGTGTTGTAATTCGTTTTGTCATCATTCAATACAATTTTACTTATATTTTTGTAGCCAGATATAGTTACGAGATTGGGATACCCTATTGAATCTTACAATGTTACCACAGAGGACAACTACATATTGACCGTTTTTCGTTTACCTCAACCTGGAGCTAAACCAATCTTCCTTCAGCATGGTATCGCTTTATCAGCAATTTGTTTCGTAGACACATTGGAATCATCGTTAGGTATTTTGATTTGTTATATTATTAAGTATTATTTGATGCAGTTCTTTATTTCATTTAGCATTTGTTTTGTATGATGCCGGTTATGATGTATGGATAGGAAACTTCAGAGGCAATAGATATTCCAACAAACACGTTACCTTAGATCCGAACACTGAAGAATATTGGAACTTCAGGTAATGTTTTTTAGATATATTGTAGTGTTTCAGTTATGTATGAATATAATAATACCAATAGATTTGATAAGATTTACTTATATTTTAGTTTCCACGAAATGGGAAAATTCGATTTAAAAGCGCAACTAGGCTTAGTTTACAATGAAACTGGTAAAAAGATATATTATGTCGGTTACTCTATGGGTACTACTGCTTCCTACATATACAACATTCTGCATCCGGAAGATGCTTCTGAAAAGTTGGATATTATTGTAAGCTTAGCGCCGATTGTTTATATGAAGAACATTCCATCAAGCGCCGCGTTGTTAGCTCCACTTTGGCCACTCATCGAAGTAAAATCAATTTAAGTAACTACCATCTAACTCTAAACTATTTATTTTTAGCCCTTAGTAACTAATCTATCGCACGGAGTAATTCTACAGAGAAATAACGTTTCAATCAATTTAATGAAGACTCTATGCCTCGGCAATCCCATCGAGATGTTCACTTGCCAAGCCCTAATTCGAAGCTTGTTTGGTTACGACAATGATCAACTAAATCCGGTAATTAAAATAACAAGTTTTAACTGAAATAATAGTTTTAAATTTACAGGAAACATTACCAGTTACAATGGTTCAAAACAATGACGCCATTTCAACAAAAACTATTTCTCACTACGTTCAGTTCATCTTATTTGGAAAGTTTTCTTATTTTAATTATGGTTATGAGAATAATGAGCAAATCTACGGAAACGCGATACCTCCCTTGTATAACATAAGCTCTTTGAATGTTCCCATTTATTTGATGCACGGTAGTAACGATTTTTTGTCCACAATTAAAGTAAGTTGTTTTTGTAACATCAGTGATTTTTGCTCCAAACGAAAGTATAAATAATTACACTTGCACGAATAATTTACAGAACGTTGAAAACTTCTTCGAGGATTTGCCGGAAGGTACAAAGAAGAACGGAAAATATTTACTGCCATATAAAAAATTTAGCCACTTGGATTTCATTTCCGCCAAGGACCAAAAATCTTTGCTATACGACCCTTTAGTGAACTTTCTCAAAAATCCTATACTATAACATTTCCTTCGTTGGTGTCATTTATTATTGTTTTAATTAAATATTTGAATAGAAACTGAAAAATGCAGATTATTAGTGTAGACAATAAAAATATAGAACCTACTTTTTTTATTTTCAATATAAAAATTAAATATGTATATATATAACACAATTACTATTTAAATATGTAAGTAAAGGCACTAAAACCGTTTCAAATTGTGCCGATCCAACATAAAAACTATCCTATTATAAAAGCACATAAATATGTACCAAATTTTCAATACAACAATTCGTTATGTTACAAATCAACAATAAACTACATGAAAATGTCACTCCTTTTGGTACGATTAAAATAGCTATGTCGCTTAAATGAAACAAAATTTACAAGACAACAGGGATTAAGATAAAACGAATATTATTAAAAATTACATTAAATTTTTAATGACAAATTCCTCTGCACTCTTAAATTCAAATAGCTCGTCCTTCAAGTCCTGCATTCTTTCAATGTTCTCTTGATGGACCTTGTCAGTTGGAGATTTATACCTGACCATGTGGATCATCTTGTCCAGGATGTAATGCATCCATAATACATTTGTGTATGGTTTGTACTGTTGCCAATCGTTACTAAAATTAAAAATACATTCAATTAGTATGCACATATGGATACGGATTCCGTTAAATAGCTTACCCGTTGCACTTTTGCATCAACCGGTAAATCTCGAATTGATAATCTCCTTCGGCGTTAAACAAGTCTGGATCTTGGCTCAGATCGTTGAAGATGCAAATATCGTCATTGGTAATCCTCGATAGAGTAAAATCTATAATTGATGCTTGAATGTTGTAGCTACGCACAGCAACCTGTCTTCCGTTCAAGTTGAAGAAAATCGTTCCTTTCGGATGGCGCGTGTTGGAAATCAATACGTTTCCCCAATGCAAATCTCGATGCTCGAACTGTAGAGATGATTCCGCGACAGCCAAGGAAAACGCGATCTAAAAATAAATAAACACGTTTTCTTTCAATACCAGAACGTCAATTGCAAAACTTGCATTTGAATAAATTACATCAGTAGAACAATAAATTATCTACGAATTCAAGGCTTACACCTTTATCTATCACATGACTGAAACACATTGTAAATTTAATTTAAAATAATAGATAATTATAATGCGCCAACTTTTAGTATTAGCACGATCACATTCATTCAAAGTCCAACTTAATTTTTATAGACAAACAATCGCGGCAACATCGTGACATCTTGCGTAAGGTCAGTTGCAAATTTTTTCCTAGTTTCAACCGAACGTCGAGCATAAACTGATGATTATTCATGCGATTACTAATATATTTATCAACAAATAACGTGTTTCTTTTTTTTTTATTATCTAGAATTTAGAATGTTGATGACTAATTTACCTGCTTGAATACAGAAAACGCATGCTGTGCGTTCTTAAAGACGAATGACTCAAGATCCTGCCCTCCATTGGCTAGCTCCAGGATGATATAGAGCTGATCCTCGCCAAAAATATCGGGGCAATCATTATCTGAACCTCTGCTCTCCTCATACAAATCCCAAAGGTCCAAAAGCTTCACCGGATATTTGCCTTTCACGCAATGTATTTTGTATACCTCATTGAAACATGATGTTGAGTTCTTCTTACTGTTCCTCAAATCACTCAACTCTCTAGAAAAAGGTAATAAAAAAAACTTATTTGTAAATCCACAGAAAACAAAACAAACACACTTTGTAGGTCATTGCAAAAAAAAAATAGACACAACGTTTGCAGGAATGAAAAAAACAAACCTGGCCTACATATTAAAATAGATACAATGGTAAAGTACTCACTGGGCAATGACAATTTCAGATATAATTTCCTCAAATTTCTTCTGTCTCTCCCCATTAACTATCTGGTCTCCTTGTATGGGGATGACTTTCATAACAGATGTCCCTGCCTTGTTGTTTCTGTAGAGGAACACCTCCCCATAAACACCCTCTCCAATTTTGTGGCAGTTCTTCAGTAGACTGTAAATTGAAAGAAAAAAAAACACAATAAAATACATTGAAACACACAAAGAAAATATTAAAACAAGGACATTACATCAATCAAAATTTGCAACGCTAGTTCCGTGAAATAATCACCATGTAGTGAATTACGTCATCAATACATTCTGCGAGTTTTACGCAGAAACAACTCAATATTATTTAAAGTACCAATAAAAATGCAATAAAGATGCAATAAAGCAAGAAAAGTGATCTTGAATTATATATTTTGGAAAAAAAAACAGGAGGGAATAATAATAAAACTGAGATTATATGAGAGCCAATAATATTTTTATTGATCCATATCAATATGCTAAATGAATCAGTAGAGGTCAAATTTAAACATAACAGTAACAACTGATAATTGGTCCAATTGCCAATTGATTTTCCAATAGACTTAATATATTTTATGAAATATTTTAGATAAAACTGAAATTTGATATAGATGTTTTACTAGAATCTATAACATTTTATTTAAAACATAAAGCAATGAAGAAGAGTTATACTTGTTATAACAAAAAAAATAGATGTAATTGATATTTCTATAAACAAAGTGATTGATATAGAAATATCTAGAGTTTATTGAATTAAGGAATTAATAAATTAGTAGAATAGAATATTTATCTATCAACATTAATACTGATAATATAGATATGTCTAGGAACAAATTAATTCATATTGTAATAAACTTGTAGAGTTTATTATAAAATTTATGATATATGAATAAACTAACAATATATTGATATATAATAGAATAATTGGTATTCTGGGATTTGACAGAAGGAAAATAGTAGAAAAACAATAATTATTAAGAAAAGTTTCGTTTTGAGGTGAATCAAGACAATAATTATTAAGAAAAGTTTCGTTTTGGGGTGAATCAATCTGTGACCCAAGGTGACCTATTTTATTTAGATATGGTTTGTCTTTGATGATTGTATTTTTTGTTAGGTTGTTATGGAAATGATGGTAAATTTTAATCAAAATGGAGTTGAGAACCATCTTGGCTCGCTACAAAGCGGTACACAAATTTGAAGGTAATTACGATGGCATGAAATAACTGTAATAGTCTTACCTGTCCGGAAAACATTCCGCGAACGGAATAGGCTGAGTCTGCTCGCATCTTCTCAAGACCAAATCCCTGGCGCTGATAAACTCCAATCGAGGATGTAGCGAAAATCTCTTGCTGTGCCTCACCGACAGTTGCAGAAGTTGATCCAAAGCTGTCTCCTCGGTGAACGGTTTGGAATTCGCCAATGGTGGATGAACGACGCTGGCGTTGGTGGTTTTGTTGTTAGGTACATAACCTGTAGAAGGCAGATCGGGCGTGTATAAACACATGCAAAGCTTCTTGGGTTCTTCCTCGCAAAGATTCATACAGCACAGAAAACTTGTTGTTGCGATCTCTTCGCACGAATCGAATAATATATCGCAACTGGCAATAGCACTCCCCTGACGCACGGATGTAAATAAACGAAAAACGTAGTTCGGACGCGTACGTATTTTCCCCCCGCAAAATTCCCCACCAACAATGTTATGTGACTCACAGAATTGCGCCAGTTAGGCTAACCTTGACACAGCCTAATCTATCTCGTTCTAGCGCACAAGCTATATACAAATCGATCCTGCTCTTATACCGTAGAGAACACAGAAGAAACGACAGACAACGGACGCAACCGAACCAACAATGACCCTTCTTTCTCCCCCTTTCGAGTATATGATTAATGCATCTCTCGGAACTCAAGCATAATTAACCATTTCTTTCTCCCTCTTCTTGCTTTTCGCAAACTTTCTCTCGCCAAAAATTAAGAGAAATGCCTTTGTATAATTAAAAAGAAATCCCTTTCTCTCTTTCTGCTATTACCCAATCATTATTTTCATACATATGTTTGTTCTCAAATAAATGATTCAAACGTTAGAAAGAAACACATGTTGTGCATTGATTGTCATCAACTAGACTATAATTAACTCCAAAAGAAAGTAGAGTTATTCAAACTGTAATAAGAACATATACATTTTCAATTATCTTCAGTTTTTTGTTAACTATTTATGATACGAATTCAGCTTAAAGACAAGTATTTTAGTTATTTCTTCTTAAAAGTTTGTGTATCCATGAAATAACTCATTCTCTCCATGCAATAAAGAAGAATAGAAGTATTCTTATAATTTCTGGTGTTTGTCAACTAATTCTAAAATTCATAAACAATTGCTATTCACATTGTTTAAATTTCACATTCAATGTTAGTTTGTTACAATGATTATCCATTTGGTCAAGAACATTTAACAAAATCTCTTCATCATAAGAATCTTAGTATGTTTCAGAAGTATTTGAATTTTATAAAAAAAAATACATGTTATGACGCAATTAATTTAAAATAAAATTTTCATTAATATCTTTAATTATTTAAATATAATAACAATAACAGAATAATTTGTCATAAATTTTAAAGGATTCTCATCACGTCATTAATATAATCGCAAAAACAAATAAACACGTTCTTAACGTAAATTGCGTATCATTCTATATGCACATATCCTTGCAATTATTTTAGTTTTACAGCCTGCTGTAGATCGATGCAAAGAGCATAAATTATCTGCGTGCAATATGGTGAAAACAGAGCACATCAAAAATTATGTTTGTAAACAACAACATATTTTTTCGAGTCACAAAACTAGGAGGAACAAAAACCCGTTGTTGTTTTGCACGATTCATTAAAGCTTTTTATCATCAACAAATATTGACTCATCGCGGTTATCTTTTTAATTATAATATATTGACAATAAAACAAAAGAAACAAAAGCGAACAGCTGAAATTCTTGAATTATGAAGCGAATTACAACAAGCAGACAAATAATATTTTTCAAAAATCAAAAATGAGTGCAAAGTTTCTGAAAAAATCGTTTTGTTTGCGCCAATTTCGATGAATATTTATTTTCGTCCAGTCTAGTTCATAAAATAATCATATGTAAACAATGGTATATGGGTTATTTCAAGTTAAAAGAAACAATATTAAAATTCTATTTTTATGCAAGAAACAGTAGTGTATTTATTTATACTAAAAGTTGTCAATATTATAGAAAAAAAACAAAATTTTATTTTATTTGGACTTGCAAGATTATTTAAGCAGTTTTTACATGAAACAATTCAACGATTATTGAAATAATTTACAATTTCTTTTTAATTCCATATTGTAATTTTAATTTGTATTTTATCTCCACTTAGCAAATCGATAATTAATTAAATATTTTGGATTATATAAATATAGAATGATAAAAAATAAATTATTAACAGAGCAAGGAAATATCAGTATCAGCAAATGATATTAATTATGAATAATAAGGAAGTTAATGATAAATTGATTATCAACTAATACGTGTTATGAGTAAAGAGTATAAACATATAAAGCAATTCAATTGTAATGTATGTTAGATTGTTATACGCAATAATTGCACAATAATTTCGTGACTACCAAAGCATTTTCGCGATATTCCGTGAAGCAATTTTACTTTTATACCGTTATAGCAAAATATATTTTTGGCCCCAAATAAACTTTTGCTGCCCAATTCAAATAACAAACAAACTCATATAGCAGAAATGCTGGAAAAGCAAATATAATTTAAGAATCTAACAGATTTTAGAATTTTAGTGCATATATGAACATAATTATCAACTACAGTGTTTAATTCGTTCCAAAATTTCCGGATTTTTGAAACATATTCAAAAATGCACATAATAAGTGTACACAAGTTTTAAAAATGATGTAGCAGGTGCGCAATTCAGGACTTCTCTTCTCATTTATCTTACAATTCATTTTGCACTGTATTGTTATTAATTCTTAAAAAAAAATATTAGTTTAAAAAAATCATTTTAGTTCTGCTTACTCAGGAGATCAACTTGTGAATGTAATTAACAGATATATTGCTATACATTGTAATTACTTTTATGTTGCAATATAGACGTTATTTAGCGCAACATTGCAAATTTAAACTGCATACAGAAGAAATTTTCCAAATCATCTTTGCAAATCGATAATTTCATTTTAAAAACGTAAATGCAAATTGCACAACGAAGGCCAAAGTTTTCCACTCCGAAATTGTGCTAATTGTTTCTAAAGAAATCCCGTTTGGTGCGTGGATAATCATTGATTTCCAAGAATAATTTGCTATTGTTAGATTGAATAAAAGTCACGTATATATTAGATATCAGACTAATGGTAAACCCATCCATTAAACACCGAAGTCATTGTCCACTAAATTAGGATTTGACTTTTTAATAAATGCTAATCCAATTTGAACATGAAAATCAATTTTGCATTACACGAATAGATTATAACATCAACCGTAAACATCCGAAACAAACTTATCGGGATTTATCACTTACGAAGTGAATGAAAAAAACAAAATTATATTCATGACCTCTCCGTGGATCTTTGCACTGGTCACCTTGTGACTAATAATGTAAAAAAAATAGTAACAAACAAATATACTTTACCATCGTTTTGAAAGCTTTCTGCACTGTCGCTGGTCCTTGTTGTTTTCGGGATGAACTTGATAACAGATTGTCTGCAAACAGACACGTCCAGCAGTTGTTTGCGTAAGCTGAACGATCCCAGGACTGCAAAAGAAAGAGAGTTATGAATATTAGGTAATTTGGGTTCTGGTCGTTGGTATATTTACGAAGGTCGATCGCATTCCGACAATTTGAGCCATAATTATTATTAATGTATATGTCTATCAACCACATTAAACGAAAAACACAGAAATTTTGTCACGTCAAAATAAAATCTGATGAAATGACATAGTATCACTAGCTTATTCGATATTAAACGTTTGCTACCCAACGAGAAACAAAATTTGAATAAATTTGTATCTAGGAGTATGCATAGCATTCTCGTTGTTGTTTTTTTTTAAATACTAGAATAATAGTATGCTAAGATTCTTCTAGAAGTCGACAAGTAGAAGGTATAAAATTCATGTAGCAAAGCCTAAACTCTCATTTTAATTTATCTTAGATTCTTTAAAATTGTTGATCATTAACATCTAATTGAAATAGTATACGAAAATAAAGATAATTCATCTTACCATTTTCATTTGAAATGTTTGAACTCAAATCGACAGCCATCGTAGACCTTTTTAAGAAAGCCATAGATCGTCGCCAGGATTTTCCAGGCTTAATTTTAAATCGTCTGGGTACCAAGAATGTATCAATTTTGTCATCTGCTTCGGAGATTTGAGTATTACACTCTTTAGTGGTGTTCACCACAGATGTTTGCAGCTGATCAGTTTCCATGTTACTGAAACTGATGGTCTGTTCTACAATGCTATCTGAACTATCTTCCACATTAATAACATTTGCATTTGAGTGATCATCATCTGCAAAGCTATTGATAGTAACATCAGAAGATACACTTTCAGCTACATCTATATCCAAAGGATTTCGATTTGTATCATCAGCGTATGGATTCTCTATTGGCATGGACATTGCAGTTCCATTTCTTCGTCTCGTAAACACGAATCTATCCTTTCGTAATCCGCTTTTAGAGATATTATTTGTACTTTCCACTGAGTTGTTCGTGCAATCATTTATCATAGATATATTATAAATTCGTTTTCGTCGTGCAACAACGAATTTATCCTTTTTATATTCACTATTATTCTTGCAATTATCTAAAGTGTCATCGAAATTTTCATCTAATGTAGGGGTTTCAGAAAATTCTGATTTAATATCAGTTTTTTCATTTAAATCACTTGAGCTATCAATAGTAATGCATGATGTTATTATATCATTTAATTCAGTTTCACTGTTGCAAGTATCAGCAGCAATGGAATCTAGTGCTAATTCACTTCTCTCATGGTCTGTTTGCAACTCTTCATCATCATTATCTTCAATATCTGATACAGATATTCTCAGTCTTAATGTGTTGGTTTCATTCATTTCAATTGTATCTCTTATTTGCTGTGATACACAAACATATTTATTTTTTGGTGATTTAGGATAGCCAACGTTGTCAATAATCTTACGATATTTCCTTTTCCTTCTTGGAAAATCTGTGGAAGATTGATTTATATCATTGTATGTTTGACTAGTGGTTGGAGAGTTTCCATAACAATCAACTGTTCTTGAATCAGATATATCTATGTTATTTTTTAAATATGATTCTTCTGTACTTTCAATTGAAGTTTCTATATCTGATTCAGATTCTCTCTTTTTGGATTTTTCTAATTTCCTTAGTAAGCAACTTCTTGGCATATTATTAATAATATTTTTAGTACTCCTACAATTCTTCCTTTTCTTTATTGGCATTTCAATGGAAGATGATTGATTGCTTTCTTCACATGATTCTTGGCTGGATTCTTCATCGACTTGGATGTCTTTGCTTTCAGACTCCATTATATTGCTAGCAAAGTTTTCAAATTCATCCAAAGAAATGCTATTTATCTTAGGCTTTAAGTGTATTATTCGATCATCTACTTTAATATAGTTTATTTTTCCATATATTATTTCATCAGGTAATCTTTCAATTCTAATAATAGGTTTCATGTTCAGTTTGCTTCTTGGATTATTGTGTCCTTGAAAACTAACATTTAGAAATATTTGATTTGGTTTATCATGTGTTATATCAATGGAGCAATAAGAATGTTCAAAGTCAATTCTTTTAATTTTAACATATTTATTTGTAATTGGTGACAAACTTTCATTAACAAATTTCTTTTTATATGATTTGACAAATGGTGTACTTGATGGTAACATTCGATTAATACCATTTAGATTCTTAGACAACTCATGGTCCTCCGATGTATTAATCACAATCAAGTTTGATGCTTCATTATTAGGGTTTACCTTCTCAATCTCTAAACTGTTATTTATTGATTCGGAAAGCCATTTGGCATTCCTCAACTCCCTAATTTTTGCAGTATTTACTCCCTTCTTCTTCAATTTCTTCTTTTTTTCTTGCACATTTTCTTCTATGACATCCTGCACTTCCAAAGAACTATTACATTGGGGTTCTGTGATATGTTTGAATTCTACTGGCTGATAGTTCTTGGTTCTCAACAGCTTATCAAATGCAGTTTCAAACATTCTATTCACAATAAGAGAATGTGAACTATCCATACTGACCACATCCTCATGCAATAACTCAATTGTTTCATTTGTATTACTCTCTCCATTCTTGTTAGAATTATTGTTAGTATGCAGCACATTTTTTGTTTTATTAATGTTCAGATCATATGTTTTCAAACGGTTTGCCATATTTTGTCCTCACTCACTTTCAATTGTTCATGTCATAATTCAAATTATTTAATTTTCATCATTTTATCACTTATGTGAATTTTTATTATACACTAGCTCCTTATGCTACCAGATATAGCAAAAGAACAAAAAACAATTATTTTTGTATGAACCTATGTTCCTGCAATGTCTGTAAGTAAATATAGTTTCTTAATCACTAGTATTATAACAAATCACTTCACTATATACACTAACTTAATTACTTTCAATTTTATCAATTAATAAAAATATTTATATATTTTTTAAACCAGAGTATTGTGGTTTTGTATTTTATATTGTTTACTTCATGCACACTGCTGCCAACAATATAATAATATCAAAAATATATAAACAAAACAGCCAACATAATAATTGAAAAAAATAAATATTGGACAAACTTTTGGGTAAACTTTAGGTCCATGTATCCACAGAGAAGTAGTTTGCAAAGAATAAGAATAGGTGTTCTTATAATAGAAGATACTAACAATTTTAAATAGAGCTCATCAAATTATATATGATTTTTGTAAAATCAATACAAAAGTTATAACATCAAATGATAACAACTTAATAATACTGATTTCTATTTGATAAACTTGAAATTTCAATGATAAAATACAATAAAACATTGATATAACTTCTCGTATTTTTTTTTCAAATCTTTGAACTAAGAACTATAAAATAATGAAATGTGTAACAAATTTTAGTATTAGTTTATTATATTTTTAAAATGTACATTGGAATGAGGTTAAGTACAATTAATACTGTGAAATAATGTGATAAGGGACAAAGGAGATGTTTTTGAGCGCTTTTAAAAATTGGTCCAAATATGTACACTATTTGGCATTAAGACCCTATTCCTAGTAGACTAACGGCGCTGGGTTCATAAAATATTAAAAACTTAACAGAAACACAGAGAAGGATAAACACGAAAAAAAAAAATAAGATAAAATAATCATATGAATACATTAAATTATGTAAGTGGGGAAATAAGTGATTTCCTACTTTCCGAACCATTCGCTTACTCTGCCATTATCGAAAACCAAATTGTGTTTGGGTAACGGTATTAAACGGCCGCGTTTCATTATACCCATCTTCTCGCCCGGATAATACTGCAAGAAGAAAAGAGATTAATCTTTGATCCGCATGATGAATCCATCAATATATTTACTTGACATTGTGATATGAATTCAAGCAGTGATGTTCCCAGTTTCCGGCTGTTCTCCGTCAACGCTTTCAAACTATAACAGATTAACGATTATGAATTTTGCAGTATTAAGGAAGAAAATGATTTACCTTTCAGTTTCGGATAGGCCCCCGTAGATTATGCTATCACAGATTTTTGTATTCGCATCGATATCGAATAAGGGAATTCCAAAATGGCAATCAAGTAACGTCCAAGTCTGAAGCAAAATAATTATGATAATGTCAGAAAACAAACATAATATGTATGTTTAGTATAATTGATACCTCTTTATTGTCTTTGTCGCAGGAGCTTACAGCTTCTTCAATCTCTTTACTCAAACTGTCATTGTTTCTTGAGAACATGTTTATGTTTTCATCAATAGGCGTCAATAGTGTGTCGAAGGAATATACGCTATCCAGTTTCAGTTGCAAATTCTCGTGTTCGATCAATTTCGCATTTTCCTCTAACTGATCTAATTCCTGGCACAATATGTCCTTGCAATCCTGACTGGTGAAGCCATTAGCCGGTGAAGACCTCGCACTGTTCGTAACCGGCGTCAATGCGAAATGATTTTCATCCGGCGATCGTAAAGCAGCCTCATCCTTAACAAGATCCTCCGTATTTTCAGAAGATTGCTCCGATTTGTTTTCGTCGACCAATTTCACCTCGCTCTTGGATTGCTTGTTGACCCTACCGAGCCTTACCTGAGGATCAAAATTTTGGCACCCAAAGTCCGGAACGCCAATGTCCACGAACGTTAAATATCCGCAATTATGATCGATATCAACGACTTTCTTTAGGTTCTTAATGGCTTGATGGTTCGGTTTAATGATGATGTTTAATTCACCTAAAATATACAAATTCGGAGTATTATTTTCCAAATTTCAATTCAAATTCCTAGAAGAATAATTACCTTTGGTTTTCAGATCCGCAGTAATAGGGAATGGCACGATGCACGTTTTGGCAGGATCGAGAACGCCGTAGGCTTGCACGAGGACTGGGGAATGCTGCAGGGCGGAATTAACATGATGGAAGTTTGATATTGGAATAATGGCGGGTTCGTGCATCCAAGCAGTTACCAATAACCTGGAGAATCCCAAAAATATTCTAGGTAATTGCTTCAATACAGTTCCTACAACAGCAAAAACCTTTAGAATCAAATTAAGAAGCTACAAGTTATGTTCAAACCTTTGACTAGTAGCAATGTTGGAGGTCCATAACCCGTCATATGGTATATGTACATTTTTAACCATAACGAGTTCACCTCTGGTACAGACGGACCTAGGTGCGGTGGATCCAAACCGTATATAGTCCGTACTTCCTTGCTTAATGGTGCCATGGAAACTAAAAGCCTGCCAACCGATTACTCTAAACACTCTTCTTCAACACACTAACTCACTTGTATTTCTTCTTCAATAGTCGCAAACATGTAGCTTCGTCGAGCGAGTGAAGACTCTCTAATCGAACAAGATCCAATCCTGGACCCGGGAGTTTCCTCAAAGCTAAAACAGTAGATCTTAGCAAGACGGCATGCTCGAAGTACCGTCGAGCTTCGCCTTCGCCCTCAGCATCCAAAACTGACACCTTCTCCAATTCCGACAAAAAACTATCCATGCTCTCATCGCACAACTTCCCAACTTCAAACATGGTTACTGCATGTTTCTTTAATCCCTTTAAAATGTAAATTTCCTCTTTAATATATTTCTATACAGTGAAAATGCGGTATTATTAAAATAAACTTACCGGCGATAAATTACCCATCATTAAGAATGCAGTTAATGTGGAATCAAACAGGAATGCAACCCTCTGTCCGCTCTTCGACAGAGTGCTGGCAGGACTGTCTGGGGTGTCGCTCTGAGGCGATTGCAACTCAACATCAATCATGTTAACGTTCGAACCCAACTCAAGTGTTAGAGGTGTTATATCAACATTCCTGCAGGTGCAGAATGTAACAAAAAAAGGTTACACAGACACTACTATCAAAAAGAAAACTTACTGAACATTTGGAGATGGTTGGTTTGTCCATGAAGGATGTCGCTTCATTCTGCTTTGTTCCATTTCTGCATCAAATTTACGTGCGAATCTTAGTCGACAATACAATGAGACGGCTTGCTTTACCAGCTCAGTTTCCACTTGCAAAACACCGGCCAACTAGGAAATAACAATTATTATGTAATCTATAGAAGAGTGATAAACAACAAACTTCGCCAACTGTAGTATGTTCATCGATAGACACGAAAATCTTGTAGAGTAAAGTTTCGAAATAATCACCGAGAACACGATTCATGACAAATCCCTGCAAAGGAGGAACTTGCACTCTATCCATAGCCGTAATTGGAACATCAATATAAATTAAACCTTTCCTATAAGAAATATAAATCAAATACGATTAAAATAAATAATTATTAGATTAAAACTTACTTGTATAGACTTAAAACTATATAGTAATTTAATTCTCCTGCAGTCTGTGATCCATAGTCTATAAGTGAATCAATAACTTTCAATTCCTCATCATTGACCATCTTGATATCTTCTTCTAACACCATTCCAACTTCCACTCTCCACCAAGGTTCAACATGTACATCACAGGGTATTGGTGGAAGCAATCCTCTGACATTTTTCCTACCAAACAACTTTCCCCTATTCGATCTAGACCTATTCATCAATTCAATATACTCATTTCTTCCAATCCCCAATAATCTTAAACCTATAAAAGTTTAATTATTTAATCAATCAATTAATGATGTTTGTAAACTTACAATCTGCAGCTGTAAAATTAGGAAGAGTGTCATAGCTCTTCTCAGCTTGCATCAGTTTCTCAACAACAGAAACATAGTAGTTAAATGGTGTAATCCTGAGGCCCTTCACAATCATATCAGCCAAATGATAAGGGAAGAGCATAAGTCTCTCCCTACTGAATGCAATAATCTGTTCATAATATTTCTTCTCATCCTTGCAGATGTGTCTCACTAAAACAATTGCAAAGTTTGTAATCCATTTTCTATTAACCTTCAATCAATCTTATCTTGTATTCTTATCAGAAAATACATAATGTGTTTATAATTATTCACCTAAGTTTCCCTTGTACCTAAGCTGATTTTTGATGCTAAAAGATAGAACCATGCTATTGTAGCTCTTGGTATTGTTGCCAAGCATCTAGGAAAGATTAATTCATTGTTTACTTATGATTAACATGATGGTTTATTCAAACTGACCTGCTTCACGTGAGTAGGTAACTGTGCCCAGGGCACGTTCTTCCTTATGTTTTCTTCTATTTCGACGTTCATTTTGATCACCTTAAAGCATCCATAAGTCCGATAAGATCCTAACTCTGTTATACATCTATTATTGTTTTTGTACTCGGAGGTTTACAGTGTGGATCTCAGCTGTCATCAACTGTCACGTAAAGTCAAAAACCATATGACTGGCAGGAATGCCATCAGAAACAACAGAAATTACCAGACAAATATTTGAACAAAATGTTTAACTATTTTTCACGTTTATTTATTGTACAACTATTATACCAAATTAAATAAATTATTGCAAAATGTGTGTTCATGCTTCCTATTTACATTACATCTTGGATGATTTATGATATTTCAAAACCCTTTTTTCCTCTGTGAAGGCAAAAGGGACTCTTTGGCATAATTAAATAGGGATAAGACACCATAACGTTTTCCTTTCTTGGAAAAGTAATTTGTCACCACATCTCCTTCTGAAATTAAAATAAATTTTAATATATTCCTACAACTAATTTTTTATATTAAGATACCTGTTCTATCTGTAGAGGTAGGTAACACATAATCATTGGCAGACAATGATACAAAGAGAGCAAAAGGTACTATCCACAAGCATATTGTGAAATATGCCATTACCTAAAAAAAAGACTTTTAATGTGAAATTATGTAAAAGCTGATAAAAATTTACCTCTGAGAAAGAATAAAACTCTGTTCCAAAATATTGGAAAGCCAAGTAATGATTAACAACAATGAAGGAAATGGCTGTGATAAATGTTGGTGACAAGAATGATACATATGGAAACTTCTGCAGTATCAAGAAATGGTTGATTTGGCTCAGAATACCACATATCGATAGGGTATTTGGAAACCCTTCTACTGCCCACAAAAGGATGAATACAATCAGTGTGATCTGAAATTCATATTAAAATTGCTGAGTATTGTTAAATTGTTATAATTGTTGGATTCATTGCTTACTGAATTAGCCCATGTTATCACTTGCTTGGCTATGACTGTGTACTCTTCCACTACTTCAGCTAAATATAATAATCCAGAGGCTGTAAAAGTATAAAATAATTTTGAATTTATGAACTATTTAAAATAATAATATAATCACCTAATCCTACTGTTATAAAACATATTTGTATGGTAAATGCCAAATAAGTTAAAATTGTTAAAAACCACATGCTTTGTGTACACTTTTTTTCTATACTAATCTAAAAGTGTGTTATGATGTTTCTCATAACATATATTTATTTCAGTAAAAGCAGATGATTTTGATAACTCATACTTAGATATCAACAACTTATAACAATTACTGTCAACCGAGTGCCGTGTTGGATGCTTAAATTATGATTATGCAACTTAATGAACGTCTGTACATCAGATCTTTAAATACATTTTTCAAATTTTTCGAACATATGACAAATTGAAATAGAAAGGAACAATAAAAAGAAATACTTTCTAAGTAGAAAAAAATATTATTATTATTATAAAGTACTTATTCTTATCCACATTTAATAATTACAAACAATACCAAAATTGGAAGCTAAAAATGCCATCAACATTTCAAACAAGATGCATTTTCATTAACCAATTAATTGATATATTTTTTTTTACAAAACAACCTTTATAGTATATATTGATACAGACATTAATATTATTAATTTTGCTCATGAAGATATAAATCATTCATAAATTTAAAAAAATATATATATAAAATAATAAAGTAGTGAACGATTTTACAAATAAATAAACATGTTAAAACAATAGGGAAGGACTGAACAGAACATCATCAATAGAATATATATTATATCACACATCTAGTTCCCCATTTCTTGTCTTAAATAATTTCAACGTGACGATCTTACTTAATAAGGCATTATCCTGAGTGGTGGTTTTTTTTACGAGCGTTGATGATAGGCTATAATTCAACTTTCAAATGCGTAAAACGCTTTGAAGAAGGTGATAACACCTTTATGATTTTCATTGGGGAAAGATTTCGCGCTCTGTTCTCTAAGGTATTTCTGGAATTCTGTCTCGAAATCTTGCTCATATACGAGCCGTACCTCTACAAAATTGATTATGGCCTTGAGCAGCAACATGCTTATTACCTGCACTTCGGAATTGCTCTGCTGCAAGTAGAATAGGTTGAAGAGCTTGGTAGAAACTAATAAGATATGTTCTTCAATGAATATAGACTTATCATCGTAGCTTAAATCATCTTCTAAAGCCCACATATATTTTTTGAGGAATTTAGTAGCGCGCATAGCGATCACTTCGTTTTCCTCGTATGTGTTCAATTCACCTTTGTCGAACAACTATAACCAGAGGATTATACTAATTATCTTTAGTAATGTGTTTGAAGGTACTTACCTCAGCTTCCATGTATGTTTTAGGTTTTGGTAATATTAAGTGAAGATAAATGTGCATTGCTTCTTCAAATGGAATCATTCCTGGCATATACAACATTAATTCTTCCAACGACTTTTCAGGTATCACATAGACGCCCAAAATAAATCTGTAAAACAAATATTATTTTACATAATACATAAGATACTTTTAGGGCGTTGTATTTAGATGCAAATACCTTCTGATAAATGGCGAAATGGGCCATTGAATGTAATTTGTGATTTTACTCATTCTTTCTCTGACAATTTCTTCTTGATCCTGCAATAGGCTTATCACGATATACCAAACTTGTACGATATTGTTCACTAAAAATAAAGTAATGTATTTATTAAACAATCCTGTAGGGTGATAATGATTAAGAAATTACCGCAAAGTACTTCGATGTCGTGTAGAAATTTAGAGTTCTGCACTAAAAAGTTACAAACTGCCAGCCGCTGGTCAACGGAAGTTTCCATTTTCGAGAAAGGCTTCAATATGTCGTTTATAAGCGTAGTGTAGCTCATTTTCTGCTTGCTTTCGAATGCCAATGTGCTTATTATTGGTAATATAACGCATACCATATCACCGCCTTTGCGAATGCATTCGCAGATCATGAAATCCATGATTGTCTGTCTCGATACTGAGACGGGAACAGTCTTAGGTCTGAGCTTATTTATGATACAAGGAAAATAAGGTAAAATTTGGCACACTTTATAGGAATACTTGTCACTACGGTTGATCATTATGTAGAAAATGTCTGTGAACAGATTGTAGCATCCCAGATCTGTGGTAATCATGCTAGCAATTCGCATTTTCATCACCTCGTTCATAGGTTGGATTAGTGTTGATTCACGATATACTTCTCTGTCCTCCTCGTCATTTATAGGGAAATAATTAAATTTCTTAAAGAGGCTATTTGCAAATAGGAAATGTATACAATTGATCGCGTATATTTGCAAATCTTCGTGGGGATCGTGCAGCGCCGACAACAGTATATTCTTTATAAACTTCTCTCTTTCACTCGTGGCGATATCCAAAATGTAAGCGAATATATGTATAAACAAGGTAATCTTCGTAAGCACGAATGTCTTGTGTATGGAAACATTGTATTTTTCTTTATCCACTTCGGGTATCTTTATCAATACTAACATCAAATCGTTGAATTCCCTTCGCCCAAAGCATTTGCTTTTGAACCTTAAATGATAAATGTTCTTCACCGCATACATCATCTAATTAAGAAATGCTTACTTGGTAAGGAATTGCAATATCAGTTCCATGTATAATGTGGCTGTCAGATGAGGAATCGTTATACCAGACTCTTCTATTATCCAAAACGATCCGGTAATCAATGCAGGTACGTCGAATTCTGTTGGAATATTTATCGGCAAGTTTTTCACCAATACATTCAGCTAAAAAAAAATCAATTAATATATTTTAATATAATTAAAACTGAGAATTTGTACTTGAAGTAATTTGCCGTGAAGGGCATTGTTGGGTATACGCTCTCTAATTTCGATTAGTGATTTTTTAACGTATTCGAAATACTCCTCTAATGGTATTACTGCTATAGAGGCCTGGGCAGCAAGTTCTCGCATCTTCATCATCTTATTCTTCAAACATTCTTCTACAAATAATAGATATTGTTGCATCTGAAATAAATTTAGATGTTATCATTTTTTTTTCCGTATAAAATTGATTGTAAGTCTTACGTCTTTTTTCTCTCCTGATGAATAGAGTCTAGATAATATGAAAAGCAGAGGGTACAGAGACGCATTGTCGAATCTTTCAGTCATGTATTCTTTCAACTTTCCCAAGATAAAGCCGTATAGCTCTGGATATCGCAAGAAAAAAACTCTAGCGGACAATCGATTCTTAATACTCAGCTCTTCGCTGTCCTTGGTTCTCTGCACTCCGAAGATCCTCGTCATCAGTGCAGAAAATAATAAAGTTGCCGAATTTCTGACATTCCACGATAGGTGTCTGAATCTGTTTATTGCAATTTGTACACCTCTACCTACATATGGAGTTACTAATTCACCAAGTTGATTATGCTTGAATAGAGCTCGCAAGATGTTCATGCTATGAGTTGCCCCCATATCATTGTTGAAATCATTAGCAATTTCTATTAACGTATTCATGGAATGATGGAAAGTTTCATTACTTCTCTCTGGTGGTTCCGTTGTTAATATAGCCTAAAGAAAACAAATACTATTGATGTTTTTTTCAAATATTTAAGTTTACCTGAAACATGAATGGCAAACCAGCACTTCTTCGCGTCGGGCAAATGTTTGCATAGTCGGTACTTCCTTTAACTACATCGAGATTAATTTTCATCCATTGAACAGGCCATTGCATAAACATTTCACCAGCGCTTCAAATAAAATAAGTTCGTTAATTCCTCATAAACATTTCAATCTATTCGAACTTACTTCCATAATTTACGGCAGAACTTGTTGAAACCTACGAATGCCTGCTCGTAAGCTCCACGATGTTTGGTTTCCATGAAGAGATTGATAAAATAATCGGAAACTTGAGAAAGATACTCAGGAATTTCTATTAAACTATCAATACAGAGCTCGCCCAGAAGCAAAGAAACTTCTTTCGTCGATCTCCAGGCGTAAATTAAAATCATTTGCGATGTTACAGTTTCATCAGCCACGAGTTCATCATCGTTGGGCATGTAACCCTCTGGCGATGAATTATTTACAATTGGTAAAACAATATCTGAGATAGTTAAGCAAAGGTCGATTAATCTAGGTACTATTTCCGGATTTTTTTGGCTAGAAATACAGTAATTAAAATTGAAAATTGTTAAAAAAACGTTGAACGCTCACTCATATGAATGTTTAGTGATTATATGTCTGAGAGCAAATATTAATCCATGAATTGGAGCATATTTCGAAGCAATCGTAATATTATCAGCGGCAACTCCCAAGCCCATTTGGATTTCTTTAAAGAGGTAATTGACCAAGAGTGTCAGGGTATTTATACCTTCCATGTTGACCAACCTTTCATCGAAAGGTCTCAATATATCACCAATAACTTCGTGAGCATGAGGAGATTCCATGAGAACTTGAATTTGATAAGCTGCCGTTACTGTAGATGTGGGTTTCAGACTGGCGGCTAATACGATACTATTTCTTAACATGTCCTTCAATTCAACTTTCGTCTGAAACGATTAATGCAGACTAAAATTTGTAGATCAAAAGTAAAGAAAACTCACGTGATAGTGTACCACTGACTGAGGTAATTCCAGTAATAATCTAGTAGCCATCATGATATTTGATTCAAAGGAATCAACTAATGATTGGTACAATAGCTCTACGTGTTTTCTATTCCACAACATTTCAATTATATCAGGCTGCAAGATATCTTTAAGGTTTATTAACAATTCCAAGCAAATGCATCTCCTGGAATAATTCACGTCGTTGTATAGACCCTTCGTTAACTCTTCCACGAATATATCAACAACAAACTCCTTGTAATTTTCCCGGTGAGTATTCAAATCAGCGATTTCGCTAAACCCGCGAGCACGCCCCTCACTAGACATTAGACTTCTAATGTTCCTTTCGATAACGTACATACCGTCTTTGTATCTAGTAAAAGCCTTTTTATATAAAGCTAGCATTTGCTGGCGTAAGTTAGGTAATTGCGTGGTGACGTTGTAATGTAGAAATCGAATCAGAAATTTTAAATCCCACTCAGTAAAGAACTGTGTGCTTTTCTGGCTTTCTACTACCAAAGTTAAGGTTGCAATGCGTATCTAAAACGGGAATGAATGCACAATTTGATTCTCCAGCTCAAATAACAAACTCACATCTGGGTTTTGATCAACCATCAAGAGTTCCAACAAATCGAATTCAATCATACCATTCCAATACATATCATCATCAAATTCCTCATCATAATCGTTTTCAGGGTGTAATGTAATATTCAATTTACGCGCTAGGACAAAGCAACTCAAAAGTACACTCAATTCCCTGGGATTGTCGTATTTGATTCGATCGTACGACCTGAAAATATAAATGCAATCTTCTATTAAGTATTCAATAGATTTACGCTACAATACTTACAATAGTTTTAACACCGAGTTATCAAGTTGAAAGGCTTTAGTGAAAACTTTTTTCAAGTAGAAATGCAAAGTATCATCGGTGGTTTGAAAAAGTGGCACCAAATTTCTCACCCACAGCCTCGTCCAAAGTTCTTTCGATGATTGTTCTTTAAAGTTTTGTTCCATCATTATTTCGTAACTATTGCTCACCTATTGAATTAAACAATTAATCTTCTTAAAGTAACATAAGTCGGTTTTACCTGTTGCGTGAGAGTAACATTTTTCATACTGTTTAACAAGATTCCTGGTAAATTAGGAAATTTACTCAAAATATAGTTGGACGTTGTTTCAGTGCTTATTATCGTTAGAGCTTTGTAATTAGCATTAGACTTATCGAACATCGTCGTTAGGTGCGATATCATTCTATCAATTAACTCACTATTACCTACAATCAAATAATACTTTTTAAAGTTTGTACAATACATTAGTGACTTTTTCTATATTTCTTAATGATACTGAAATGGATCAAAATAATGATATGGAAAAAAACTGGCTTCACTTTAGATTGTTAATAGATACCTTGAGATTCATGACGAACAGCAGCTTTAGCAACGTTTTTCAGTACAAGTGATGTATCGTGTCTTACGGTATCGAGGTAATGGTCGAGGTGGGTCCATATATACTCCAATGTGGAGTTATAAACCATTAAAATTGCCGAGATATGCATACTACTCAAGAGTTTGGATAAGGAAATGAATGTCCTGCTTATCTCCAATATTTCTGCAGGATGTCCGGTACTCCTGAAAATCATTTCATAAAATTGAAACCATAAGTTTTTTTTTCTTTGTCTAACTTTTTATACCCAAATTGTATGGGCAAATAACTTACTTTGTTGCACTTTCTAGGAAAGTTCGGAAAATGTAAACGGGAGCTGGCACGTCAGACAAGGTATCAGCACAGATGATTTCATGTGGAAAAGTATTCAAGATACCCGAAAACACACACACTCTGGTCGTGTAACTCCTGATAGTTCCAGAAGTATTCTGCGCACGTTCGTTCATTTGCAATAGATGCGAAATAGTTTCAATCATATTTCTCTAAATCAGGATAAAATAATGATAACTTTAAAGGTTCTATTAATAACAGATTATTTTCGTAATATTTGTAAACGATAAACGAATTTTAATTTACCAATATTACAATTATAGCAATGCATTTGATAAATTACCTCATTATTTTCAGAACTGTGCAGGGCAGCAAGTGACAACAATATCCCACAATTCAGTTTAGTATTAAAATTGACTCTATCATTGTTAATGATATTTGAGCAAAAATACAACAATTTCAAAGCAGTTTCTGGTACTTTACTACTCAAATCACATTGATTGAAGAGGCATACCAGAAATCTGGAAGTATTATAAATTATCATTGGTACTGTATTCTCTTCTGGTTCTTTGTCCAAACTGTAAAAAAAAATATTTAATGAATTTAATATAATATGTGATAAGTAACTTACTATCCAGCAGCTTTTATAAATGTATTATAGGCAAACTTGTATATAAAATCTATAGTACAGGACAAAGCCTCAACTCCTGGAGGAAAATTGTTAAAGCATGTGGTCAAATTCACAATTATAGCATTTTCCTCATTCAACTTTTCAAGAATACTAAGGTTCATACTCCCTGGACTAATATAACAAATGAGTTGCACTGTTAGAGCATTCACAACATGCTTTGATTCCATTGTCAGTAATATCCTAACTGCTGTTTTCTTTATTGGATGCTTCGAGTCCAGATACAAAAAAATGTAACAGACAATATTAAGCACTGAATCATAGTCTTCTGCTGGGATATTTGTAGTTAACTTATATTAAAAAAAAATAAAATTATCATTAGCTAAAGTAAATTGTTAAAAAGTGAATGCTTACATTTTTCAAATATCTCTGTTGATCAACCACAGAGGTTGAGCAAACTAAATTCTTCATTATATCACATAGTTTTTTACTTTTCAGTTGAAAATGTTGAGGAATCTGGGCCGGGGCCATGTTACTCCCTGTCCTATCAGACATGCTGCTAGCATATATTCAAAAAAAAAACCTGTACCAAAGAAGTTTTAGAATCTGTACTTGGTGTAGTAGCTATATTATACTTACTTGATTATGTTTTAAGTTAAAACTTTTTCTTAAAAAAAAAATACGATTAAAATAATGTTCAGCTATGCTCTAACCTCCTTGTGCAAAAACATTTGCTGTTATGTATATTTTGCGCCACAATTTAACGTAACACTATACTTGCTTTCTGCAACTATTTTATAACTCAAGCACAAATGTTTGCAAATGTTCTGCTGATAATAGTAACCTAAGGTTTCGCAGTTTTAACAATAGTCAAAATATTTTTTTTTTCTACTTTTTCCAGTCGTTAGACCATGTATTCAACGCCATTGTATATAGAGGTTATGCCCAACATTCCAAGTATTTGTTTGGATATCCATTCGAAATCTGTCAAAAGATCTTTTTATTACTTTAGTGTATTTTAAATAATTAGTACAAAAAATATGGATAAAGAATACTTGCAACTGGAAGAGTACAAGGAGAAGGTAATTGACTATTTAAAGCATTCATTATTGTTGATTTCTTGTTTTTAAGCTTAATCAAGTGGAGTTGGCACTTTCAGTAACACCTCCAGGAGAAGATAAGGATAATTTACTACAATTACAAATAGATCTTAAACAATTATTAGAATTAACTCAGGAATCTTTAAAACAATCCACATCAAGTCAAGATAATAATCTTGAAGATGAATATTCACTGTTTATGGCTGAGATGGCCAAGGAAGGAGCAGTGGAAAACAATGCTAAAATTGATGAAGACTTGAAGAGTTTAGAAGGTATGAAATGCAGAGCACCTTATAAAAATGATTGGGGTGATGTAACCTATCACAATGCATTAGTCTGTACTGTGATCCCAAGTGAACAAATCGATTACAATGAGATTAAAGTAAAGGTCATGTACACAAATCCTACACACAATAAACTATTACCATGTCATTATTTTCTTGAATCAGAGTGCAAATTCTCTGAAGATAAGTGTAGATTTTCACATGGCGAAATTGTTGCATTTGCTGATCTTCAGGAATATTTAGAGCCTAATTATGAAGATTTGAGTGTAGGAAGTTTTGTGTTATCCAAACAACAGGATAGACTTTGGCATAGAGGCACTGTGATGCAAGTACTTCCAGAAAAGTGCTTGGTAAGATTAGATACTAATAAGAAAGATATTCAGGTGAAACTTGAAGATGTTTTTCCACTGAATGAGAGTGCTGAAGCTGTGGAATCTGATTCAGAGATGGACCAAAGTGGTATTGAGGATGTTATCAATATGAGTTTATTGAATCCTGTTTGTGAGAAGCTTGGGGATTGGGAAAAATATACAAAGGTAAAATCAAAAATTCCCTTAAAATTACATATATCATATAAGGTTTTTTAGGGTGTAGGTTCAAAGCTGATGCAGAAAATGGGATATGTGATTGGGACAGGTCTTGGTAGAAGGAGTGAAGGAAGAATAGAACCAGTGAGTGCAGTTGTTTTACCACCTGGAAAATCATTAGGTAATAAGCTCAATACTTTCTAAAATATGTCATTTTAATTTACTTATGTTATATTTTAGATCATTGTATGGAATTAAGGGAAAAAGCTGGAGGTGACAAGAACTTATTCAATTTGGAAAAGAAATTGAAAAGATTACAAAGGAAGCAGGAAATGAAAAATCGTAAGAACTATGAAAAGCAGAGCAAGAAAGTTGACGTTTTTAACTTCTTAAATGAAACTATATATAAAAGCAATAGAGTTGGTGATAATGAGCAACCATTGAAGAAAAGTGATCATAGGAAGAGCATAAGTAAGGAGACATGTAGAAATTTGAACGTTGAATGTTTTAAAATTGATGAGCGGATGAAGGAGCTTGAGCGTGAGTTGATTAGTATTCGTCAAGGTTTGACGAGACACACCGATGTTAATTCACCTATACATAAACAACTTAAAGCCAAATTAACCGAAAGACAAAGAGAAATAGTGAGTCTGGAAATGAAAGTATCTAATATTAAGAATGAGCAGAGTTTAAGGAACACCAAAAAGAAATTGGTAGTGTTTTAATAAAAGAAAACTACGAATTCAGACTTTTTGTTTGTAATTTTATTTCTCTATATTAAAACACAGAGAAAACAATACATAATATCTATGTATGAAGTCTATTTATTACTAGCCACTCCTTATCACAACATAAAACTTAAGTTAAAAATCTTAAAAAAATAATAATGAAGAGCTGCCTAAGAGCATCAATGGATATATCTTTAGAAGAAATATATAATTTTTTATGTTTTAGAACTGATTGATCCACTGAGCTTTCAGAGCAGATAATGCACAATAAAAATTAATATTAGTATACATAATTATGGTATACATTAAACAGTATACATGTGTATTTAGTTGTTAGCAAAAGCAAGAGTTTCAAACTCTTTTGTTTTCATTTAGGGTGATAATTCTTGTTGATGCATTGGGTCATATCCACAGCTGCTAGCATCATATGCTGAGCTTTCATATGCAGATCCCATTGAGTAACCCATTGAGTCCTGTGGGGGTGCTGGTGACATCATAGGCGTTGGGGTACCACTGTATGGAGAAGCCCCAGCTGCTTTCTTTGCTGCATACAAGTTAGCTTCCTCTTGAGCCTTTCCAATATTCTTCTTATACCTGATGCGCTTGTTTCCAAACCAATTCGAGACTTGACTTACAGTGATACCACATTTCCTAGCCAGCTCCTCCTTTGCTTCTTCACTAGGATAAGGATTAGATAGGTGTGAGTAAAAATACTCATTCAATATCTCCGATGCTTGTTTGCTAAAGTTTCTTCTTTTCCTTCTGGCATCCAAGAAGCGTGACCTGAGTATCATAACTGCTTCACATGTGGACTGTTTAAGCTGCATCTGAATTGAGCTAAATTTCTTATGGATAATTTGCACCATCCTTTCAATTTCCTTAGGCGTAATTGGCCGCGTACGAGATTGCTCTCGTAGGAGATTCATGACGTGAGTAGTGAACTCATTGCAAGCTTGCTCATATTTCTCAAGCTCCTGATGGTAGATTTGGCGAATTTGTGCTAGTTTGGCTCTGTAATCAGAATGCTCAATGGCATTGTCAGGCTGACCAGCTTGAGCTGCTGCAGAACCAGACGCTGCAGCTCCTGCACCTCCTCCTTTCTCTGGACCAGCAACACCTTCAGCTATGAGCATGTTATCCAGTCTCATCAGTTGCGGATCTGGCGGTTCCTCTTCTTGTGTGTTGCGCAACGAGAGAACGGTCTTCTCCTTGATCTCACAGAGCACAGAAAAAAGTGCGGGCTTCATCCGATGGCAATTTAGTGTGTGCTTACGGGCCTGTGCTTCGTCCAGACTTTGGTCAGTGATGTTCATAATCTGCTGAAGAATCTCTCCGATATCTTGCTTTCGGGGCTCGGAGTCGCCCCCCGCTGGGGCTTCCCCTGGGTTCATTCCATAGGGCTGCGGTGGCATCAAACCAGCCCCGGTGTGTCCCATCATCCTTCCGGGATCATCCATTGCTTAAAAGAAAACCTTCACCTAATCCACTACGACTTTCTGCTTATTGCGAAGCACCCAAAGCACCAAAAATCAAATCACTGTAAGATGGAGGAGGGTGTTTGACAACACAAGTAAACAAAAAGCGTTTGCTTCATTAACAGACTCCAAAGCGCTTGCGCCTCCGGGTTATGGTATGGATCTTCCAAGGACATATCAGGACACCTATATACAGAAACCAATAGTTTTACATGAAGTACACTACAGGTACTTTTAATACGATACACATTGTATATAGTTAAACACAATAAATTGATTTAAAGTGCATTTGTATATCCAATCATTCGTCATTATTTATTATATGAAGAAGTTTCGTTTTGGGTGATGTAAAAAAGTATATATACAGGGTGACCTTCAAAATATCTTTGAAACTATTAATAAAACTCAACGAAACGGAAGATCTCAGATCTTAGAACATAGCTAAGAGCTAAATGTAGTAATCCTCTGGTGATGTAGGATATACAGCAATAAATAAAACAAAGTGGTCAAAAACAAAGTCACAAATATAGAATAAATATGCATATTAAAAATAGAAAATAATTTGATTATGATTACATATTTTAATTTTTTTTTTCTTTGCTTCCGCCTGCTACCTCCCTTTAGGAGGAGCCTCTTCCATTATATATTTTAAATATTGTAATATATTTCATTCATATTGTACAAACTTGAAAGTCTTTAAGGAATGATATGCAACCAAACTTTAACATTGCTTTTTATATTGAATCTATATAAAAACCTGTAACTGAGTAAAAGTAAATGCATAATATTGGCACTAGTATAATTGGTTATATGAGTTAATTAGATGACAAAAGTTGATTATAAACATGACCTAAATTTGAGGAACACCCTGTATTAGGTATCAGTCGAAGTTCAGTTTGGTTTCGTTGCAACTTCAGGTTATATTTCGTTGTATTAAAATTAGAAGAAGAAGTAATAGAAAAACGAAACAAAAGCAAAGAAACGTCAAAATAAATCGACCTAATTGAATGCTCGTTGTTATTGCAATAATTTACACGTCCAAAATATAAGAAACGTGTAAATGTCATCCGGTTATTTGTTCAAATGTAGTTTACGAGAAGGAATATACTGTAAGCAAAACGATCCAAACCCATTTTCCTCAATACGAATTTTTACGAATGTAATATGACATTAGAGGGAATTCCTAATCACTTCTAGGCATTCACATAAACAATCTTGATACTGTCATATTAGATATTAAATAATCAGTATTGGTATTCATGTTATGTATTTGTAGGTCGTTATGGAGGATAGTTTAAGTGTAAAATCAAATGAATCAATAGCTACAAGTGACGAATTCGATTTCGTTTGCGATAAGCCAGGTGTTAGTAAGACACCAACATTGGATATTAGAAACGGAGATATTAATACATTAGCAAACGCCATGACTGAGGTTCTAGAGGAGCCTGGAGTACCAGGTTTCATAGAGGATACAAAAATTGTGGGCCAGTCCATGTTCTATAATGTAGCTGATTCTACTCAACCATCTCCAACAGAGAAACAGGATGATATGAAACCAGATTACAGTGATGAAGAGGGTATGTCTCTTCTATCCAATTGCTATTGATTTGTAAATTGCATTGTATTCTAGTGTCTGATGTAGATCAGGACTGCACAATTTTCAGTGGCGTTACATACTTGGGGGCAGCTGCCATCAATGCGCCCAAATCGGAATCCGAGATATTGAGGAACATGGCTATCTTAAATGAACAGAGTATTGATAACGGCATCAAAATATCAGTATCCGTACCATGCTCATCTCAAGGAATCGTCGTGTAGGATAATTTCATCGCTCTTCTCGGTATCGATTTAATTTGTATGGAAATTCTAGGCTGTACGACGCGATTACGAATTCCGTGATTGCACGATATGAAATTCACAGGATTCTTTTCTACGCACGCGGCGTAATTGATTCCGCCGAGGCTAGCTGTTTTGCGTTCACTTGGTCGCATGGTGACACCCAGGAATCTGCCATATTCCAGTGCCATGTATTTCGTTGCGAAATCGCTGAAGCCGTCACTAGAGTGTCCGGTATTATCGGTACTTGTAACTTAGCTGAGAATACCACTAACTAGTATACGTTTTGATTATAGCATGCTTCTCCAAAGCATTCCAAAGAAATGTTTCAAGATCTATGACTAGTTCCGTCGCATCAGCTGCTGATATGAGTGCTTCAATTACTACGCTTTCAGATGCCCGTAGTCTCATGTATGTTTTTGAAGTCAGTCTAGAAATCAAAGAAGATGAAGGAAAGGTAACTAAATGATCAAATTTGAATGATCTTTTATTTTTATTTGTTTTCATTCACTAAGCGAATTCGGATGATATTTAATCTATTTTTATATAGGGAATCTATTTAAATTATTGGTGTAAAACAACAACAGTTAATTCTGAATAAAATGCCATGTATAATATATATTTTTAACAGGGAACTTTTTCGACGGTTAATAAGGATCGGAGCGGGTTCAAACTACGGATGAATCTGGAAAAGATGTTGTGCTTGAACATTCGGCAGGTCTCCGATAATGGTCCACTCTTAAACATAGAACGGTGCTTCGGTGTTCTTATTGCTGCTGGTAGGCATGTCCGTCATTCTGATATGCAGCTGTTGGAAATGGTCCAGACGGGAACTTCCAATAATTCCGATCGAAACAGCTCGATGATCTCTGCCTCTTGGGATCCGACTGAGGCACCTTTCCAAAGTCTTAATATCGAGACACCGAAGGAATCCCCTAAACAGTACATGACTGTAGCAGTTGACCTTGTGATCCGGGGAATCCAAGAACCCGTCCGCTTTCAGATCGAGACTCCGGTCAAGATATTGAATCAACATGAACGATTTTGGTTATTCCAAAAGAGATCACTCATCCAACAGTTCTATCTCAACCTTAAAGAGGTAAGTACGTTCACTGTCTACTTAACACAAAAATATATAGAAAATTATAAATATTTATGATACACAATCTTATAAAAAATGTTTATCTTATATTTATCGATCTTTGAGTAAATAAAAACACGGATAAATTAATATCGATTAAAACGATAAATCATAATATTACTAAGTCATTCAATTGAGTTATGTATACAAATTTATACTTGTTTATTAAATTGGAAAACTTTAGAAAATAATTCATTGACATGAATAATATTTTGTTGTTAATAAATGAAGATATATTTGTTAATATCAATACTTAGTTTAGTAATTATTGCTAATATGTTTGAATTAATGATTTGAATATTTCCTATAAGTAAAAAATGTAAAAGTGCATCATTATAGTTCATGTCTGACATTCCACATATTTATCTTGCGCGGTTGTTAGTTTTCTCTTATCGCTAAATTATTATTAAACTGAGGAATCAATTCATTTTATTTATAATTATTATAGATTAGTATTTCATTCTGTAAACATTACCATTTCCTTTGATGGAATATTAGAAGTAAGTAATCAACAGAACTGATAAGAAGCAGTTTCACGATATGAATGCTTATTGTAACGAGTTTTCATTTTATATCAATTCGAACATTTACGTGCGTTACATTACATCGCACGACTTTTTCTAATTATATTATTTTATTTTGTACACTTTGCGTCTGTCAGTATATCTGTTTGCTGTATTATTATTAAATCATGACATAATGTATTTGTAATGCGATAGCGATGAGCGTCTGCCATTGCGATTGGTGTAGTGGTGTAGTATGATCATTGTAGTAAACTTGTCCGCAGATTGTGAACGACGGATCAGATCTGGTCTACGAGGTAGTCAGTATGGACACATCCGGGGAATTGGATAGGAACAGATTAAATCTCACATTAAACCTCACCGGTCTCATTCCATCACCGAGCATCACCTCCATTGACACAATTACACCAAAAGATGAATGTCTCTCAGGTATTTAGCAAGTTGATTTTTAATTTTATTTATGTGCTGTATTTCTTTTTTAAACGATCAGACGGAGACGAACCTCTGCTCAGTGGAACCGGTCTAGTGTCGAAAGATTGTTCGGAGGATGTTCTGGAAAATTGGGCTGATGTCTTGAACAAGTGGAAGGCAACCAGGCAGAGACCGAAGCAGTTGTCCGGTTTGGTCAAAATGGGTATACCGGAAGCTCTTCGGGGTGAGGTATGGCAACGATTAGCCGGAACAGAGGAGAACATTCAAATGATGGAAACCTATCGTATTCTAATCACCAAGGTTCGAACGCAAATTTGCTTTTGTGACAAAGGCTTAAGGTGCATTGTGTTATTAGGAGAGTTCTTGCGAGAATGTCATCCAGCGGGACATAGCTAGGACTTTTCCGGCGCACGACTTCTTCAAGGAAGCTGGAGGGCTCGGACAAGATTCCTTGTACAGAGTCAGCAAAGCTTACGCTGTTTACGACGTCGAAGTTGGCTATTGCCAGGGCCTCAGCTTTTTAGCTGCTACATTACTTTTACATGTAATATATTCAATTTAGGTGTATGTTAAATGTACAATAACGCAATATTTTCAGATGCCTGAAGAACAAGCGTTTTGTGTGTTGGTCCGTCTCATGTATGACTACGGTTTGAGGGACTTGTATAAGGACGGCTTCGACAATCTCTACCTTAGGTTGTATCAGCTGAACAAGCTCATGGAAGAGCAACTGGGTCCTCTGTACCAACATTTTACAGATCACCATGTCGAGACGCACATGTTTGCCTCACAATGGTTCCTCACCTTATTTACTGCTCGTTTTCCGCTCTTCTTCGTATTCCACATTATCGATGTGTTCTTGTTACAAGGGATTGACACACTATTCCAAGTCGCTCTAGCTTTATTGATGGTAACTACAATTATCCGAAAAAGGCAAATGTCATAACTTTAAAATATATTGCAGATGTGCATGAAAGATCTGCTCACCTTGGATTTCGAAGGAATTTTGAAGTATTTCCGGGTATCCTTGCCGAAGAAAGTGCGCACCGAGGAGTCCGCCAAACAGTTGCTGAAGTACGCATGCAGTATTAAAGTTAAGAAGTTGAAGAAATACGAGAACGATTTTATTACGCTAAAAGGTAATTTATTATTATGTATTCTTATATTGGTCGGTATATATAATCATGTCTTTAAAATAGTTCTGGAGCTATATATATTCATTATTTAATAAATTGCAATAATTTAAGATGAAAATATGAAGCTCTAAATGAACATTACATATATTATATATGCCGAACATGCACACATGCATCTTCAATTGGCAAATTGGGTCTCTTCTATGATAGCATGAATGTGTGAGCTTATAGAATAGGCGGTAGTTGTTTGTGTGCTTGGGGCACATTTAGTGTGTGTAAACCCTGTAGACGGCTGGGACATTATCATGTTGGATTCAGAAGCAGAGATAATGCAGAACGAGGCTAGCGAAGTGGAGCAGCTACGGTTAGTTGTATCCAGACAGGACGACGAGAGGAAAATGATGATGGACGAGATCGCCCAGCTGAAGGAGATGCTTAAACGTGAGGTCACCCAGGCGGAGGACGACATGAAACTGAAGACTGCCATCATTGATGACTACAAGCTCGTCCGACAACGACTCGACTCGCAATTGAACGCAGTTAAAGCAGAGTTAGATTTACTTAAGGTATATATTCATAACTATTTATCTAAATAATATGTTTCAATATGTTTTTTCTCTTTGTCATTTCAGAGTAAGATAACAAAATGTACCAATTGTCGTAGTTTTGTCGAAACCAAAGGTGATATAAAGAAAACGTCCAACGTGATAGATGACACGATGTCCGGTGATAGGATTAGGGAGTTGGAGCTTCAATTAGCCAAAGCAAAGCTGGCCCAAGTCGAGGCTGAATGCAAGAATCAGGTAAGTTATATAATAAACAGGAATGTAGATTCGCTAAGTATAAATCGTATATAGGACTTAACTCATCAACTAAGATCAACGGAGAATGAACTTAGCAGTGCTAAGAACACTTGGCTCAGCAAAACTCTTTCTTCCATAAAGGAGGTGGCTAACAAGAAAGACTTTGTCAACTTTCCCTATTCTCATACCAATATACCGAACGGTCCATCGTTCATTTCGCACATCAAATCTATGAGAAGGGACAGCGCCCCTACGAATACAAATTGCAGTTATTACGAAGTAACTCCAGAACCATCTTCAGCCACGGGGGTGGTAATCAAGGATTCCCAAAGCTGCAGCAGTTTGAAGACACATCATTAAGGATCGCAACAAATCCTTTTGCTGATACTGTCGTCGTTGCCGTTCACTAACCATATTTTTTTTGACTGATTTATTTAATCGAATACTCTCTATGATTATCTCTCAGTTTATTATTTTAATCGTACTTATACAATATATATTGTGAGCAATATTCAAATTCAGGCCATGTTTTTGCCATATACTTTACGTTCTCTGTATCATTTCTATTACAGATTTTAGGGGTTGATTTTAGCGGAGCATATTTTATATACACGTATATTGTTAGAATGAATAGTGTTGAGACAAGAGAAAAAGGGATGATAACAAGTACTTTCCCTAACTCTGTAAGAGAAATGAACAATTTTAATTTTGTTAGTCACGTGAAGGTTTATATAGATATGTACAAATCAAGTAAACAAAGATTGAGATATTATTGAATTTCCCTCCTTATAGATGGAATACACTTTTTGAATATTATTATCAAAGATAATTATGCTTACTGAAAAAAAAAACTATAGTCGTAATACAGATGTATGTGGAGTAGCACTGAAGATGATAGCTTTACGTGATAGTTGGTATATGTATATAAAAGAAACCTTGTAAGGTTCTGTTATGCTGATTATTATTTTTAATTTTTTTTATGAATGTCCATTATTCAGTCAGTTACATTATATTGGATTTCGTGTATAAGTTATTATTTTATTGGATATTATTAATACTTGTACTATTTATAACAAATATATTGCATTTCTTTAACAAAAAAAAACTAGTTTTCCTGTTCACGTAACCAAGCGACATAACAATACAAACATATAGTCGATAGTATCTGACATGAAAGTTTGTTTGTACTTGGGGTGGTGCAACAAATAATAAAACATAGGAGGATATTTCAATGGCAAGGAAGGAGTTATCTTTTTCGATCGTCGACGTGAGTATGGCAAATAATGAATAATTGGTGTCGAATCAATGGAAACAATTTTCGTAGGATGACGATGTGGACGACGACGAAGTGTTCGAGTTGGAAGGTAATGATGCAATTCCGATTCCCAATGGAGCGGATGAGCCAAGGGAGAATAGGAAAAGTGCAATGAATCGCACGCAGCAGGTCAGTAAAGAATACGATTCTTCCGATGAGAGTCACCTGAGTCCTCACAAGAAATTGCCGCAGGTATTATACCTATTTTCTCCTATTTTTGTGAAATATTTTAAATACTTAAAGTAATATTGCGATAAACCTTTAGTGTGTAAATAAAGTCAAAGTCGAATTAAGATTAATCTTAGTTTTCGAGCGCTATTAATTAAAAAGGATTTGTTGCTTGCCCTTGAATTGTATATCAATGTCTTTTGCATTTTTTATTTATCTCCCAAAAGAAGGAAATCGCGGATAAAAACAATCCCAAGCCTAAGATTCCAAATGCTCCTTGGACGTGATAAAAATGTAAGGTGACGACCTTCTTGTGATCTATGCGCAGTTTCAACGCCGATTGGGCTTTGTAATTTTCTTCGAAATAAGCCTGAAATTGAAAAAAACATGTATATTATCAAATACATCAAATTAAATTTGAAAGGTTACCTTTAATTCCCAAATGTATGTTAGCCCAAATTCTTTCATAAATAGAAATGCCTTTCGAATGATCGGATTCAGGACAGAGCTCCTTTTGGTAAGCATCACGCAGATGCTAGTAAAGACATCATCATTCAAGACGTGATAGTATTGTATATCTTTGTAATTTATGCGGTTGCCCAGCATAATACCTATTAATACATAATTAATAGTTGATTAGTATGGATTTGGATATATACCGTTTGGTATGCGATCCACCAACATGGAGAATGAGCGGGTAGCCATGCGAGAATTGATCTCTTCATCTTTTAGTATCATAATGTTGCTGACTATATGGTTATACATAGGCTAAAATAATATTCAATTAGTTTAAAGCTAATGAACCTGAAAATGCCAATACCTGATCACGGAAACTATCTAATAATGCTGGATGAATGGCTCCCCATTTTAAACCGCTTTTTTCAAAATCATCAGCAGTTGTAATACCTTTTTTGTATGAAGGTATTGTTAAAATACTAGCGAATCCTGCTGTATAAGTTGCGGAATATATTAAGCTGACGAATAAAATCATTGTTAATAACAGCCTTAAGTTGCTAGCTTTAGTCGTTAGGTATAATTTTAAGGGTTGTTGCAAAAATAGCGAAACTGTGCTTATTTCAATAGAACTCAATAAAAGATGGGTTAACTTTATAGTTAAGCAAATAAAGTACCTGAAACATGATTTTTTATCTTACATTATCAATTAACTATGTTGTTAGATATACTTATTGTAGTAATAATTATACGTGAAGAAAGCTCCAATAATTGCTAAGTAACTGAAAAGGAATCCGATCCATAAGTTATACGAAAACGAAAAAAACGGCGTCAACCATCCAGTTTTTAATCTATAAAAGTAAGTTGTTACAAAATAATTAGTTTATTGACAACTTACTCAGGTATTGGAACTAAAAAGGTGACACCTATGCGAATGGTAGATTCAGTAAGATCAAAATATTTAGTATAATTTGGAATGCTATACCAAGATCCTAGAATAAATTTGATTACGAAGATTAAGTTAGTTACGTTTAATATCATCGTAATTACCCATCGTAATATCAGCTTTATCCATGAGCAAAGTTCCTTTAGCCCCATCAGCTGTATAATTATTTTCGTAAACAGTTCCCCAATAGTCATGCTCGTAAATCAAATTATAACTCAAATTAAACATCTTGGTGAATTCAATTGCCATCATCAATTCAACACCTGACTTTGAATCTACAAACAACTACCAATAAAATGAAATCAAAATGATGGTTCTATGTTTACCCCAATTTACGTATGGTTTGTAATCAAACGTGCTTATCCTGAGGATCCTTCCATTCTGGTCGTTGAGTTTATCTGGATATAAATTACTGTTATTTATGAACGTTGAATTTTTGATCATCCATTTATCCAGTATAAGAGGTTTTCTATGGTCTTCTCTGCCGATATATTTGTGAGTCCAAAATTCGACCAAATCTTCAACTTTCTTTATCAATAGTAAATCAGCAACGAACTCCAACTTATCGCTATCAAAAATATCTTCAGTATATTCATCTACTGGGTAAAATAAATATTTCCTTCGTTGGAATTTGGCTGTAGATGTAAATCTGATTGTGTATTCAATTAATTCGAATAATGTTTTTGGTCTATCACTCTCCACAAGAAAATTTTGGCAAGCAAATGCATAAAGTGGATAGTGTAAATCCACGTTCGGATCATTCATATTATAGACGACAAAGGAATGATTCAAATTTATGTTACTTGGCGATGGACCGTCGATGATCACATTGAAACAATCGTTAGTGAAGAAATATTTGCTTACTATCACATTGAGCAATATATCGATGTAGTTACCAGATTGCAACAACATTATTCTCATATTATTAGTAGTATTTTATTGTCTTACTCTTTAGATATTTATCTACACTTAATTTCCATTTCCCACTATTGCCTAGTCTCCAATTTGAAGGTAGCGATTATTTCTTGAAAATTTTACATTCTCAAGATTATTTTTCTCTTCTTTGGAGTCTCCAAAAACATTGTTGATTGTGAATGGTTTGTTGATTGTCTAGTTACCGTTTTGTTTGAATATTTTAGCTTGCTCAGGCATTCATGATTTACTAATTATTTGTATAGAATAACAGTTTTATGACCTTATTTAATTATAAATGTTCGTGATCATGTTGATCATTTCTGAAATTATTGGGGAAATTGCGTTTATATAAAACAAAGTTTATTGAATAACAACATACATTGATCACAGCTGTGATTATTAATTAATTAATTTGTTTTTGCTGTATTACAAAAAATAATCAATTATAAAATTTAAGTTAATTGACTCTTTTGAAACTGTAGATTTGCGAAATAATAAATGTGTTATTTATTAAATTTATTATATAATAAGGAAGGTTTTTTTTTTTAAATTATTTTTGTCTTTTTTAATGTTATTGGTGTTTGAATAAGTGTATAAATATTTATTTAAGATGCAAGATGTGAGTAATTTGAGTAATATATTGGCTGGTCCATCGAGCGGAAGGCAAACTGTGACAAAAATTCGTCCGCCTCAATTGGCGCAATTATCGAGCGAGAGTGAATCCGAGGACAGCGATTTGATCGAACGGAGATCATCTCCTAAATCCAGCATCCTGGTGGGAGAGTACGATCCCAAAAGCTATGACCATTTGGACGTGAACGCCGACATCAAGGAATTGTTCCAATACATCACGAAGCAAGTATCAATCGATCAACGAGAGAGATTACTATAAAAATAGAATGTTGGGAAGTCTCATTGAAAAGCATTTCCTTGATACGTATTCTTTTCCATTTCAGATACGTGCCTCAGCACTTGGGTCAAGACTACAAGTTCAAACCGTTCGTACCGGATTTCATACCAGCCGTTGGTGATATCGATGCGTTCTTGAAAGTTATTGCACCGGAGGTGGGTATAAACGGAGAGGCTTCAACAGTGGATCAATCGGATCTTGGATTGGTGGTTCTGGACGAACCTGCCGCAAACCAAAGCGATCCAGCTGTTTTGCATCTTCAGCTTCGAGCATCTTCAATAAACGTTGGGAATACTACAGATATGGTGATCAAAAAGGTGGATAATTTGGAGAAGAATTCGAAGACGGTGGATAAATGGATCAAGGACATTAGTGATTTACACCGAAGTAAATCATCGCCGATTTTTAAATATTCTGAGTAAATCATGGATTATACAGGATTAACAATAATTTATCGATTTTGATTTTAGTCCCATGCCGGAATTGGATGACTTGATGGAAGAGTGGCCGGAAAACATGGAGAATTTGTTAAAGATTCACGGGTTTCCAAGTTACACCATGCAGGGACCTTTATCTCGTTACATAGACATCGTTTGTTGCTTATTCGATATACCTGTTTATCCCAATAAGATACAATCTTTGCATCTTTTGTTCAGTCTATACGCAGCAGTTAAAACTTCTAATTTGTATAGAGCCAACAATGGCGGCAATAAATCTAGAAACATCGCCAGTGGAAACACTGAGAGCAACGATGCTGATCAATTAGTATTAGAATGAACGTTACATATAAATATATATTTATAGAATATTTTAATGAAATAACGATTGTGTTAAATATGTGTAAACTGGATAAATAAATAAAACAGTGATTAAACAAGTAACGGTCACAGCCCAACATCAACAAGCTACACACATAAAGAAACATTCGAGGTAAACGTGAGATTTTTAAAACTATATTTGACTATCTGAAACGACTAGCGATTCCTCCGCCGCGGCTATCCGAATGGGAATTCAAGTTGTCTCCAACTTTCTCAACTATATTACAGCTACTGTACGGAAACTTCATGTGCACCGGATGGCCGAGCGTTTCCAGATACTGGATAACTTCGTCGTTAAACAATGGTGTATGTTCATCTGCAAATCAAATCAGTTATAACTAACTCGCTTTGCTATTGAGTATTCAGATTACCTTCGAATCCGATTGTACCATCAGGAAGCAAATTGAATCTTGGGAATTCAATTCCAACAGTGGCGTTCTGGGCAGCGATCAGCAAAGCTGGTACAATTTGGGAAGCACTAGCAATATTGCTACTTCCAAGTACCATTCTTCGGCCGCATATGAAATCCGCATCAGTTATAATTAATGGTACACGGCTGCATTGTGTGGTACCCCTCGCTCGTACATCCATTATGTAACCTTCGGAGTTTATCTCCTGAGATCCGAACGCTTGGTACAATCCTCTGCAAACATAAAATTATCTAATAATAATATAGGAACACGTTACTATATGGACAACATACGTAACGAGCGAAACGTAATTATCATCTTTGTCGATAACTGCAACGTTGGAGGAGGTTCCTTCATGAAAGTTGGTGGTAATATTTCTCTCAGTATAGATTTCTTTGGTAATTTCCGCTAATCTATAATAGTATTCCGGTTTTACTGTGTCCAGAGTTGTGAAGTTGTGCTGATCGATCATCTGCAAAATCTTCAGCAAATCTGGACCTATCGACGGGGAATTTGGTACGTACACATTGTAATCTTGAAAACGTCCACTGAGAGACACCGTTTTCAAGGGAGTGTTCTCCAATGTTATAAAACTGATTAAATCTAGAAGATGGTAAATCTTAATATATGTTTGCATAATTCATAAAGACTACCTTCTTCAGGTATATCGGCGATGTTTTGCAGGGTCTCGGAAAGTTTAATCATGGTGATGATTTGACCAGGTTCCAAATTACTAAATAAATTCTGTATATTCGCCTTTTTTATTGCCGATACTAAAGCTTTTGGGACGAGAAAGCCTTTTCTAAAATAATGAATATTTAATGATATTTTTTACGAAAGATCGTCGAGAAATCATTTACTTTGCTAAATCCACGGATGGTTGGATTAACTGCTTCCAAGAAAGCAAGCTGTATTGTTGATGTATATACGCTAAACCAATTACCATTCTCGGTAATGGCTCGTTTATTCTGTTATTTGGGTTTTGTCGGAAGTCGATGACATCTGGTAGAAGTTTACTTTTATGACCGTAGAACATGAATTGTCCTTCGCTGTGTATTGAAGGGATTAAGTAATTATTCTTCCAGGTAATGCTCATAACTTACGAGTCTAATCCAGTTACATGGGGATTAACTACAGCTAAGCAAAAGGCAGTGGCGATAGCTGCATCCGCAGCGTTTCCTCCCTGCTTTAAAATTGATGACCCGATTTCCGAACATTCCCTGCTATCCGATGCTACACTTCCATGAGGAACAACCTTCAAGAACACATTTTATTTTACTTTATATGTATTCTCTCCAGAATTTAATATAAATTAAAAATTGACATTTTAATTATTAGATAAACTAGTATATAAATAATTGTCAGTTACTTAAGTAGGTCAATTAATTAATTCACCTGATAATCCCCATTATATATCTGGAAAAGTAAAGCAAATGTGATGAACGAACTTATGATCCCGAAGGAGAGGCATTTAGCGCTACCAAAACAGTCTTCACAGCAGGAACACAAGTTGCCATTCTTTGTTCCAGTTTTCAAAGGAATGTCTTCGCGCGTTTCTCCGGCTTTAAAAATAAATATTGATTATAGTTATTTGTTGTTGGAGAAATATGGTATTCTTACGCGAATCATCCATATCTGCCATGGTGAGTAATGTAGTGGACACACATACACAGTAGACCGTAACTGTACACACGACACTCAGTCTAAGACTGTGCTCAAGGAATGTTAATGCAGGTAAAAGAGGTAGGTGGATCCGTGACAAGGAAGGTATATAGCGCATTACATCATCAGGACAAGGATCGAGCATACGACGCGCTTTCACTAATAAAGCGCAAATGTTCCAACAATAAAATGCAACATTTATTATTTATATCTTTACAGAGAAAACAAAAAAAAATCAATTTTGTGAAAAGAAAATATTTCTTAAAACAAGAATAAACTATAAAATTACAAAATTTCATTTTGCAGTGAACACCAGAAAATTAAAAAAAATATTTGTAGGAACTATAATTTTGCAGATCACACGCAGACGAGCGCAATTTAAAAATTCTTATTAAGTTGGTCTTATCAAATAATTAACAAATTTCATCTTTTTTTGGGGGTATGTTGAATTTTACGTTTTTAAGATAAAATCGCAACCTGCGTGTGAACCAAAACCAGAAACAACAAAACTACTTAAACTAGTTTACAATTGGCCATCTATATAAAAAAAGAATGAATACTCGGAAGAGTGTGGTTGATGAGGTCAATCTTGGGCTATGGCCACTTTCTTGTTCTGCTGCATAACTTGATTCCTTTCCTGATGTGCTTGCAGGACGGCAATAGCTTCCTCAACTTTCGCTCTTAGCGAGTCCTGATCCTCGATCATATGTATCAGTTCGGACGTGTCTATCTCTAACAACATGCCCGTTATTTTTCCTGCCATTTCTGGGTACATCTTTTCGACGTGAGGGAAGAGCTTCGCGCCTAGGATTTGTTTCTGATCCTCGGGCGTGGCCGAAGCCAGTGTGCTTGCGTTCAGGGGGCCAATGTCACCACCATTTCCTAAAGAAACCGTGATTGGTCTTATTAAATGGTTATTAGACGCTGTATACTTGCTGTTTGGACGAGAGTGAATCGTTTGGCCGGTGATTGGGCGTGCTGTTATTTGATTTCTGGGATTGTTGCTTTGTGCAGATGGTCTTGAGCTCACTCGGTACAGACTATTAGTTAATGTTGGATAGGTGCCATTGGGCCTCATAGCAGTCGAGGTTAACCATCGTGGCGTTGATCGTATATGGTTCATGTTGTAGAACCTATGGCCCTGAGCAACAGCAGGCATCAAGAATTGCGGAGTAGTTGGGTAAAGGTTGGGCTGGATGCGAATTCTTTGCAAATGAGACGCGATGAAAGCTTTCCTATCCTCCTTCCTCTGCGCTAAAGCAACATAAATAGGTTTCGAACCTAGCATCTTCCCATGCATATCCATCAATGCTTTTGTTGCTTCTTCAGGAGTCGAGTAACATACGAATCCGAACCCTTTGGATCTACCATCATCCGTCATTACCTTGGCCGAAGTTATTGTTCCAAACTGCGAAAACTCCTTTCGCAACCTCGCATCATCTATTGTGTCATCCAAGTTTTTCAAAAACAAATTCACTCCTTGCGTTCTATTGTACCGTTCCGTTTTAACATCATCGTAGCGTCGTTTCAATTCCATCTGACGCTCGCTTTTCTTCTGAGCTTTAGATACATAGAATTTTTGTCCATCCATTTCCTTCTCGTGTAATTCCTCAACCGCCTTTTCTGCTGAGCAAGGATTCTCAAAAGCGACAAATCCAAAACCTCGTGAACTACCATCTGCATTCCTCATAACTACGCAGCTTGTTATTTTACCGTACTTTGAGAATAATTCATACAGTTTTCCTTCTGTCATATCGCTCAAATTCTTCACATATATATTCGTAAATATCTTAGGTTTCGTACCCAACTGCTTGCAACGCTCTTTGTGCGAAATGAACTTCCCCACATAAACTTTCTTGTTATTCAAGAGCATACCATTAACTTTTTCAATAGCTTTCTTTGCTGCCTCTTCGGTTTCAAAATGTATAAAACCGTATCCCTTGGAAACACCATTCTCATCAAGCATTACCTTGCAACTTAGAATGTTTCCAAATGCCGAAAACGTATCGAACATTGATTTGTTATCGATATTTTTATCCAGGTTCTTAATGAATAGATTTCCTACTCCTGACTTCCTGAGAGAAGGGTCTCTTTGCGACCACATGATTCGTATTGGTTTTCCCTTGATCAGATCGAAGTTCATAGTATCCAAAGCTCCTTCTGCGTCTCCCGGCTGCTGGTAGTTTACATAAGCGTAACCCAAAGATCTTCTGGATATAGCATCTCGGCAAACTCTTAGTGATAGCAGTGGTCCAACCGATGAGAACTTTTCGTATAACATAGCTTCGGTTACATCGGCATGCAAATCGCCGACGTACAAAGCAGCCATGTGGAAGCACCAGCTCATCTCGCTAATCTTTTTCGTACAATATTTATTGTTCGTAATACGTTGAAGCAAAAGCACGCTAAATAATTGTTTTTGTTATTTTGTTGTTGTGGATACGAAACAAAAAGTTTCCTCAGGTATCTTGGATGATTACAAATAACAAGAAGAACAGTACTAGAAACAAATAAACATGAATTCATCTTCCAAATGGATTTTAGTTGTTAAGATTGTAATAATTTACTATAAAATTTAAATTCATTGAGATCCAAAAAATTTAAATTTTAATGACGTTTACATAAATAATTATTTGACATTTTCGATAATGCCACTTTTGTCTTTTCTTTTTTGTTATTCTTGTTATTTATTATTTTTTCAATTTGGGACGATATGATATTTTAATTATTGTTGGATTCAAATTATATATTCAAATATTCTAATATAAGTTTATTTACTATTTGTATATTTGGTTGTCTATAGTGAAATTGCATATAATCAATTAAAAGGTTATAAATACTTTAGTATATAAAATTATAAGTTATTAGTTAATTTACAAAATTATTTTACTTATACTAGATATAATTATTTAAAAAAAATACTATTTTTTAAAACAATATCACGAAGAGATGGCAACACTAATTCCATATAGTGATGCCACAACAAGAACTAACTGTAAGTTTAGTTTTGATAAGTTGGTATTTTGTAAACCATTGTAAACTAGCCATTTTGTTTTTGTAATGATGTTTTGAGGCTTTATATATATATTGTGAACAATCGTGAAATAACACAGTAATCCAGTAATCGACAAGGCGGCAAGGGACAAGGATTTGTGTGCTTCACTTCAAAAAAATGACGGAACCAGAGACTATGGAATACGAGCCTAGTGAAGAGGCTCCTGCAACTTCGGCTACCGAGGAATATGAAGAAGAGGGAGGCTTTGAGAATGATATAGATATGGATGAAGTTGAAAATGTTCCTCGAGGAGGACGTGGACGAGGAGCTTTCCGGTACGTCTATAATATTTTGACACTCTTCAGCATTGTGTTGTATCTATTGAAATATTAATATTTAGTGCTAGGGGTAGAGGTTGGAGTGGGCCAGGACCTAGAGGAGAAGGACCACCAAGATTCAGAGGCAGAGGATATGGACCTGGAGGGCCACCAAACTTCAGAGGACGTGGAGGACCACCTCCATTATTTGGAAGAGGTGGACCCAGGGCTGGCAACTTTAATGGCCCACCAAACTTCAATAATGGACCCAACTGGGGTCCACCAGGTCAAATGGGTGGCCCCCCAAACCACATAGGTGGACCAAATGGACCTTTTGGTCCTCCTGGTTTATTAGGAGGTCCACCAAACATTGCTGGTGTACCACCACCACTGATGGGTGGTCAGTTTACACCTAATGTTGGCCCACCTACAATGGTAATTTGAGAATTTTTCAATGTCAGAAATATTGATTTATTGATTTTATTTTATTTAGGGTTTGGACATGAATAATGAAATTTGGGTTGAAACAAAATCAGCTGAAGGAAAAGCCTATTACTACAATGCAAGGACACGAGAAACAACTTGGACTAAACCAGAAGGACCAAATGTTAAGGTAATTTTGCAGGATCAAGTGGAGGCGATGGCACAAGCAGCAACCACAGGTCAAATGGCTCCAGGAACAACAACTGCTGCTCAAGCAGCCTTAGCCCAAGCCAACATAACAAATAAAGCTGAAGGTAAGTTTATACAGTTTAATTAGAATCTTTGAATACATATTATTTTTTATAAAATAGGTGAGGATGAAAATTCATCTGAGAAACCTCAAAATGGCATGTCTGGAATGATGCAAGGCCCACCACCTGGTATACCACGATTCCCGGGACCTGGAGGTCAGTTTTCGACACCACCTTTTGGAATGCCACCACCTGGATTTCAGAATAATTGGCCACCTACCACTCCTACATGGAATACTGGACCACCAGGTGCTGCGCCATGGGGAATGCCACCTGGAATTGCTGGGATGCCAGGATTACCCAATTTATCAGCTGTCGACGAGGCAGCAGTTCTTGCTAAGGTAGATCCTGAAATTGTAGCTAAAGCCGGAGAATGGTCCGAGCACAAGTCACCGGATGGACGTTTTTACTATTACAACGCCAAGAAGGGGGAATCCGTTTGGGAGAAACCGCAGGAATTAAAGGATTTAGAAAGTATGTTCCATATATTATTTTTGTTTTTGTATTTATTTATATTTCTGATTTTTTTCTCTTTAGCCGCCAAACTTGCTGCTGCTCAAGGTATATCTACTAGACCAGCAGAAGATGTACAAATGGAGGAACAATCAGGTAAGCAAGAGCAAATGAACGGCGAACCACTGGATCCTATAAAAGAAGAGGAAGAGAAGCGCAAGAAGCTAGAGGAAGATGCCAAGCGCAAGAAGGAGGAAGAAGAAAAAGCCAAGGAAATGAAAGCACAAGATAAATCTCGACCGATTTCAAGTACTCCGGTTCCTGGAACTCCATGGTAAGTAAATAATATTTTTGTTGATTCTAATAAATTAATTATCTCTATTATTTTTACTAGGTGCGTGGTGTGGACTGGAGATGGTCGAGTGTTCTTTTACAATCCTTCTTCTCGTACATCAGTTTGGGAGAGGCCTGAGGACCTACTTAATCGTTCCGATGTAGACAAAATGGTCGCGAATCCACCAGATGCCGTGGGAACTCAACCAAAAGACACAGCAAAACCAACATCAACGAAGAGAACGGGATCAGACGATAGCGAAAGCGAAGAGGATGTTCCTAACAAGAAGCAAAAAACAGAAGAAACTACAGCGGAACCAGGTTCGTTTAATATAATAAGAAACGATATCATAAATTCAGAATTAGAAGAGATTCCAGAAACCAATGTCGGTGCAGCGACTACACCAGCGACACCCCAGACCAATAAGAAAATTGATATGGGTAAAGCTATGGAAGCTGAGGTAAGAGCTTCGAAGGAACGCGCATTAATTCCGCTGGAAACGCGTATCAAATCATTCAAGGAAATGCTCGCTGAAAAAGACGTGTCAGCTTTTAGGACGTGGGAGAAGGAGCTACACAAGATCGTTTTCGATCATCGTTACCTCTTGCTTACGTCGAAAGAGCGAAAGCAAGTGTTCGAGAAGTACGTGAAGGAACGAGCAGAGGATGAACGTAGGGAGAAGCGCAACAAATTGCGAGAGCGTAAAGATGCCTTCCGCAAATTGCTGAGCGAATCCCATTTGCACGGAAAGTAAGTAACTCTTTAATTTAAATAATACATTGTGATTGTTTTTTATTTGGTATTAACACATGCTTTATTTTCTTCAGGTCTTCTTTCAGCGAATTCGCACAGAAGTATGCTAAGGACGAGCGGTTCAAGGGGGTTGAAAAAATGCGCGAACGGGAAAGTCTGTTCAATGAGTATCTTATTGACGTTAGGAGACGTGAAAAGGAAGAGAAATCCCAACGACGAGAACAGGTACAGTTTACCATTTATTCTCATAAATTGTGTAATACATACAAAATGCCATTATCAGCGGATATATTGCCTCTCTGGCTTTATTTTGTATTTTACATTTTATTATTTATTTTACTGATTTCCTTTTCTCTCTCGAAGTTTTCGATTTTTTCTTTTGTGTATTTGTTCAATATTTCAGGTTTACTACATATAGGTATGTTTTTCCTATAAAGATATATATATTTTTCTTTTATTTAGTTTCATATCAAATAACGCAATTACAAATTGTACTCATTATTAGATGTTTAAATGTGTCTAGTATACACTAATTTGAAAACGATTAAAATTGTAATACTTAATACATCTAAACTTGGGGTTCTTAATCTATATTTATTGATTAGACTAAAATTTCCATCATTTATATGAAACATTTATTTGTTTTTTTTAAGAATGGTTAAGAACCCTTGATTCAAACAACAATTATATTTGATTCATTATAATAATGTTATGATTTTCTGATTACTTAGGTAAGATCTCTATTTTGTTTGGTATAGAGAGAGTATAATTAATAATCTGTTTTGAAGCAGTGTTTCTATCTATCATGTAGTTATTATTTTTTGAATTTGCCTTTTCAAGTTTTTTCCGGTATGGGTGATATCGAGTGGCCATTCCATCCTGAGATGCGTCCGTGTGCCTTGAGTTTTGGTTCGCATTGGACACGCCCCGTTGCGATACATGGTATTAGTTTTGTTGCTTAGACGGTACTTACAAGAAAAATAAATAGGTTTACTTAAAAGTATCCTATATATCACAGACAAAAAAAAAATGAGAGAAACGCATTGTCAAGTACCTGACTATAAAATAATTCAGATTTACTCATACTGTTTTACATAATGAAATTCAATAGGACAAGATCAATAAAATATATTTTTTTAATCTCGTTTACCTTCTACGATCTAATTAAAAAGATATATAAATTGAAAAACGTGCATGAGAATTTTTCAGTTTTTCTCATATCCTGTTTTATTTTTTTTATTATTATTTTTTTGCGATTATATAATCATTCAAGAACTATTTCAGCCGAACGCATTAAATATTGTTGTTACGCTCATTCGCCGGCCGTGGATATTAATTAATACTATTTCTCTATCCTTTCAGCGATTAATCATTCTTTCCTTCGCAGGTTTTATTTTTTGTGTTCTCGTAACTATCCATTTTCATTTCAGACTAGGTGCAGTCCCTTTGATGTTGTACGCAGCTTAATATTTATAAAGATATTTCATTAGATGAGCACCGAGTAGTCGGACTGCATTTGTAATAGTCTTTTATAAAATTACAGGTAAAGAAAGATTTCATCGCGATGTTGCGTGAGCATTCGGACATTGATAGACACACGAGGTGGTCAGATATCAAGAAGAAGTTCGATGGCGATTCCCGGTACAAGGCGGTGGACTCCAGCGGACAACGCGAGGATTGGTTCAGGGAATATTGTAAGATACTGAAGGATGAGAAGAAGCGTGCCAAGGAGCGCGATCGTGAACACAAGAAGGATAGGACCGATCGTGAAAAGCATAAGAAGAAGGATAAGGACAAGGAATCAGAGAGGAAGGAGCGCAAGAAGAGCGAGAGCAACAAGTCCGATCGCGAGAAGGAGGATGGTGAAGCGGAGGAGGTGGAGCCAGAAAAGGAGCCGGAAGATCAGGATGAAGGCAAGAACTCTGATGTTGAGAAGGCTCAGGAGATTAAAGATAAAGAGAGGCAAGCGAGGGCAGAGGCTAGTATGCGAGAAAGGGAGAAGGAGGTTCAACGCACTTTGGCTACTCACATGAGGGATAGGGATAAGGAACGTGAACAGCATAAACGTGATGAATCTATACAAGTAAGATATAATTGTTTCATATTTGTATTATTGACTAATTCATTTTCTTTTGAAGCATTTTAACGCTTTGTTAGCGGATTTGGTTCGAAACGCAGAATTGGGATGGAAGGAGGTCAAGCGAATCCTTCGTAAGGATCACCGTTGGGATCTGGCCGATTCCTTGCCGAAAGAAGAGAAAGAGACTTTCTTCAACATTCACATTGAGAGCATTTTGAGAAAGAAGAGGGAAAAGTTCCGCGAGTTGCTTGACGAGACGTCTGATGTAAATTTGACCAGCACTTGGAAGGAAATCAAGAAGGTTATCAAAGAGGATCCTCGATATACGAAATTTGCGTCAAGCGAAAGGGTTAGTATTACTAATTTTTATAAAAACTAATTTCATCAACGTAATTCCTCATTATAAGCTTGATTAAACTTCTAGATTTAATTAGATCTTTTCCAATTAGGTGTAAATTTATATTATTTTAACATGTATTATTATTTTGCAGTGTGAGAAGGAATTTAAGGATTATCTCAAGGACAAGTTGGTTGCTGCTAAAGGACATTTCAAGGAATTACTGCAGGTAAAACTCGTGTTTGGAGTCGATTGAATATTTTCTTTACAGTTTTTTTTACTTTCTTTCTTCAGGAATCAAAATTGATCACTCACAAATCTCTTCAGACCGTAAGAGAGAACCAAAGTCACATGAACGAGATCGAAGAGATCTTGAAGAACGATAAGCGATACTTAGTCCTGGACTTTATACCGCAGGAGAGGACTCAATTGATTCTCAATTATTTGGAGGAGCTGGACAGGAGGGGACCTCCCCCTCCGCCCACAGCAAGTGAACCTAGTCGACGGTCAGTGAAATAGTTTCATGCGCATTTAAATTTAAGTCAGTTAGATATAATTATATATATATACATACATAAAGAAAAGGAAAAAATAATTTAATAATTATAATCGACTGCCAATATTCACATATGTTAAATAGATTGGTTTCTGTAGATAACACTATGTAGTACAATTAATAATTAATTTAGGTATTTTTTCTGTTTTTTTACATTACATTTTCAAAAGAAAAATTAAGATCTTTAAGTTTGTTTTGCATTGTTTCCTTTGACTGTTCACCTTCTAATGAGTAAATTGTATTGTAATAAAGAGTAGTTAAGTAATGAAAATTGAACATGTGACTTTACTTAGCAAGTCTTGTGAATAAGAATAACAGATTTTGGTCATCTATTTACCTGTTTTATTCATTTCAAATTATACACACACGGAATGTTAATTACTGTTTTTTTTTTCACTTATTCTTACACAATAAAATCTACTTTTCTATACAAGTATTAACAATATTGGTATCATACACTTTAACGGGCCATATCCTCAGGGTTGAACATGCCCTACAAATAAAAAAAAGGTCATTTTATTAATTTGCTTTATCAAAATTAACAATAACTTACTCTAGCTCTGCGCAAAATTGAATCCTTGCTTGCATCATAGGGATGGTCTTTGGATGGAATTTCCAGTACAGCTGGGACAGGTTGAGTGTGTCCATCAATCACATGACGAATAAGCTCAGCTACATTTTGGTTGATCAAAATGATATCAATATCATCTCTCTTCAAGAACCTCTTGAAGCACTCCTCAATTTCACTTATGGCAGTGTCTATTTTCATAGAAAAAGTAAATTAATTGTTGTATTTAGCAATATATTCTAAAATATACTTACTTTTATCGACCACCATAAAATTGGAGTGACGATTTTTGTTGATTTCACCTACTCCACCCAATAAGAATCCAACACAGGTATCCTATTAAAAACAGACATAAATATCAGATTGACCAGATTCTCACCTTAATAAATGAATAGTTGAATTCTTACTTCATCCCCAATAACGGATATCAATTTTCCCTTAACTGATGAATGCAAAGCCATTTTAATTGTTATACTCTTCAACAATTAGGTCTAATTTTGTCACGAGACAAGTTCGTCTGACAAGCCTCAGCTGACTACTAGCATACCGAAGTTTGTAGCGAAAGTTCTATTGATTTTAACCAGTTGGACCAACACTAAATTTAATTATTACTTTACTAATTACGACTTATGTTAAGTACATTTTAACTTTACCTGTTAATAAAAATCATAAGTAATGCAAAGTAACTTAAGTAATATGCAATATATTAAAATTCTATTGGTCTTTTTAATGATTGTAGCATTGCCAACATTACAAATTTTACTTAATTCTTATTGATTCTTATCATGACAATACAAGTGTCATAACAACTGTTCACATTAGGTTAAGTTTAAGATATAGTGGAACATTCGGAACATAAGTTTATTTATTTATTTTGTACATCATGGACCTCTCTGTTTTAATTGCGATAAGCGCGCTGCTTTTATTAATATTAATGGCAGTGAATTTGTTCATCAAATTAATACCTGTAGAAGGTAATTATGATGGAGACATATGTTTTCAATATTTTTAGTCAAGTTGTTGCTTTCAATGTCATTTTTAAATTATGTTTTTCAGATGCTGAACCTGAAAATAGACCTAGACCCAGACCAAATCGGGTGGTAGGGGATGCACCCAGAAGGGCCCAAATGGTTAGGAATCGTGGTGCAAGATTGAGGGCAAATGGTAATAAATTTTATATTATATTAAGTACAGCAGTAGTCCTGAGGAGCATTTTGATTGCTTGCCATTTGTATTTGGCACTTGCACAACAATGTTACTTCTAAGAGAGGAGTATTGAGTGTGGGATAGAAAGGAAGTACAAGATATACAAAGGTCTTATTATATTGTGATCTTGTACTTAGATTTTTTTTTAATCTATTGAAAAAGAGTATCTCACATCTCTAGTTTTAGCTTTATAAAGAAATAATTAATTTAATTTGGGGATAACTGAAAACCTTACCATGGTTCTTGATTGCTAATTCAACATTTTATGGAATAGGATAATAGGAAGTATTATGTTTGTGTTACAGCTCAACAGCAGCACGAGTCTGACGAGGAAGTCCAAGAGAATGAGGAGGAAGGTCCTGATTTTTCCGATGCTAAGATCGGTGCTAAAAAGCGTGCAAAGATGGAGGCAAAGGCCGAGAAGAAAGCCATGAGGGAGGCCGAGGAGCACGTGAGAGCGGACAAGAAAAAGAGGGATCAACAAGCGGAGGACGAGCGTAAGAAGCTCGAAGACAAAGAAAAGGCTGAAGAATTAAAGCGCGAGGAAGAAGAGAAGAAAATGCGCGAGGAGAAGGAACGCCGAGAGCATGAAGAGTATTTGAAGATGAAGGCTGCGTTCAGCGTGGAGGAGGAGGGTTACGAAGAAGGCGAAGCTGGTAACGAAGAAAATCTCCTGCAGGAGTTCGTCAAGTACATTCGCGACCAGAAGGTGGTCGTCATTGAGGACATTGCTGCAAAGTTCAAGTTGAAAACGCAGGCCGTCATCGACAGGATTAAAGATCTTCAAGAAGACAACATATTGACCGGAGTTATCGATGACAGAGGCAAGTTCATCTACGTGTCGCAGACGGAGATGGAGGCCGTAGCCAAGTTTATTAAACAGAGAGGTCGTGTGTCGATACAGGAACTTGCAGAGAACAGTAACCAATTGATTAATTTAACGCCGGTTGTTAATTAACATAATTTCTTAGGTATATATAATATTATTATATAAATTGATTCTTTAATTAAATAACAAAAACAGAACATCAATGTACATTATTGCGATCATGATAGACGAATGAAATCGATGGTTTTGCGGCGAGAAGAGAATCGAACCCTCCGTGCAACACGCACACTCGATGCACGTTGCATTCCAATAAAAATTTTGGAAACTAAAAGAAAATTCAACTGTATTTGTATATTCTTGAATCTTCCAAAATACTTACCAAAGTCAGATCTGTATCTTCTGATCCAACAACAACCACGTTCTTCTCCGTATTATTGCAAAGCATATTTCCGTGTAGCCCTAAACTCTCAATTCCAACTTCTCCGAATTTCACGCTGGAGAATGGAATATTGATACTTTTCTCAGATGCGCAGCCGTTGTATCTGCAATTCACACAACATTAATAATTTAACATTGTTGTTGAATACTTACTGAGTAGGATTGCGAATATCGACGATCACTATGTTATCCTTCAAATCATTAATTAACTTGACTACGTCTGTTGTACTTATCCTAGCACATCTTTCTTTGTTCAATTCTCTTGTAGAGATGTCGCTTATATTCTGCAAACGAATTTGATTTAAATAAATATTCAACTAAAATTTATGTCGACATAATTACAAAATCTTTAGTTATTGGGTAATACTCTTCGTTTTGGTGCAATCTCGTTGTAATGCTCTTCGGTGTATTTTTGTATGTCTCTAAAGAAAGCTTCACACATTTCTCTATATCAACTTCAGGCAGATCAGAGAATAACAAAATGCACTCGTTGAAGCCGGACGATAATAATCTAGCCCTTAATTGTGTCAAAACGGAAAGTCCAATGTGGAGAGGAAATGATGAATCTCCAAGCAGCAATTTATCCCAAAGATGTAATATCTTATGCAGAGGGAACACATCTAAAAGTAGATTTTGTTTTATTGCGAATCATCAAAGTATTTTGTAATTGTTACGTGAGAACATCGTTAAAAACCATGGGATGGCGAATAACTCCGGAATAAAATTGATTTCGTACAGGTGATTAGCTAGTACTGGATCGTGGAAGGCGATGAGTTGGGAGAATTTTGCCAAGTATTCTTGTATCACAGTAGAGTTGTCTTTCAAAAAGAATTTGTGGAGGTATTTTGGTACAAACGACGAGAGGCACGCAAATGCTAACGCTATAAAATATACAGAAAATTATATAACATTGATTTTCAGTAATAAAGGAATATACCTTCGTTGTTGAAATTAAGGAACAAAAACGGCGCGGTTAATGAATCCAAACCCTGCCAATAGACGTATTGCGAGTTCTTGTGTACCCAAGCTTTCAGGATTCGTTTCAGTTTCCTGTGGCCTTCCGCAGATGATAAAAATTCATTGTATTGATGACATCTAGGAATATCAACTTCAATCTGTAACATCGAATTTGTTATATGATTTTTACTGAATTTAGATTCTTTCAGTTCACCTGTCGATCTGTATTGGTTGGGGTTTCTTTATCGATTAAAAGATACTCGTTTTCATAGTCGCCTTTAATTCTTAAAATTGCAGCCCAAATTTCGCCTCTCAACCAAGGCGGTATATCAATTTCCGCTGCAGAAATCAAAAAGTCGATTCCATAAGGATACGACTACAACATGAGATTATATATAGAAATTTGCAACTTTGCTTCAAACCACCTTACATGCAATAGCCTCCTGAATATGATTATCCTTTGGAATTGATATTCCGTATTTTTCTCTCTAATGATTAGCGGTAAATCTATGTCATACTTGTTAGTTTCTGAATTTTTTATGATCTTTGAGTTGCAATGAAACAGCGGATAGAACTCCGTCACCGTAACATCTTTTAATCTATCGTATAAAGCTTCTAAAGGCATCAAAGCTACTCTAGGATCGTAAAGCGTCATTGGATTCCTTTCTTGTCCTAGAATACTTCCATCTAACAAAACCAAACTAAATAAATGCGTGATTAGTTTCATCTTAATTGAAACATCTACAACTATACCTAGGCATTGATAAAATAGGTGGACTGGATCGAATTAAACCTTGCTTTTTAAGTTCTTGCAAGACATCGCCTCCAGCCAATTGCCACCAATGATAAAAGTCTGCAATAGTAAAAGTCTTAAATTCTTTAATGACTTTACTTCGAGGTTGTTGGTTTGCTGCGGAAAATTCGTTGAATATGTTCTTATTTACTAGATCCTTAGAATGTGGCCTGTCCTTTGTCATTACAGTCAAACAGTTTTCAATAAATTCCTTTAATCCACCATCCAAATTCTTAAAAATACCACTTGTTACTTTAGAAATTTCTATATATAATATACCTTAAACCTCATAAACTTCAAAGCAATTGTGTTCTCTGGCTATTCTCTCAAACACTGAAGTATTAGAGTGGATCATACTCAAAACCTTACGAATTCTCTGTCCAAGTTTCAAGTTAGCCCACAGTGGTTGATCCAAAACTAATTCCACTAAAATCATCCCCAAAGACCAAATATCTGATCTGCATGATGATTTTGTAGCATTTGGTCCAGCCAAATACACTTCTGGTGCAGTATATATCAGTTGTCTAAAATTTAGATGATTTTAAGAATTCAATTGCATACATCTGCATATTACTAACAAAATTGGAAAAGAAACCAATTTTCCATTACAAGTCATATGGTATAAACCATAATTGAACAGTTTAATATTTCCATCGTGTTGAAGTAGAATATTCTCAGTGCTTAAATTTCTGTGAACTATATCCTTCTTATGTAATATATCCAAAGCAGTAATGATTTGGAAAGCAATTCTTTTAATATCATTCACTTGAAATTGAGACTTTCCAATGCTCTCTGATAGAGGTTTTCCACAATATTGTGAGACAACAACAGTTCGTTCTAAAAAAAGGAAATTAATTTTAATTAATATAATTGCTAGGTTTTATGAAACTCACCATGTTTTCCACGTATTATATCTAAATACTGGCATAAATATGGGCTGGTAAACGTTTTCAATGATTGTGCCTGCCCATAAATAATGATGGAATTGGGAGTTAATGGTAGACCATTGCTTCCACAAGTGTCCCCTTTATGAAGCTTAGCAAAGAACGTTATAGCACCAAAATTGTACTCATCCTGTTTCAATAGTTTCCTGAGTGTTTCTTCTTTGTTGTACATTTTTGATGAGTGTGAAGAGCCATTAACGAAACACCCACCAAATGATCGCACAAAATAAACTAGATAGGCAACCAACTATACTAAATGAATCAAGTAAGTTTCCTCAGTAAGTTCTTTATTCATTTTAAATATTATTAAAATACAATTCCAAATACATATAATATTAAAAAAAAGTTTATTTTGTAAATTATCTTCTTAAATTACATTAATGTTTAACATTTTAATCCTTCTCAGCAAGTGCAGTAAGATGTCTGTCAATTTCATTCTCAGTAAGTTTTCTGAACTTAGGCTCATCCTTAGTGACCACCCCAATTTCAATTTCTGTTGGTTTGAAGTCCACAGAAAGGACACTGGACAGACAACTGATGGCTAATTGGATGACATCGTCATGTTTCAAGTCCTGCTTTTTCTTAAGCTTCTTCTCCAAATAGCTGTTGGCCTCAGTTTGTTTGGCTCCAACACTAACAGCTCTGTATCCACAGTAGTAACCAGCTGGGTCAGTTTTGAAGATTGTTGGACCAGTTTCAGAATCATAACCAATCAAGATCATAGAGCAACCAAGTGGTCTCATCTCAGCATTCTGAGTGTAGACTTGAGCAATATCAGCTACCTTCCTGCAGAGTGTTTCCATGGGCATTTCATATCCAAACTTGTATTTGAATTGGGCTGCCTGGTAGCGAGCTCTCTGTACTTGAGACTTACTGTCTGCAATCATGCCAGTCATCACGCAACCCACACTTTCTGTGAGTTGGAAGAGATGGGTGATTGTGGAGGCAACGACAAGCTTGTCAGGGATCTTCCTCTGGGTTACACATACTGATGTGTCTTCGCCTTTGACGGCAACGGAGGTTAGGCCGGCTTGGTTGATAGCCTTAAATGCGTACTCCACCTGATACAGACGACCCTCAGGAGAGAAGATCGTTATGTGTCTATCGAAACCTGCACTGCTTCCGCGCGACATGTTTTCTTCTGTTGAGGATAACTAACTCTTATAGGATATTACAAAGGTAAACAATTTTTGTCCACTGCGGATGACTTACAAAAATTGTTGACTGTCAAAGAAAATAACAGGTGAAGTTCTACCGCTGTCAATTTTAAGTTTTAAGTAACGTATATAGATGGAGCTAAAGTTCAATTCTTCTTCCATCTTTACAATTAGTTCATTTAATTCATATTTCTATCTTTTTGTTACGTAAATACTATAGGATTACCTCCCAACAACATATTGTATTAACTTCTATATATCAAAATACTAATTTTAACAATTTAATACATCATTAATTATGATCAGAAGAACCATAGCTCTTTGTTCTTATAGTCAATTATAACTTGATAATTTCGACAATACATCATTAATTATTAATAAAAACTAAATCAAAAAAGATATAATTTGCTGAGATAGTCCTGAATGTGGAGGACTATGGTTCAGTTTTCATCTGATATTCAGTTTCTCATGAAACTTGATTATTTTACTTTTCTATGCTTTTACGTTAATTATCTGGACTATTATTAATAATCTTCGCATTTATGTTCTGTTTTAAGAGTAATAAAATTGTATTATTAGTGATTTTAGTGTAGATGAAAAATCTTATACAATTGTATTTTTTTTCTGTTCATACTCTTATTATCAAAGTGAGGATTATAGTTAGCATTATATCATATTGCTTGCTATAAGATTATACTGTTGAATTATTGATCGCAAAGCAGGAATTAGTATTAGATTTTTGGAGAAAGAATATTCCTTTGCATTGATTATATTAAATTTTAGTTAATTATTCCATTAAAGGCATTATAATGATGCAAGAAAACTCGTTAATGAGATAAATAAACAATGCGTGCAGTTGAAGATAGGAATGACTTGAACTCATAACATATTTAACTTTGATTTTCTTTTGCTTTGCGAGTGGGGAAAACACTGTGGGGAAAATCGTTTCTCTTCGGTGTCGCGCGCAGGCCAACTTAATTATGTCTTCGGTTACATAATTTCCGATCCCGGGACTCTGAGTCACGGATGCAATATCCAAAAATTCTCTTTTCCTGGCAGATTTTGGCAGGTCAATTATCCTGCTGCACGCGGAAGCTGCGCCAACAATTTTAATTAGATCTGGCTTTGGACACCTAAGCTTTTCCTTTTTTTTTTTCGAATTTACCACGCAGAAGCGCGCCTTTCACCAACATTGTAGAGCGAATCAGGTACATCGACGGTATTCCTTTAGTTTAAAGCTCATTTCCAGTTCTTTCGAAGCAGGTTATCTTGCTGCGAATATTGTAAACTCATTGCTGCAGCAGCGTTCGCGATGACGATTCGATTCGGTGGGGTATGTAACTTGTTTATCGTTGATAATAGTAATCATCTACTACATGACTTTCAAAATTGTTTACGTAACCTTTTGAACTCATACGAAAGTGTACGACTGCAGAGAGCGATCTCTAGTGCGTAGACTTCAATAAAACTATTGATTCGCTCCTTGCACGTATTCAATTTGTGCCAATTAGCGGTGAACCATGGATTCGAATACACAATCCAATTCGTTTCAAGTGAGTTTATATAAACGTTGAATTTCCATAATATTTGACCCTGACTGTATGTAGGTTATGATATTAATATTAAAATCAATTGTTTTTATACAGTTCATTAAAGAATCTTTGACCCCACTTAATATATAATGCTCATTTAACTCATTTAAAACATTGCATTTGTGTAATTGATAAATCACTGATTTATGAAAATATTAATTTCTTGTGCAATTGATGTTTCAGTAATTAATACTACAAAAAATGGATACATTAAGAAGTCAGAATAAGCTGGTAAACAATTATATTAAACAGCTCTTTAGTAACAATTTTGTTTTGTTTTTTTTTTGGTTACACAACATAACATGGAATGAATTGTTTTTGTTACACACTTGACCCCGTTTTTTTCTACTTTTTATATATATATTTTTTATAATCATGTTATATTGCTTCGTACTTTAATTATTGTTTTATTTTATTTAGATTTTGGCTGTTGCTGTTGGTGTTGGAGTGGTTTTAACCAGTATTGTGTTATACCACATTTCAAAGAAAGGTAATATTAATGAGTCATGTTTATTGGAACAGGCAATGATAAATTGTTATTTTTAAAGGTAAAAAGAAGTTGGTGACTTTGCTTGACCCTCAAGCGAAATATTCACTGCCATTGATTGAGAGGGAGGAGATCAGTCATGATACAAGGAGGTTCAGATTCGGGTTGCCAAGTGAGAAGCATGTGCTTGGTTTGCCTGTCGGGCAGCACATCCATCTATCAGCCAAGATTGATAATGACTTAATCATTAGGTCATACACTCCTGTGTCATCTGATGAGGAAGCTGGATATGTTGATTTAGTTATCAAGGTATTATTTTATTATTATTATTATTTTAATTAATGCGCATTTCTGGAGTTAATTAATTTAATGTAAATTACTGAAAATCATAACAAGATGATATGCATTTACGTCATGAAGGTAATTACCGAAACGACACTAGAATTTCATGCAGTGAGTAATTAAGAAAGTGATTTGTAATGTACTTTACATTGTAAAGTTGAGTATATTATACTATTTTATAGCAAATATTAAGGTTTTACGAAAATATTTGATATTCTAAGCAATTTTAACTTTTTTTTTAAGTCAAAAGTTTACTCATTTCTCAAATTCTTTCTATATTATACAGTAACAGTAAGATTTATATACAGCTTTAGAAATCATACATTAAAGTATAGATAGAATAGATTCTTGCATCTAATTTATTTCTATTTATAGAGCTTTTAGTGAGTTTTCGGTGATGATGACGCAAAACGTTAGAACTCTGAATATATTCAAGCATTTCTTCGTTTGCAAATGCGCTTATCCTCCCGTTTTATCGCTTTATTCAATAGTTTCTTTTGGCACTACGTATGATGACGTCAATTGTATATAATAATAGTTTACTTATTTTACCAATCGCATTCTTTCGAATAAACTTATTTTTGTATTTTACTGTTTCTGTGTACATTTAAAAATAGACACATTTATGGAAATGTTCTATAACTATAATCTAAATATTATTTTCTTTCAAGGTATACTTCAAGAATGTCCACCCGAAATTCCCAGAGGGCGGAAAAATGTCTCAGCATCTTGAGAACCTTAAGATCGGTGATACGATCGACGTGAGAGGTCCATCCGGTAGGTTGCAGTATTTGAGTAACGGCAAGTTCTCGGTGAAGAAGCTGAGGAAAGACCCACCACAAATCATAACCGTGAAACGTGTATCAATGATTGCCGGTGGTACAGGAATCACGCCTATGCTTCAACTGATCAGACATATCACAAAGGATCCAAACGACAAAACTCAGCTGAATCTGCTCTTCGCCAATCAAACCGAGAAGGATATTCTTGTGCGTAAGGAACTCGAGACGGCAGCCAAGGAACATCCCGACCAATTCAAACTGTGGTACACTTTGGACACTCCTCCAGAAGGTAAGTTATAAATTATAACATTTGAATAAAAATGTTAATTTCTTGTACTTTTAGGATGGAAGTATAGCTCTGGATTCGTGAACGAGGAAATGATCAAAGACCATCTGTTCCCACCATCACCTGATACTTTGGTCGTCCTCTGCGGTCCACCGCCGATGATCAACTATGCTTGCCTTCCGAACTTAGACAAATTGGGACACTCCAAGGATCTTTGCTTCGCCTATTAAAATTATGTCCCATTTGGAATGTTATACACTATTACACGTACACCACACGGAGCAAAATCGGCATTGCGATCGATTATATAGCAATAATAGTATTGTCAGAATGTACACACCTTTTTTTAAAAGACTTTTGATGCATTTTATTGTTATTTTTTTTGGTTTTTACTAAAAGTATATTAATTTTATTGAAAGTTGGTTGTAAATCTTATTTTTTATTTTCCTTTAAGCTACAGCAGAATGTTGCATTACATAAAATATTTTGCTATTATTTATTTACATTTAATATAAGGTCTATTAAAGTGCTTCAAATGATAACGATGATAATACAATAAAATTGCTTAATATTATCACTAGTACTTACCTTTAGTTTACTGGTGCATTTCAATATTATTTATAATTTTATTAACTGTGAAGTGCAATTATTAATGCTATGTTTGAATTATTTTGCTTTTCCCAAACTTATAATGCAATGGAATGCTTCGTAAATCCTGAAATTTTCACTGAACACTTTGTTTATTTTAGAATTAGAATTACCTAATGGCATGAGCACTTGACTTAACAGCGCTAATATCAAAACGAGAGACTTAAAAATATTTATAAAATGGTTCATAATATAAATATATAATTATTATAACAGTCATATATAAACAAATAAAACATAAAACTTAGTATAATATAATAACTGATCAACTGTTATAAAGGGCTATTTTCCGTTAATAAATACAGATTTCTTTCTTATTACTTAATATATATTAGTCTTTAAGTAGAAAGTTTAACACTCTTGAAATCTCTATAAATTATACAAATTTTGTGCATTAAAGAAAATAGTTCTTCAGTGTCACATTTAAGTTCAAGTCAAATTAGGATTTGTTTTCTCTTTGGCCATATCTCTACCCCTTTCGGCCCCCACAAAATTTTTGTTGGGTTTTGGGAATCGAACCAACAACCTTTCGTATCAGATTTACTTTGAAGTAAGGTTGGTTGCATGCATTATTTAACCGTATTATAAAGTTTATATTTTTTGCTGTATGAAAAATTATGTTTAAATTTAAGTATTTGAACATAAAATGTGTATTTTGTGCTTTTCTTGAGATATTAATATGCATATTTTTTTGTATTTCATTTTCACCGTCGCATCCACCATCGATTTTTAAGTTCATCATTTTCTTCAGTTTTATATTGAATTTTTATGCAGTACAGAATTTATTTATTAATTGTTTGACAAAATTATATTATTTATTAGCTCTATCATATGATCTTCAACTATGTTATTGAATTCAGTTACAAGTTTGAAATCTTTTAAAGGTTTCTGTATTTGTTTAAAAATGATTTTGGAAAATTGTTGAACTATGTGCTTAGTAAATGATACATTAATAAGAAATATCCATTGGGTTAATGCAAATTTTACTAAAAGCTTAATAAAACCAAATTATTCGTTGTTGTTCTTTGTGTATCTTAAAAAGTGCAGTCGTTGTCCGCATGTCGGTTTAACGTAGCAAGCTTTCAGAGTAAAATGTTACATACACGTTTCTCCTCAGAGAGGGATAACTAAACCGAACTAACCACTAACATCGCCATTAGTCACATCAAAGTAATTCCACTTTACTACACTCCGTTTCACGTAAGAGCATTACCTAACTGCATCAGCTCTCTCCGTTCATCTACACTTTTTCGTTCACCGGTATTACATAAACGGATTATGTTCAGTTATTTTCTCAACGAATCAGTAATATTAATAAACTTGTGTTTTTTTTGTGTGCAGAAAATGCAAAAGTTTGGACGTGGCTCGTAAATATCCATGATGCCTGGATTTTTGCTGTAATATATATTATGATGCGCATGCAATAAACGTCAGGCAGACAGTTACGTGTAACATATTTATCGTTTAAATTTCTTCTGCGTCACAATACATGATTGGTTGTTTTATCTGCATACATTCCATGTAATATTTTTTCTTTAATTCGAAATTGGGTATATCGCTGGGATTTCTGCATTTACCGTAATGCAGAAATAGAAAATCATTGCAGTCAATTACTCCATCACAATTGCAATCCTAAACACACAGAAAATAATTATACAAATCAATATAATTTTTAAAATTATGACTAAAACTAAAGTCTAAAACGAAAGTGCATTCTTAGATTGGTTCTTGTTATCATATTTAATTGGATTTTTCAGATATTCAATTTTTTTTTTAATACAAATTTACGTTTTGTTTATTTGTCTTACGTTCAGCAGATATGCAATTATAATAAATATGAGTTAATATTGAGGAACTTACGTGTTGTCCAACATTAATTATATAATTTTCAATGGTTTCGTAGATACAGTCGTCATTGTTTTGGCATAATTCGAAAGCTTCTCTATCGGTTGTGTGTGCACCGATATGTGGAGAATCTGCAGCCCTCCAATAATCAAATGTTATTGAGAACTTCGCACAATTCTTCATGAGGTAGCACAAACTCACGGAGTGGCATATGCATTTGATGCAACTGCGAAAATTGTATATTGTTAAGTCAACTGTAAAGAAAAGACTTAAATTTATTTCATATTTGTGTTTCTTTTTCTATAAATACCCTGTGTTGTTATTAAAATAAGCACTAAAAACGTAGCGAGTTTCATTGTTGCGCACTATAGTATTTTTCATCAACTAATATTCATTTATAAATAAATCTGTCTTGATACACAGCTTCTTATCAATAAAAGTTAAAGGTCAAGGAAATGTTGTTTATTGTATCAGAAACGAATATGAATTTTCGTCAAAGTTTTTAAATTCTCTTCGTATTATTTTTTAAATCAAATTCTATTTTTAATTTTAAATTAAAAGTTTTTTTGACAATAGTTACTAATGATACTCCAATTATTTAGTATGATTTAAACACGACTTTCTACATCTAAATATATCAAAAATTACAACTAATGAAAGAAAACAAACTGTTAAATTATAAAGTTGATCTGATATATTTTTGTACATATTTATATAATGATGAGAAATATTTATCCAACGTTTGTAAACCCTTTTGTAGTCGTACTACAAGAAATTTACTTTTCACCGCTTTGGCATATGATGACAGCTGTCATTTCTCGATTCTTTAACATTTCAGTCTAATTCATTTTTCGGATCCTTTTTATTTTATAATAATCAATTGAAATTATATTTTTTTATCGATGAAATATTTGTATAAAAATAATGTTCTTAAGATGTTAGTTTAAACGGCATCAGGTATACAGCTTCCAGTTGGCATATCCATTTTTTCTTTAGCGCAATTGTTGTATCTCCACTGTCTTCTAGCCAATTCTGGAATCAGGGACATATTTTGGCAAGCGCCGAAGTGGATGGCCAACATGTCTTCAGCATTGAAGTCCCCGTCACAGTTGCAGTCCTGAAATGAGTATTTATATATATATATATATTATATAAGATGAATGAAGAATTCCTATACCATTTCGCCTTGGGCTTGCACGTAGTTGTTAATTGTATTCAGAACGCAATTATTGTTAAGTATGCAGGCTCTGTAGGCTTTCTGATCGGGAATCTGATCCACGGAAAGAACCGGGCTTCCGGCCTTTTGCCAATATTCGTAGTTTACGGAGTATTTGGCGCAGTTAGTCAAAAAGTAACATCCGGAAACTGCATGGCAAAGGCAACGAATATCCTTGTGCACTTGGGTGTCTATCAAACTCGGAAGAGCTAACAAATAAGTGTTAACGCAGGAATTCTCGTTCGGTCTTCATGCACTTACCATAGGCAGCTACCAAACATAGGCATAGAATTAATATACAATTCGACGTCTTCATGGTGATGATCTTTGTAGTACTCTGATTAATGTATATGCGACTTTACTTATATACACAGGTCAATCAAAGGTTAACATTGATAAATAATTTTATTCGCTATATATAATATTTGAAATACATTTATCAATAAGACATTCAAATAGGAGAGTATAAAGTATCTGATATATTAAAAAATGCAGATTTACATTTTTAATACAATTGTTGTTTCCAATTGCTACTTACTTATGTATTGGAAACAACGAAATGTAATTATACTATCATAGTTTGATAACATGGATATAAGACATCTTGTAAGGCTTCCTCAAATAATCAGATTTATCTAGCTACAATTATAAAGATAATTCATGCACGTGCCAAATAATTTGAGCATTTTTATCTGTTTCTTTCAAATGTATTTAAGTACAATTTTAAGTATACAGCAATACTTCATATAGTGCGGTTTCAATCAGTGCCAATTCCTTATAGTACAGTTTGAAAATTTCTAAACAAAGAAAATTTTAATTGAGCAAAATTAAAATAAATTATAAAAAAAAGTTATTAAACATAATTACACATAAATGATCAGTTTATACTTGATTGTATAAATCTCTTTTTGATATAATGACGAGGGACAACTAAACCAGCATTTCTGAACCTATCTTTTTCGGTGTGCAACTTCTTGTTGCCAGTTCTTCGCTTTGACACATGATGGCAGCAGTCATTTCGCGACTATTAAAATTTTAACGCAATATAAACTATTTCAGTCTAATACGTTTTTCTTATCCTTTTTATTGTTTTCAATTTTTTTACTACATTTTGGTTGAATACTTTAATAATCAATTCAAATTACTTTTTGTAACCTTTGTCTTATCATCGGTATGTTTTCAATGTTGTTTTAAACGGCATCTGGTAAACAGTTTGTAGTTGGCATATTCATACTTCCTTTGGTGCAATTACTGTATCTCTACTGTCTTTTACCTAATTCTTGAATCAGTTATGTCATGGCTAGCGTCGATGTGAATTGCCAACATGTCTTCAGCATTGAACAGTTGCAGTCCTGAAATGCATATTTTATTTATACATTATATACGATTGTATGAAAAAGATTTCCTGTAACATTTCGCTTTGGGCTTGCATGTAGTTGTTAATCGTATTCAGAATGCAATTGTTGTTAAGTATACAGGCTTTGTAGGCATTCTGATCTGGAACCTGATCCACGGAAACAACAGGGTTTTCGGCCTTTTGCCAATGTTCGTAGTTTACGGAAAATTACGGCGCAATTAGTCAAGTAGTAACATCCGGTAACTGCATAGCAAAGGCAACGAGTATCCTTATGTACTTTGGAGTCTATCAAACTCGGAAGCGCTGACAAACAAGTGTTATCGCTGATTTAGGCATTCTCCTTCGGTCTTCATAGACTTACCATAGGCAGCTACCAAACAAAGGCACAGAATGAATATACAATTTGACATCTTCATGGTGATGATCTTTGTCGTATTCTGGTTAATGTATATGCAAATTTACTTATAAACACAGGTCAACGAAAGGTTAATAATTATAAATTTATTTACATTCGTTTTATGAATTATCAATTAGGAAAGCATCTAATATATAACAAAATGCAGATTTATATATTTTTATATTAATTGTTGTTCCTAATGGCTTTTTACTTGTATTGGAAACGACGAAATAAATTTATACTATCACTTGTATCAATGTGTACACTTTATTAATTTGATCCTTCTTGATCTGGTCTATTCAAATGTATTTAAATACAATTTGAAGTATATAGCAATACCTGACTTTATGCGGCTTCAATCAGTGCGGATTTCTTATAGTACAGTTTGAAAATTTTACAAAAAATTTTTATTTGAGCAAAATAAAATACAAATAAATTATAAACAAAATATTTCCTTCCATACAGCAAAGTCGCTTTTTGTGCTGTTTATTTTTATGCGCTTCTAAAGTCCTCAATTAGTACGGTTTTAAACAGTGCGGGAAATAAACCATTACTCTAAATCATACATTTTTAATCATGTAAGAAATAAAATAATTACATAATATTTTACAAAGGAATAGATTTTTATTATTTTGTGGTTGTTTTTCCAAATTTATATAATAATTAAATATTATTATATCATAGACTAAATAAGTCTATTATTGTTAATTCTGTATTAAAGCACACCGATTACGTGATTATCTTTCGGATTGGAATTCCAATCAAGATTGGTGAACTGTTCAAATGAGCTCCGGGATATTATATTATGAGATATTTCGCGCTAGTCCAACCAATCTCGCGATGTGATTTATCGTGTCCAGCCGGAGTTGCTAGATCGATTAGGAGTGGATGTCGAAATGTAATAATGCAAAACGCCGGTCCCCATGCGAGCGATCAAACTAAAATTAATTCCCATCTGTAAATGGGTCTCAAAAATCATTACAAAACACGCACACCAAAACGCACATGTGGTGAACCCATTAATAAAACTTGTCTTGTTCTCGGACTCATCACCACTGAACGCACTTCTAATTCATTTCCACCACCGACACTAAGCGGGTCGTATCCTAGCCAAAAAATCACAAGTAGCATACACAATAGTTAAGTGATATGTGATTGCTTATAAGAGAAATACAGTATAGATACATTCAAACGTTTATGTAAGTATTTACATTTTTACCACCAAACATTCATACAAAGATTGAAATCAATAATTTAAGGAAAAAAAATATATTGTAATGTAAACTTAACTTAAATTTCAAAATCTTATCTTTTTTCAATTAATAAATAATAATTTAATGAAATTTGAAAGTTTGAAACTTTGATAAAACATTGACCAATTTTCTAAAGCAACAAGTCTTAATACTTCAAATATTCACATAAGCTAAGTGAAAAAGCTTATAAAAAAAATATTATCTCTACTAATGCTTGTATATCAAATACCTCGTATAGTGCGGCTTCTGCGGCTTCTGCGGCATCCATTTGTCCGGATTCACTAACACATTTTTTTGTATATAAATCATCGTTTCATTCTTTTATGAAGTCAAATCTCTTTATGCTCTATTGTATTTAGTTCATCGATTAGTCCTGTTTCAAATAATAAAAACTAAAAAAATCTGATTTTGAACAATTTAGAATTGATGATGTTTTGATTATGATGAAGATATTGCTATTATTGTACCGTCGATTGGCGCGAATGTAAATGGTCGTAATGAAAGACTAACCTACATAAATACATTTGTTAATTGAACTTTACATAGTGAATTAGAATTTATTAAAGATTTACTGCGAGTACATCTCGAGTTATATAATTGCCGTCCATAAATAAAATGGCTGTTAGTGGAAGCATTAAATATGACGGATAAATAATCTATGCATATAATAATTATGGAATATCATCATTATTTTCGACGCCCACATTGAAACTCATTAGCAAATATTTGCGACATACGGAAATTCACGGAAATTATGAATAATTGTTTGTATAATAGTTATAAACTGGTTTAATTATTATATTATTAAAGCCTCTGTCTCCTAGTGGTATTATACAAAAAGCAAGTATTTAATTTTGACATTTTGAATTTCTCGTTACACCTCTTTTGTTCCTCGAATGATTGAATTAAATTCATGTTTTATACAAGAAAATTTATGTAAATTAATCAAATGTATATTGATTTAAGTATGTCATCAATTTTCAGTTTTCATAATATTTATAGATTTAAGAATAAATTTATATTAAATATCAAATTTAGAGACGATTTATTGATTTTTTAAAGAAATGTTACGTTCGGACCATAAGACGCACACAAAATATGTGTCCATTTTTCTAATTGCAACAAAATGTTTTCTTGTTTTTACTTAGCAATTTTAATTGTTCCTCTTGTTTTCTCCATTCTCAAACCATTTTCTCTGTTGGACCGAAATATCTTTCTGCTGCTCTGTTTCTATATTGTTTTGTATAATTGATCACACTTAGTTTGCACTTCATGTTATATGAGTTTTTTTTTGTTTTACACTCATTTTTTTCTAATTTTAGAATAAAAAATTTAAAGATTTATAAAAGTAATTCAAATGAATTGTACAAAAAATCATACTACCTTCAGTGGCGTGAAATATGTTTTGTACTAAAAGACGTACCTCAATTTAGAGACGATTTATTGAAAAAATAACTTTTGAGTCCATTTTTCTATGTAAAAAAGGTGCGTCTTATAGACCAAGAAATAAATCTAGGGAATAATTTATTGAAAATTGATATAAACATATCTTGTTTCAAACATAACTGAGAGTGGACAAAATTAATTGAAATTAAGATGATTTTTAATTTCGTATTTTTTTAACTAAATTAGTATGACTTTTTTTGAGAACTGTTAAAAAGGAAATTAAAACTTAAAAATATGAGGGCCGAAAAATGTATGTAAATCTAGAAATAATTTATTGAATTTCAATTTATTTTATAAAACTTTTATAATAAATAAATAATTTATTTTCTTTTAATTACATAAATAATTCAAACATACATATTTAAATTAAAATCTACGAAATAACAAAATGAAAACTTGAATATTTTTATATAACATGAATGTTTACAATATATTTCTCCATTGTATTGGCACTTCGGTTTGACCAATGAATATATATTACTCCTATTAGAATTTATTGTCATAAGTTAAAATGTTTGAAACTATGAGTTACAACAATATTAATTGATCTATATTAATATATAACAAGATCCCAATATGTATTTATTGTAGCTTTTCGCATAGATGACGTCAAAGCAAATAATTTAAAATTTTTGATATGTAATAACTCAAACATAAAAAGTACAATTTGGAAAATCTGTTTAAAAATTTGAAATATTTTTATCATTTTATAAAATGATTCATATCATAACAGTTTTTTTTTATAAAATGTGTCAAATTAGATGTAGAAACACATAAATAACATATTAAACACGAACGAAGCAACACATAAATAATTATACTTTGTAGCAAATTAATTAATTATAGAGAGGAACAATTTGAAATAAAAAGAGAACATTGGATTAATACTGCGATTTGGGACGAACTAGTGTAGTGTTGTGAAAAGAACTTAATTTATAGTAAATTAAATCATCATCAACATTATCAAATTATAAAAAAACTTTTTTAGAAAATATAAATTGACATATGTCAAAATGACGTAATCATACGTCACTTTGACATATGTCAATTTCTATGTTGAGATTATTTAATGGTGTCATGAATTTTGTAATTAGATTATTAAAGTTTGTTTAAATTATAATTTTGAACATTGACTATGATAAATAAAAGTAATGGTATGAAAATAATTACTTATTCATTTTGCTATGTTAATTTCAATTATGTCATAATTATTCGAATTATAATGTTTCAAGTTGTATATACAAAAAAACTGGAATGGTGGCGCCTTTCATTGAATTATCTTTTAGTGTGCGTAGTTAAATTAAGAACAATGATAAGACCTAATTTTCGTAATATGAATGGAATGTAAAAATTAGTGGTCGAGTTAAGACCAATGCGTGTATGTCCATGAGTGCGTTGGCTATGATAAATAAGTGCATGAGGCCGTTCCATTTATGTGCGAGGCTCATCAATTGCATTGCATTGTTCAGTTACGCAATTACATCACTCTCGTTCCGTTGGATAGAATGCAATCCACATTCGACCCTATTACGATTTATTGCCACTCGTTTCAATTCCCACCAATTCTGAAGCACCGAAAAATTATACAAAAAAAGAAATTATACAGCGCACTGCAAAACATATTAAAATTCTAAAAGTAAATTGATCTTTTTTTTATTCAAGTTTGAATTCATGATTTGTTATTATAATTTAATAATTCATTATCATTTAATTAAGTATATGTTATTATTAATGTAATATATTTTTTTATATTTTATTTCAAGCTTTGTAATCTTTCAGTATATTTCAGATATTAAATGATAAAAAGTATAATGAAAATGTAAAAACTCAATAGAATATTGCAAAAAGTGTTAATGGAAATTTCCGATGAAAATTGTTTATTTTATTGTAGATATTAAAAACATATATTAAAATAAGTTTTTAAAACGTTATTTGTTGTTAGATTCGAGAAAATAAAGGCATGTACCTATATTATGTATATGAGAGTATTATTATTATTAAATGGTGATCTGATCTGTGTTCCATTTATTGCGATGATGTAATTGCGAAATGTAAATGAAATGGTGTCAACGACTCCGTTTTATGGGGCAGTTTGAGACGTAAGCAAAATGAGCTTATGGTTATTGTCGCGAGTTGCGCAACCAATTCGCAATTACGCTAACTACGTTTTTGCATTTTCCTACAGAAAGTTCCTGAAATGCGGCTCTGGAAGCCAACGGCAGTATGGCTCATTCCATTCTTAATATGCAATTTCCCGCAGGGCTCCGACGCACGTAAGCCACCTCCGACACATCAACGCGTTCGCAAGATCTAATTCCTGTCTTTTTTTCTTTTTAACTGTTCATCATCCTTCCATATTGTGGTTGTTTGGGTATATAGAGGAGCCGGAAATCATCGATCTGGTGGAAGAGGCTGACCTGTTCAACGAACCACAAGGCATCACCAAATTTCCGGGTCGTTGTCTGACCCATCTCGAAAATGATACAACGCTGAATAACTTGACTAGATCCGATTGGGCCTACAATTTCAACAAGCAATCTCAGATTATGCTTAGCACGGCTTCGTACTTTCCCAAAGGCTTTCCTCAGAACTTTTCCATCCTCATGGTGGCAAGGACCAAACCTGGTAAGTTTTAAATATAGTTTCAATATTGTAGAAACATATTAAATTTGAAATTATGTATTTAGGAGTTACATCCAGCGCTTTGATCGTCTACAACGAAGATGGAGATGAGCAATTGCAAATCACCATTGGTAAAAACATATACTTCTACTATGAAGATGTTGAAGACGAATCTGAAGATGACGATGTGCTTATCACGTTTGGCGCTTCTATTGACGATGGATTGTAAGAAAATACAAAATATCTACAACTATAAGTTAATCTAATCCTTTTTTTATTAGATGGCATCGCATTGCGTTCAGCATTAAAGGGAATTCCATTACGTTAATTTTAGATTGTAAAGAAATTGTGACTAAACCTCTCAATAGGTCACCCAGGTCACGGATAAGCTCATCGGGAATTACCAGTATTGGATACGACCTTGAAAGCGAGAGTTTCTACAACGTACTTACTTATTTATTTATTTATTTATTATTTATCGATAATTTTTATCTAAATTTTATGAGGTTTTCAGGGAGATCTGCAACTGCTGAAAATCGCCTCGACCCCTGATGAATCGTACGAGCTGTGCACTAAACACGCTCTGGACTGCAGCGGATACGTTTCTGGTTTTCAGGTGAACGAAGCTCTGGAATTCGGATCTTCCGGAAGCGTCGATGAAGGCGAGCTATTGAATTCGCGCATTAACTTTGTTTCGAGTTCAAGTTCACTTGGGGGTTCTTCATTGGGAGTCGATTTTAAAGTTAGTGGAGACGAGATCGAGGCTGGTGAGGTTTTAGGCAGTGCAGAAGCAAGCGATTTAAGCAATGAAGAAGATGGTCTTGCCTTCAGCGGTTCAGAGGAAAGTCTACTTGAACCAGACGATGGCAAACTTGAGACCAGAAGTGAAAATAATTCAGTGTTGGTTACAGTTAACGAAAATACAGGTAAAATTAAATTTAATTATAGAGTGATATTGATTTACTCATTAATGTATTGTAGGTATTATAAAAGAAATTAATGTAAATGTAGTTAATTCGACGCATACGAAAAATTCGACTGGAGAAGATTCTCAGGTTTGTGGATAATTGTGATTGTAATAATTTCAAGTAATTTGTTTATTTTAGGAAGAAGAAACATTATATACATCTTATTACAATAGCGTATTCAGAGGTCCTCCAGGCCCTCAAGGTTATCCCGGACCACCTGGACTTCCGGGTCAGATGGGTCCGAAGGGTGAAACGGGAAGAAGCGGTATTGCAGGATCTGGTGGAATTGCCGGTCCTCCTGGCCACGTCTTCATGATACCTGTAATAATCTATATCATTAAATGAAGTTTAAATACATTTTATTGGCTTATTTTAGTTGAATAATCAAGGAAATGAAAAAGGTCCGGATGGTCAGGCTGAAAATTTCAGGCAGATGTTGTCCCAGCACATGGTAAGGCATTAGCAAGTGGTGCGATCTTAAGCGATTAGTTTGTTACTTCTCTTTTGAAGATGGCTATGCGCGGAATAGAAGGACCTATGGGATTGACGGGAGTACCAGGACCTGAAGGTCCTCCAGGTCAGGATGGACTGAAAGGCGAGCCTGGAGATATCGGAGAGCCTGTAACTGAATGAATGTTCGTGAACTTTGCAAAATATTTATATTAAAATATTTTCAGGGTCCGAGAGGTTTAAGAGGTCCTATTGGTAACAGCGGAAGGGAAGGAAGGAGAGGTAGACCTGGCAGAGATGGCGAACGTGGTGTTTCTGGTCCTCCTGGTGCTAAAGGAGAGCAAGGTTTAATTGGTTTACCGGGTTTACCAGGAGATAAAGGTGAAAGAGGAAACCATGGTATACCTGGAGAACAAGGATTGCCGGGCCACGAAGGTTTACAGGGTGAAGAAGGTCCACAGGGATTGCCAGGAATGCCCGGAGAAATAGTAAAATGTCTTTTATTGGTAATTTTTAATATAAATTATGGAATAATTGTGTAGGGTCCAAGAGGCTTTATGGGTCCTAGAGGTGTTCCCGGATTGCAAGGAAATCCTGGTATTCCAGGCAATGAGGGTCCGCAGGGTATTAAAGGTAGCCCAGGTCCAGCAGGACAGCCGGGAGCTCCAGGTCAACCCGGACCGACGGGTCCAGTCGGTGCCCCAGGTCCTCAAGGTCTACTCGGACCGCCTGGTATTATGGTAATAATAAAATAATTCAATCAAGGATGTATATAGTACTAATATTATGTTGGTTTAGGGTCCCCAAGGAAAGTCCGGAATACCGGGATTACCAGGATCAGACGGTCCTCCTGGTCTTAACGGAGCACCTGGTTTACCAGGATTAAAGGGTGATCAAGGTTTGCAAGGTCAGCATGGTCAAATAGGATTCCCCGGTGCTCGCGGCGCCAAAGGTGATGAAGGTAAAAGAGGACCTATGGGCGAAAAAGGTGGTAAAGGTGATCGTGGAATGGATGGAGAAAAAGGTGAAATAGGCCTTAAAGGTGATATCGGTCCAATGGGAATGCAAGGCGCTATGGGAATTGAAGGCCCTGAAGGTCCTAAGGTAATTTTAAAATATATTTTTTTAAATTTATTAATGAAAATTGTAATAGGGAATGGATGGTCCGAGAGGCGAAACTGGTCCACCAGGTGTTCCTGGAGAAAAGGGTAAAACTGGAATATCCGGTTTTGCAGGATATCCCGGAAATCCTGGTGAGAAGGGCGACAAAGGGGCAACTGGTAAGGCTGGTCCTCAAGGAGACAAAGGTGAAAGGGTAAATATATTTGAGTATTTAAATTATTCTACTTAACAAAGAGATAATTCTAGGGTAACAATGGTATTGCTGGTGAGCGTGGAGAAATCGGTCCACGTGGTTATCGAGGATCAAGAGGTAGAAGAGGATTTGATGGTAAATCAGGTCCAAAAGGTGATACAGGTCAACCAGGACCGCCAGGCCCTCAAGGAGAGCATGGTCCACCTGGTCCGGAAGGAGCTCGAGGATTTACCGGCAACACTGGTTCACCTGGTGCAAACGGAAAGGATGGTGCGCCAGGTCCACCAGGCGATAGAGGTCCATCTGTATGTAAATTATAACAAAGAAATAGAATTGGAACTTAAAGTTTCATATTTTAGGGCAAAAATGGGCCACCAGGAACACCAGGTCCAGCAGGTGTTATTGGTCCTCAAGGATCGGTCGGAGAACCAGGTCCTGTGGGAGAATCGGGTATTCCAGGTATTCCTGGATTACCGGGAGAACCAGGACTTCCCGGAGAAGCGGGTAAAGAAGGTGCTGCAGGTTTAGCAGGACCCCCAGGAAAACCAGGTATTCCAGGAAGCGTTGGATTACCAGGTTTTCCAGGAGAAAGAGGAATGACTGGATTATCAGTAAGATTTATAAATAATATTCGTAGATCAGTTTATTTATATTATAATATGAATAGGGAGCACCTGGACTAAAAGGCGATGTTGGACCAGTCGGTCCTCCAGGTTCTGCTGGAGATAAAGGACAGCAAGGCGAGGCTGGGAAAGATGGGTCTCCAGGACCTGAGGGACAAAAAGGAACGATGGGTCCAACGGGAACGGTTGGATCTAAAGGAGATCGCGGCGAGCAAGGATTGCCAGGACCTTCAGGAAGAGATGGTATCCCAGGTGCAAGAGGTTTACCTGGACCACCAGGACCTATTGGTAGTCCAGGAGAGGACGGAGATAAAGGTGATGTCGGACCACCTGGTGAAAAGGGTTTCAAAGGAAGTAAAGGAGAATTTGTAAGTTAATAATAAGTAATAAAATTATATATTAATATATTTAATAAAATAATAAAAGGGACCACCTGGAAATCCTGGAGCGCAAGGTATTCGTGGAGAATTGGGGCCAGTTGGTCCTCCCGGTGAAAAGGGACCACCAGGACAAATGGGTAGACACGGAAGCAAAGGCGAAGATGGGCAACAGGGAATCGCTGGAAATCCAGGAGCTCCAGGACCTCAAGGTCTTCCTGGCCCGCCGGGAATTAAAGGCGAAGTAGGAGATATTGGATTGAAGGGTCCTGTTGGTGCAGCCGGTGTACCAGGTGAACCAGGTGTTAGAGGAATACCAGGAAAAGAAGGACCCCGCGGAGCTCCAGGATCTGAGGGTCAGCAGGGAAGCAAAGGAGATTCAGGACCACCGGGCGTTATGGGAATACCGGGGGAAAATGGAAAAATGGTAGTACATATTATAATCGATAATTATTTGGTAAAGTTGGTAAATTTAGGGTGAACGAGGTCCAGCAGGACAAAAGGGAGATGATGGAAAAGCGGGTGAACAAGGTTCTCCAGGACCTCGTGGAGGTGTAGGGCCAGAGGGACCGAAAGGTTCTCCAGGAACTCAAGGATTTCCTGGACCACCGGGTGAACCTGGCCTTGTTGGAACTAAGGGAGAACCTGGAAAGCACGGTGACGATGGACGTGCAGGAGAAATTGGTAACCCTGGATTACCGGGACCTATAGGAATGATGGGACCTACAGGACCACCTGGAAAACCAGTAATTATATATATAAAAAAAAAAACAAAATAATATTTACAATTTAAATCAAATTTATTAGGGACAAGAAGGACCAGCGGGTATGCAAGGAAATACAGGATTGCCTGGCGACAAAGGAGAGATAGGTTTACCAGGTCCTCCGGGATCTCAAGGAAATCCAGGACCACAAGGAATGCCCGGTCCGATCGGTTTGCAAGGTCTTCGCGGATCTTCAGGACCAGCTGTAAGTATTCGTTTTCTTTCTGTGAGTAGTTATAGTCTACATTAATATTTTTCAGGGAGAAGCCGGTCCACCTGGCGGTACAGGTCCAGCGGGAGCTAACGGAAAAACAGGAGATGCAGGACCGAGAGGATCCAAAGGTGATCGAGGTCGAAGAGGCATGAAAGGTCATAGGGGAGAAATAGGTTTAACGGGAATGAAGGGAGACATGGGTGAGAGGGGTCTAAAGGGTGAGCAGGGTGTAATGGGACCTGTGGGTGAGAAGGGTAACACCGGCCCAGTAGGTATGACCGGTATGAAGGGATCAGATGGACCTATGGGTCCCCATGGTTTGGAAGGACCTATCGGATTGAAAGGAACCGAAGGTCCCACCGGTGTTAAAGGTGAATCTGGACCATTGGGTCCACCGGGACCACCAGGCGCTCCTGCTGAAATGCCACTACTTCCACCCGAGATTCTCTTCCGACACGAATCATCAAGGAAACGAAGAAGTCTTGAAGAGTATTTTGCCAAAAAAAATATCAAAAAAAATGTTTAATTATTGATTTTTTGCAGCATCGAATCAAGCATGGAAGACTTGAAGGATGAAAACTTCAAGTATATGGATATGTATAGTGTTATATACTCGATGAGGCAAGATCTTGAAAGGACACGTAAACCGGTGGGAACAAGGGAAAATCCGGCGCGTTCTTGCAGAGATCTTTACATCGGTTATCCACAGTTTCTTAATGGTAACAAGTACATAATTTCAATGAAAACATATTAAATTTCTTGATTTCAGGATGGTACTGGATTGATCCTAATTTGGGAATGATTGATGATGCAATTTACGTGTACTGTAACATGACGACGGAGGGTCACACTTGTATTTTCCCAGACATTCACAGCTCGAGCATGCCAAATATTCCATGGAGGAAAGACAGTGAGAAGAATGATTGGTACTCCAATCTTCGAGGTGGATTCAAGGTGCGTCCTATTGTCACAAATTTCTCTTGGAATACGCTGAACGTTATTGATTTACAGATTACCTACGAATCCATTGGAACCGTGCAAATGACTTTCCTGCGTTTATTATCCCAGAACGCCTACCAGAACTTCACTTATACCTGCATGAACAGCGCCGCTTGGTACAACAGTCAACTATCCAATTTCGATATGTCCATTAAATTGTTGGGAAGCAACGAGCAAGTATATTCCGCATCGGGACCATCAAAACCAATGATCGTAAGCGATGGATGCAAAACTCGTAAAGCCAAAAGCGAAACAGTTTTCGAAGTGAGAACATCAAAATTGAATCATTTGCCTTTGGTCGACTTCTATCCAACGGATTACGGATCACCAAATCAAGCGTTCGGGTTCCAAGTGGGACCGGTTTGTTTCTTGTAAATGAATGAACAATAACAGACAATAAATAAATGTTTTTAACCATATTTTAATAACAATTTGTTATATGTAACATAGATGTCAATCAGGCATGACAACTACATATATAATAATATAGAACAAATTTTCTACCCTTTCAATAATTATATTTATTAACCAAACGTTACATTAACAAATTAAAACAAATACTTTAAATATTATTTGACAAGTAGGTAAATACTTTATTTGTAAAAAAGAACTATGAACATATTTTTTTATAATTTGCGTAATCTAAAGTAATTCACACAAAGATTATACATATAAAAAGATAATATACATTAACTTACCTTTTGTAATGTTTGTCAACTATTATTCATTAACAGCTGTCATTGAGTATTGTATTGTAATATGATTATGTGACAGAAGCTATAGACTACTGAAAATTGTGTTTAGATATTAGGAAATGGAAGAGGTAGAAACAAAATATTTTGAAGCGAGCCATGTAATTTTAACCTTTATTCGAGATCGAAGATTCGCAAAAGAGTAATCTTGTGACCAGTCTTATACAATTTCAAAGTAGTTACACGTAGGTATTAATATTAGAGTATATTTAGAGTATTAATATAGTAAACGACAGGTCGATCATGGAACAGGTTTTAAATGTGGGGGATCAAGGAAGCTACATATCGAAAAAGGGGGACAGAGGGCACAGTAGTAGTGATCGAGATGCCTGCTTATTTTGGTCGAGTCAGTATGAAGTCTCAGCCCCACCGCAGAGGCTCTCCCGAGGGCTTCGAGAAGGCCCGCGTCTCCGCGCTGACGACATCGTAGGCGGTGAAAGGGATGCGACTTATATCCCTGATAGAAGTCCTCTGCTTCCCGATCCGGTTGAAGGGCTTCCAACGGGTCAGTATGGAGAAACCCCTCTTGTCGTAGCGCACCATCCCGTACGCATCATCATCATCATCATCCGGATCCTCTATTCCATCCTCGTCCACATCCTCACCACCAACGAAGCCATCGAAATCTGAAAGACGAAGAGCGAAAACGGATTCACAAAATACAAATCTGAGGGACGTCGCGTCGAGTCACGTAACTCATTTTCCTCTCCGAGCAAACAAATTAAAATGCCTTATTATTTTTTTTAAACATTTTTCTTTATTATGTGTATTATATACACTTTTTTGGATTTATCAAGACCTCATCCCTCAACCATTCATTTGTACAACAACAGACTTAAGTTAAATGAAGAAGGCCCAGAGACGTCGCTCTATGTGTGCACAATTATACGAGAAAGTGTTTTCTTATTAATTAAATTTAAATATTAATTAACTTTGTAATTAGTAATCTGCATTCTACTAACTTTATAAGCATCGGTCATTCATAAACTATATTTTAAAGGAAGTAATTACAATGCCAAATTTTTAGCCCATGTTCTTGATTGATCCATCAAACTTAATAATTACTTAAGATATATTATTATTATTTATATATCTTGACAAATATATTGCACTTATGTAAGAATATTTAATTTATTTTTCATTGATTTGCATGTACGTAGATTAGATATGACTATTTTCTGTTGTGATAGATTTTAAACTACTTTATTTTGATAATTCAATTGGAAATTGATTGAATTGTTAAGAAAAAAAATATGAATAACTTTCTAAGAATTAAATAAATGTTGGAAATGATTAACCTTATTTGAGTTTTAATGGAAATATTGTAAAATTATAAAATTTAATTTTGTTAAATTCGTTCAATTTCAGCTGTTTTGAAACAGTAAAATAATTAAATTAATTCCTTTCATGATTTCACCAAACCACACACAATTATCTTTATCATTATTGAAACAGTGCAACAACATCCACGTGGCATCGTTTCCCGCGGCGCAAGTTAATCCAGAAAGTATTCCTCCTTTAAAAAAAAAATCTACAAAGGGAATCGCAAATCGGGAGTATCTCTTAATTGGCAAAGCCGGAAAACAAAATTGTCTTCGGATATCAAAGTAAAAGTAATTCCAGTTCGCTTCTTTTTCAACGCCGTTTACGAATTATTCAATTTCGTAGTGTTTAGGAAAAGAATACATGCGAAATGTATATATATATATATTAAAAAAAATACAAATTATTAAATTGAATTTGCAGAGTAAAAAAACAAGCGCGGACATTTTCAATTAAGCGTTGTAAAAATACATTTGCGAAAAGCAAAACCGTGTTGCATCTGCTTTTCGCTTCGTTGTTGTTGATGTTTTTTTTTTTGTTTCTCGTTTGTTTCATATAATTTAATGGATTTGAATGCATTGTGGAGACTATTCGTACCTTGTACGTCGCTTCGTGGGTCGAAAAGTGGGTCGTCGCTCTTGGAAAGTTCTTGCATCTCCTCGTTGGTCTGAGTCTTCCAAAGAGGAAGATCCACGGATTTTCCAGAAACTCCGAGTATGCAGAGTATTGCCGATAAGAAGATGATGCGATGCACCTACGTAAAAATATTGATGTTCTTTAATATTTTTATAGACAGATTAATTAAATTCTTACATCAGTTTTCGCCATAGTTTCAAAAAGAAGCGATTTCCAGTGTCAACCAATTGTCCACTAAAAACATAAGAAAATAACACATAATAATAATAATAATTTAAATTACAAAATTTAGTAAAATATAGTATTTTGATGAAAAACCTTGATTAATTTCTTCAGATTTGAAAATAAGAAATTATTAAGACAATTGAATCCAAAGAAAAAGTATTTTTTTTATAATAAAAGTGACAAATTACAATTCAAAATAATTTGTACAAAGTCAAAAATGCACTTGCAACTTCAGTATTTTGATGAACATTTTAAATAATTTTATGAGATTTGTAAAATTCACACTTTTAGAGACTATTTTTAAGAAGAAGTAGTAGAAAAACCCTAAATCACGATTCAAAATAATTTGTCCTATTTCAGAAAATGTTTCATAGTTTGGAAATTGAAAGATCGAATTTTAGTATAAATTGAATGAATTGTTAATTAACAGATTCATATGCAACCGAGCATACAAATTCAAATATCTTATGAGTGACGCAACAAGAATGTACTTGCATTACAGAATACAATGACCGCGCTGCGCCGTTATATAAGCTTTAGCATCGTAGAACAAAGGAAGCAAAGTGCAAGATGCAAAGCGGATAATAATTACAAATGCGAAAGTGTCGATGGTTGGCACGACCAAATTCATTCCGCATTTTGGTATAAAATGGATTGTTTGTTGCGATGATAAAAGCGGGAATGGGGACAGGCCGAAACCAAAATGCAATATGTATCATGTCTAAGCGGCTCTATCTATCAAATGCATCTGCAATATTAATATCTTTCACAATGACGGCTGTACGACATTCGCAATCAATACTGTAGGAAGATCGATGTATTCGCTAATCAACTTATTCTTCTTCTTAAACGCAGTTCGATTGGAGTTTCCAAGTGCGATGGAAAATGCTGTGGAAATGATGAAAAACGCGCGAGAGAGACGTAACGAAATTGGAAAATTAGATTCGAATGGAAGAGTATGGTGTGTGACGGATGAATGCAATTGCATCTACATAAAATCGCTTTGATACATTTCCATGCATGCGAAAATGCTTTGATACTATCGAAGAGGAATGCCGCGGATGCTGTGTGTATGTGTGCAGGTTCCCTTTTTTTCTTCCCGTTCAAATCTCCCAGCTGAATAGGTGAACCGTGAGGAAAGAAATCATATTTTGCCCATATATTGCTGTTCCTAACTGAAACACACGTTTTTATTACTACAAAGTCACGTAAGTTTTAACCTACGACGCAACACCGCTTACTACGAAACAATATAAATCTCAGTTTCAAAAATCCTGAAAGTTTTGTAAAGTATAACGAATGAACTGAAAAGTTTAAAAAATAAATATGATTTATCCAATATATTCAAACAGATCCTACAGTTAAAGTTTTTTTTTCATTTTTTAGAATTAGAGTTAAAGTTTTTTTTTTCATTTTTCAGTTAAAAATAGGTGTATGTTCCTTCGTAAGAAAATTTTAAAATATTTTATTATCTTTTTTTTTCTTCTTTTGTATAAAATTTAGGATAAAATTATATGAAATAAAATGTGAAATGTATATTTAAAATCAATATATACAATTGATTGATGAATAATTTATGAAATTTATATAAACTGAAATAAGCAAATAAAGAAAAGCGTATTTGATATTGATTTTATGTTGTGTAATATTAATGGACGTAAAACGAGTTTTGGCTTTTACCACTTAAAATTCTATCAAAAGTGTTTAACACATATGAAGAATACAAAAAAAAACGCAACGTTGTAAAAAAGTGTGTGAATGTTGTTTTTAAGACTTAATTCAATTATATTATTGAATAACATTGAATATATATAATCAATAAGTTCAATTTTTAAATTGCACTTATAATAAAATTTATAGACCTGGCGCGTCTACCATTAAATTTGTAAAATTTCATGAGTTGAAATAAGGGGGTTTCTGAAGCAAAAAATATAAAATATAATTAACAAAATAAGATTTATAACATTTGATAAAAATCTTTTAAACACTATTTTTCTTTAGTTTAATTTAAACAACAAAAAAAAAAATCATATTTTCAAAAAATTGTAATTTTCTGAGCTGAACATGGGAAATTCAATTATTTGTTGGCTATTAAAGTTAAATAAATGAATTAAGTATTAAAAATTAGTTAATTAGCACAACATTGACACAAGTTTATTTAAATACGACTTTACTTACACTTTACTAATATTTTAAATTTGTTAATGTCACAGTTACTTATTTATCTCTACTTTAGTTTAATTTGAATTTAAATATGTTTTGTTTTAGTATATTCTTTTTTTTTAATTATAAAATTCGAAGCTTTATACGTTAATAAATTTAATAAAAATGATTTATTATTAAAAGTAAATTTATTTATAAAAAATTAAATTAATTTTAAATTTATTTTTGATGTATTTTTAATAAAAGCAAATCCAATTAATACATTAAACAGCAAATCCAATTATAATACAGAAGAGTGTTATTTTTAGCAAAATAAAAATAACATTAATTGAAAGAACAAATGAATTTTAATGCTACCGTTTCTTTAATTTCCGAGTATACAAAACTCTCATCCCCTATTTATAAAACATGAAATCATTATAATTTTAATAATAAACCGTTTCCAACAAAATGTCTAATTAAAGTCGCGTATTTCAGTTTGTTTGTACCAGACCGAAGCGAAGATAGAACAATGTACAAAATAATGCATCGAGTGAGGAAAATGCGTTGTGTATGGTGAAAACGTGTAAATTTCGTGGTGGTGACTAATATTACGTCCGGTTTAATTGCGTTTTGTTACAAAGTGTGCACGTATTTTGTGTTAATGTTAAAAAAAAAAGTTTTTAATTATTGTCTCCGAATAATAATCATACTCGCGATGACCTCATTTTGAATTTACGATGTGCGGAATGGATTTCCTCTTCATTTTGTTTGTTTTGTGTCTTGGCGATAGTTCAGTAATTCAATGGATAACTTAGACATGTCGTAATAGGATTCTTTAATGAGGAAGCTTTTAGTCGGCAAATAGTTTTCTAGAATTACTCGCGACGCTGCGGATGTCGAAGTTTTTCAGTCCCTCAGGGCTGATTATGCTCACTGTGAGAACTTTCAGCGTTTCTGAATCTTACGTTACGTGCATGTTAACATCAGTTATGAGAAGTATTAACATTTGTTGAGCGCATTTCGTTGTATGAAATTCTAGAAAAAAAATATTTGTTTTTGTTTTATCAACTTATTTCTTTTATCACGAATTTAAATTTCAAAGTTTTATAGTCCCCTAAGAAAGACAGGTAACTTTCTCTTTTTATAATCTTACAACGTTCCGCATCTAGATTATGTTATATAAAAGATTTCAAGGTAAATATTCAGCGTATTATTGGTTTTCAGAGCTGATAAGTAAATATGTATTACTTTGAGAAAAAAAAACATGAAGCTCTGTATGATACTTGCCAAGTAATGTTACACATCATGAAAAGTATGTGTCATTGATGTAGGTTTATTGGAAATACCTAAAACAAGTATTGCTCTTATAAAATATTGTAAACGCTACATGATACTTGCCAAGTAATTTTTCAAATTAAGAAAAGTATGTGTCATATCATGCACATTCTTGATGCAAATTTATATGAAATACATAAAATAACTATTGCTTTTATGAAATACAGTAAGCGCTACATGATACTTGCCAAGTAGTTTTACAAATTAAGAAAAGTATGTATCATTTACAGTATTGATGCAGGTTTATCGTAAATACCTAAAGTAAGTAATGCTTTATTTAAATACACTAACCGCTACATGATACTTGCAAAGTAGTTATACATATTAAAAAATTATATAAAATACCTAAAATAAGTATTGCTTTTGTAAAATACAGTAAACGCTACATGATATTTTTTCAAGAAAATGTAATTATCTGAGACGAACAAGGGAAATTCAATTATAAACCATTTGTGAGCTATTAAAGTTAAAGAAACAAGATTAAGTACTTGAAAATGAATGTAGATAAAAATCAATAATTTCGTTTCTGGAATATAAGCACCTGAATTTGTTTTACATTAAAAATTACATAATTAAGATACTTAAGTCTTGCCAAGTAGTTTCACAAATTATGGAAAGAATGTGTCATGTTATGCACATTCTTGATGCAAAGTTATATGAAAATAAGTATTACTATAAGAATGATACTTGCCAAGTAATGTTTCACATTAAAAAATACATGTGTTAAAACTAATGCTCATGCAACATTATATAAAGTACCCAACACTAATATTACTATTATAAAACACATTAAGTCCAACACATTACTTGCCGAGTAACGTTAATAAAAATTACGAAATTAATTCGTTGTCTAATAATTTTATAAAACAATTTAGTACTAATATTTTGATACATTTTAGTAACTAGCTTTCAAAGTCATTAATATTAATAAAAAAAACATATTTTTCAATTCAAATAAAAAAAATATATAACAAGTAACTTATACACAATTATTTATATAAGTATTTGCTTAATTTTACGTAATATCCATATAAAAAATTGCTAAAATTGCTAATTTTTTTATTATGTTTTAATAAATCAGTAAATTATAAATTTATATCCAAGAATTTTTTTTTAATGGAGTTTTATATAAAAAAAATATACTTAATTTATATAAAATTCAAGTGATATTTTTTGTGTCAGAATTTTTTTAATTAAATAACTGTAATACGTAAACAGGTCTTAATATTGCATGCAAAATCTTATTTAATATTTCAATATTACATAAATTTTAATACAAACAAATAATTTTATATAAGAGTGATATGAGTTGGACTTCAGATCACGTTCCAATAATTTTATTATAAATATCCTGAAATATCTCGCATAGTGCGGGTAATCCGTATTATCTGAAACCGAACTAATCGAAGAATTAAAACATACAAATAACAGAGAAATTGTATAATTATTCACATGTAAAAAAAATATTTGTAAATTTATTTATATTTTGCTCAATTAAAATTGAGTTTATTTTGAATTTTTTTAAACCG